TCATTTATCAGAGGTGTTTTTATGATGTTCAGAACTAATGTCGCCATATGTAGACACAAATTTTTACTTTTGGAAAATGAAATTTTTTTATGTAGTGCATAGTTTGAGGGGGCCATTTACAGGCACACAGATGTTTTTTTTCCTGGTGATACGATTTCAGTGTCCACCGAGAAATGACGGTGGACTAGTGATAAAGAGGGCGATGCAAACAGGGTCCGATTAAGTTATCAAACCATACTGTTGAAGGCAAATCTCCAGCGTCCTCCAAGCTTGTAATTACTCTTATCTGGACTATCTCATACTTGTACTATTCCTTCCCTCCTATGTTCCATCTTCACCACCTTTCAATGCTGCATCTATTATACTTCTTGATAGCAATTATACAAACAGCCTCGTCTGGTTCTTGCCGTCGGCGCCACCACTGCTGTCATTAATATATATATATATATATATATATATATATATATATATATATATATATATATATATATATATATATATATATATATATATATACATACATACATACATACACACACACACACACACACGCACGCACACACACACATATGGAGAAGGATGCGCTAATCTCCTCTTTCTGCGGAGCGAACATCGCCTTTTCGTCTGCGTGCACTTATCTCGCGAGTGAACAAGGGTGCGACGCTTATGGTTGCGCATTATGGCGACCAGAATCAGCACTTACCTTGTGCCCCCACAGCAGGCGGGAGCTGCTGTGGGCTGTGCTCTCAACACGAAAACACGGTGCCAAAAGTGTACCTGGAGTGGCCATGTTGTCTTACACCAGCTTTTAGATTTACGCGAGATTGGATCTAAATGATTTGACTGCCAGCCTCACTTCGTATATTGACGCTGCCACTACGCTCGAGCCTTGTTGTGGTCATCTACTGTGGCCCGCAGCAGGAAACTTTCTGCTAGCCTTAATTCCTTTGTAAAACATTTGAATATATTTCCATCACATTTATTGCTTTGCCCTTTTGGAGAGACTGTTACTTTTTTAATCTTGTGCAGGTGTGCTTAACACTTTATGTATAAAACATGTGATGCTCTGTAGTTGAATTGAGTTGGCTGCCACTCAACTCAAGCAGCCAACTTACCCAGCTTTCTGCCTTAAACATTCCCTATTTTCTATCGCAAATTATGACATTTGGATGGTCCATACAGAGAGATTTTTACGACCATGTACAGACACGAGTGGCATACAACCTGTGTTCCCTGAAAGCGGGCTGCTTGTTACTCGACTGTTTTGCAACACTATAGGCCTTATTGCTTAAAAAAAATTGTGCTAGGCCAAGTTTACATTTTAGTACAGGCAACAAATCTGTGCAGCAAGTGCATTGATCTATTTGGTGGTACTGACTAGGCTAGGTCCAGAGCTACAAAAAGCAGACAATATGAGTATACCTTCCTTCAGACAATAAGCAGCCATTTGCAAATGATGCATTGCTTAGCAGGGAGGTGTATTGATCATTTGAGCTTGGCTGAACTACTAAGTCTCTAATTTCGCTTGCTTTGAATTTGCATTTGTAGTTGGTAGTAACACCCCAAGCGCTCCCTCTCTTTCCCTTGCTTCCGCTTCTGGTTGTTTATAGAGTTCCTTAGGTACATTGACGAGATCTGCAAACCGAAAAATCTTGCGAGACACTTGTTTTGAGCTGTGATGTCTTCAGAAATTATGGGGGAGGGGTTCACGCATTACAAATATCCTTGCACTTCTTGTACAGGTCGATATAATCAGCACTTGTGGCATTGACGTTCGAGAACCTCTCCTTGTCACCATCTTTGGTACTGATGGAGCTTTCGGACTACCAGTGCACTCATCGAGGGAGCAGCAAGGAGTGCCAATCGAAATGCCCAATTGCCACCTGCTCAGCTGCCATAGGCAGGAACTCACGTGATTTTGGCAACCAGATGCTTCCAGAGCTTTACTGCATTTTAATCTTTACTTACTTCCGAGAAGAAGGATGTGAAAGCGACATTGTGTTACCTCGAAGCCTGCTTGCACAGATAGCAAATGGAATTGGGCCAGCATATGGTAAAGTAGAGTAATAGTTCAGATATGCAGGCACAGGTGCTTTCTTGACATTGTAAGCCATAGAGTTGCGAACTGGGCATGTGCCGCAACTGGTGACATACCTGGCTATGAGAGGATTTGCTGCATTCTTGGCTTTGCATTAAAAAAAAAAAGAATAGGCTGTGAGCAGCTGCACACGAGTCTGTAAATATGGTAGGGATAGTCTCCATAAGCGGCTTTTGTTTTTCGCTGAATTACTTACGAAAGCAGGCTTCTAGGAACAATATCGCTTGGGCAAAAACAAACTCTATGGGAGAAGTGCTTCTGGTTTCATTCCATCTACCACCATAAACACATTACATGCACGGTACATGTGAGGGGTCAAGTAAATGTTCGGCATGGATGTGAAACTGAGCACTGCCAGTACTTCAGCAGAGGTTCAAGCCCTGGACATCGTTTTGCTGTTAATAAGTGACAAGCACATATGCAGTCACGATACGTTAAATCGACTGATGTTCTGAAAAAAAATATTCTGTTGTGTACTGGTGATGAACAGCTGTGAATTGAAGTGTGTAGGCTTAAGTTGAACAAACAAGTGTATTAGATTAGTTTGACATTTGAATATACAGCTGTCATTTTATACCAAGAGCGCTTGGGTAGTGCTGGCATATTTTAACACTTTTTTACCATGGTGCAATCACTTTTATTTGTAACCTTGTTTTTTTACGCTCTTTTCTCTGTATTTTTGGACTTGTGCTACTTTTTTATGATGGTTAACAGCAACCCGACTTCGCTGCTAGCTGGTGTGGCCATTGTGATGATACTAATCGGGGGAGCCACCTGGGTGGCACTTCATCTCTCACATCTATATGTCTGTGCCGAGATACGAGGATTTGTAGGGTGATGTTTCAGAGCAGCCGCACGCTGGGCCACGTGATATAGCATCTAATATATTTGAGACACCAGTGTGACAAAAGCGAAATTTCCCGTTACTGCGTATCCAGTGCAGTGTGTTGAGCGTGTACATAGAAAGTTGTGAAAGTCTGCACACACGTGCAGCAAAAAAAAAAAAAAAAAGAGAGAGAGAAAAAGTTATACATTGTTTTAGTAAATAGTTACAATATGTGCAGTGGCCTTATTTCAGTGTATGGACTACTGTGATTGCACCCACACCCACAAATGGTTCCTGCTAGGAAGCATATTTGTTGAGGTTTCATTCTAAACATAATCAGCCAGATTTCTGTCTACTGAGTCAGCGGAGTGAGTTCTTTGGCTTTGTTGTGCAAGTTTTGTAGACCATCAGCACATTTTTTTACTATCCACACTTTGTGATGTGTATCAGAAAATACCAAATTTGCATAAATATGACAGCCTTGATCATAATATTTGTCTTTTGACAACTCCAAACACAGAAATATTACATCTATAGCATGAACTAATACATAAAGTGTAATCGTATCTATAATCATAAATTTTAAATGAAAATGCTTTAGCATTATGTAATACGCAGTGTGTTGTGGGCATAAATTGTGATGGTAGACTACCCTTTGCACAATACTTTAGGAGGGTGTCGCATCACCGTGAGGGCTCAAATCAAATTCAACCAAAGTAGTAGCATCTCATGCAAGCAAGGTTCCTGAAATGCCACCACCACCTTTTTCATGCAGTGCACTTGCATCCATAAATGTGCAGCTGTCTCAAGAAATTTCAAGTTTAGATATTTTGGCGAAGCTCCATTGTCTAGCGATTTGAACTAGCTGCACTTTGAAAGGGCAAGCTGTTAAAAACATTTTGCAGTAGTAGGTTGTAAATTCTTTGGATCACTAACAAACATTCAAAGGCTTACATTAACTTGTGCAAGTCCTGCAATAATGCCGAGACATTTAATTTCAGTGTCTGAATGTAGCCAGATTCCATCACAGTTGTGCCAGACTTCACTGTGCTACGGTTGTGTCAAAGTCCAACCTTAATACAGGCTGCGCTATAACGAGATTCCACTTGATTATCACGTAACGCCTCCCCATGTTCATTCATACAGTGCCAAAGCCAAAGAGCCATTTTCGCCGAGTCCAACTTCTGTCCTATTTTGTACAAGTATAGATGCTGAAAGCTTTTGCATATAGATGTTGACAGTCCTGTTGTGTGGAATGAGCATTGTACCTATTTAGTTTTCGTACAGCAACTGGCGCACTGGCCAGTAATTGAATTCTTTGGGTTGGGTTAGGCTGTTTGGGAGGTTGCACGTCTTTCAAGCGTACTTAGCAAAACTGTGCCGTTGTCGTGTTGCATGTTACATAAGAAAATTTCCAGACACACACACACATCCTAAAGCAACCAAAGTTCATGCATAATGCCCAATGGTGTCTTTCTCTTAGTTCTGCTGCTCAGTCACGAGACTTGTTGAAATGTTACCCCCATCTGTTTTATCCAGAATGTACTGCACATCAAGTATGTAACAGTTTGTCTATTGTGGGATGTGTGTGTACATGTTACATGTTATGGGAGCAGTGTATTTACAGGACCTTGACAAGAGCTTTTCATTGTAGTGCTTGCAGATATGAGAAGCAGATGCAGATTGCTGGATAGGGTCCGTTTGTATCCCTGTACAGTGAATAACCCTTACACGGGTGGAGGACAGTGCAGTTCATGTGCAGTAGCTGCCTCACAAGACAGTCAGTCCAGAAATTCGGTGCAAAGTCCTAGTGCAATTACACTTAAAAAAAAAGTACAATATGCTTACATTGAACGGCTACTGTCCTCTGCCATTTCAGCTTCACACACCTACTACTGCACCCACCCTGTGTCATTGTCATGTCTTCCAAGAAACAAAGTTGAACACATTGTTGACATTTTTTTTTTTTCTTGTAACAAAAAAATTTAACTAAAGTGTGCTCAGATGAGGAAAAATTGCAACTACTCTCCTCTAGTCATTCTCATGCAGAAATAAAAGAATCAAAACACTTTCTCTGTGGCAACGAGTATTTTTAATACTTTTTCCATCTTCACTCACAATAGACTATACCTGCACAGCCTCTCTTCAAGCAACAAACTAATGAAAGCCGCAATAAAAACAGAAGGTCTGCCATATCACATTAATGGGCACTTCCATGGCCGGCTCTTCAAAACAGGCAGCACAGATATGCATAATTATGTATAATCTTCATGTAGTGTGTATATATATATGTACATTTATTAAGCATTCGTTTCTCTTTATATTAAACCTTGCCATTTGCTCTTTCTAAAAAAAATGTAAAAACACCAGAAAACTGACTTTTTTGATTAGAAAATTGACCTAGCACACAACTAGCATGACTTCCGTGGCAGCATTTCCTCCTTGTGGCGGCACAAGTTATACCTCTGCATTGACACTGACTGCAATGGCTTAAGAGAAAAAGAAAGTGCACAAAATAAAAACGATTCATTTCGTCCACCCAATGATGGCTTACAGGTAAATCCTGCCATGATTTAAGTCTGCAACCACAACACACTCCTGTCAGCTTTATGAACCAGCACAGCTGCAAGCATTCTACTACATCTCGCGCTCGTTTCTTTGTACAGAAGGGAAAAAAAAAGAAGAAAATCTTGATGCACATGTGTATATTGCAGAGTTCAGAGAGCTTTAAAGGCATTTAGAAAATTGGGAAGCTGGGGTTGGTATAGCACAACTATTGTTTAAAACGCAATATAGTGCCACCCACTTCACAAAGATGCAAATTGAGCCAAACACAAGAAATGGGAGGGCTCATCAAATCCGAGCCTGGTACAAGTGCGTCGTCTTTTCCACAGGAATGGCATGCCTGAACATGGCATTTTTTAGAGTCAATTTTTTTTTTAAAGATTTTCACACCAACGTGAGTCTGGGAGCAAGAAGGCAAGGAACAATCCTTGCCGACCTAGTGCCTACTGCAAGACGCACATTTTGCGGAAGTCACTTTCAAACTCGTCGTCGATGTCCCTCGCGTCGGGAACTTTGCCTTCTGTGTTCGGCATGTATGCCTCATAGTTGATGCCTTCTCGCTCATAGAATAACATATATGCAGAGTCAGAGTCTATTTGATCCAGCTGAACTTCCTGCATGGCAAAAAAGACATGGTGTGAAACATTAACGAAAGCAATGCATTAAAAAATACAGTCCTGCAAAAAAACTAATTTAAAACTGCCAGTCTCTTGCAAGTCACACAAATCAAATCACGTTTGTAGAAAAGATGAAGTGGAACTTTACAAACAAAAACACATATCAGTCCTGACAAACAAACCAACACATGTGTGATGGAAGTGAATTTTCACTTTTTTTTAAAAACACATTTCAGATAAAAAAAATTGCCATTTTCAAGCAACTATTGGCACTTTAAAAAGGAGATGGCAAAATGTGCCATACAAGTCCCAACATTCAAAGCATCGCCAAAGTATCTCATAATATTTGTGGCAAAAAAATATTTTGCAAACAACCATCAATGTAAATTGGAAGAAATGAAAAATTAAAATGACGGTTATCAAATGTGACGTGAAATTAGCTATATATTTGAAATACCAGTACTTGTGGTAGAAATGAGATCAAAGTGGTAAAGCTGAGTGCCACATTATTGAAGTTACTACAGCCACATACAATTAAAGCGACAGTTGATAAACGGTGTGACATGAAAGCAATCTGCCTGTTTCTTATTTCATGAAAATACCAGTTCTTACACAGCCAATAAAGCTGCACGCTAGTAGCATACTAGAATACTACGACACAAGATTCTCAGTTTGTTCAACACTCGGTAGTTGGTCGCACAGTTAATGGCCTTCATTTAAATTTTTGTAGAGCTGTTTTGGAGCAGGTTCGGAGCATCCGGAGATTGCGACAACCTCACTGCTACGCACAGTTACAGGTGCCCAAGTGAGCTCGTCACAAACTCACTTGGGCACAATTAAATTTTGTTTTATTCTGGAACAAGCTCCGACTGAAAATGGTTAGTCACTAGCAACACCCAACTCACCTTGCAACTACTGTCATTGTAGCAGTACCATTTGTTGTTTGGATTGCAAGCATAAGAGACATAATGCCCTCCCCCCAGAATGCCAGTGTGGCACTGCAAGAACAGGAGAAGAAACAAAATTATATTTAGCAAATAGGTTACTCATGCATGGTTACAATTATGTGAGCACCTCCAAGCATTAAAACAACATAAAGAAACTAGTACAAAGAATTCCTGTCATGAAAAGTAAGGTGGCTAAACTAACTAAACAATTAAATATGTACTAGACAAGTCACACGTGTGAAACCTGAATAAAAGCTTGCATCCAAAATTAGTGTTGACCTGACACTACGGTTTATTAAAAATTGCTTGGATTGTTAGTTTGAACCACTACAAACTTTAAGGGGGCACACGGGTGTACACATGTATATATATGCTTTCTTTCAAATAAAACTTTCAGTTGTTAGACCAGCGCTTGTCCTGATTCCTTCTCCTGTGTGTTTCCTTTTGTGCGCTGCCCACTATGGATAAGTTCCAACTCGCCCGCCTTTCGGTGGCACACGGGTCTTTGGGGCCGAAAAATTGCCCAAAAACGCAATTTTTTTTAGATGTCATTTTTGAAATCTACAGGTATTTTTCTATTAGTTTGCTCAGTTTTTCCTCCGAAAAGTTGGTACTTGAACAGTAACAGCTACTTATAAAAGCCGTACGGGCCCGATTTGGCGAGATTCTGACGCCAAAATGGCAATTTTTCAATAATTCCCCCCAGCTGCCCCACGGGCAGTATCGCTGTGATCTAGGTCTCATTTGAAAGCGCGGTCTTCGGTCTTCAATTTCCCGCCACTCTGGCTCCTGTCCGCTCATTGGTAGAGTAGAAAACGCGCCAAAAAAAGCAAAAATACGCGTTCCTATTCGCCGGCAAGCGCACGTGACTAAACAGCGCAACGCGATTGGCCGCAAGCGGCGTGTGTCGTCTGCTTCGCGCCGTCGGCGGCGCAATCAGGCGCCATATTGCTCGGACTGAGAACGACGGATTAGCCAAGGATCGCGCGCGATGTGGAAAGCCGGAAGGAAATTCCACACAAGGAATCAGTACGGCAAAAAAAGAAAGAAGTCGCTCCTCGAGAACTTCAAAGGCCGTTCCGCGTCAGCGAGGAGCGCTGAACGAGCAAGCGACCCACCTTCCGTGGCCAGCGGCGAGGCCCCTGATAACATAGGCCTAGCACCTCCGCCGCCGCCCGCTCAAGATAACGCATCCGGCAGCGGCCGCGTTCGTCTTGACACAGCAGTGCTGCACCCGTTAGAAGTGGCAGAGGTGCGTCGCAACGCCGAAAACAAGCTGCAAGAGCTCGCTTCAACTGGAGCAACACAACGCAAGTGCGGCCTGTTAGCCACGCCGCTGGACGAAACACGGTTTTTGATCGTGAGTTTGGACCAGGTGAACGAACTGATGCGTGCATTGATTGATTAGTGGGGTTTAACGTCTCAAAACCACCATTTGATTATGAGAGACGCCGTAGTGGAGGGCTCCGGAAATTTTGACCACCTGGGGTTCTTTAACGTGCACCCAAATCTGAGTACACGGGCCTACAACATTTCCGCCTCCATCGGAAATGCAGCCGCCGCAGCCGGGAATCGAACCCGCGACCTGCGGGTCAGCAGCCGAGTACCTTAGCCACTAGACCACCGCGGCGGGGCAACTGATGCGTGCAGTGAAGTGCAAATTGTGCTCCGGTGATGTAAACATCGGCAAAGAGGACAGGGAGTACGGCCTTGCCGTAAAGCTAGTGCTTACGTGCGCGACCTGCGGCGATGTGTCGGTGGCATGGAGCTCGCCGCGCGTTGACGGCGAGAGCAAGGCAAAGCCGTTTGCCATCAATGTTTTGGGTGCGCGCGCTATGCAGTCTACTAGCAATCAGCAAACGGCCTTCAACGACGTTTTTCATCGCTGAACATTTCTTCGCGCGGCCTGCGCAACAAAACGTGGCATAGCTACGTGAAGACGAAACTGACGCCCGCAGCTGTTCGTGCGTCGGAAAAGCTGACCGCGGAGTGCGCGCGATCGGTTCGGGAACTGTACGCGGAACTGGACCTCGGCAACCCGGGCAACATCGCTGTGTCGTACGACGGTTCCTGGATGACGAGGGGACACTCGTCGCACATCGGAGTCGGCACAGTTATCGAGTTGTTTACGGGGCTTGTGCTTGATTATGTCGTGCTCTGCAATTTTTGTGCCGGCTGCGAGCGGGCGCCTAAAGAAAGTGACCCGTCCTACGACGAGTGGAAAGTGAACCACCACTGCCAGAAAAACAGCACAAAAAAAGCTGGAGAGATGGAAGTGGAAGCTGCCCTCATTCTGTTTCAGAGGTCGTGGGAGCGTCATAAGCTGAGATACACTACAGTTCTTTCTGATGGCGACTGCCGCACCTACCCTGCTTTGAAGGAAGCAGATGTGTATGGTTTTATAAAAATAACCAAAGAGGAATGTGTGAACCACGTCCAGAAGAGGATGGGCACGCAACTGCGCAATCTCCCCAAGCAGAGGCCAGCTGGCTCTGAGAGCCTCAGTGGTAGGGGGCGGCTGACTGGTGACCTGGTTAACAAATTGACCTCTTACTATGGCTGGGCCATCAAATCTCACAAAGGGGACGTGCCAGCCATGCACAATGCTGTGATGGCCACATACAACCATGTGACGTCCAGCGATGCCGTGTCCAACCACAGCCTGCGCCCTACAGGTCCTGACTCGTGGTGCCGCCAGAACGCTGCCAAGGCCAGGGGTGAGCCGGCCCCCAAACACCGCTACAACCTGCCGCCGCATGTCTGTAAGGCCTTGCTTCCAGTGTACGAACGCTTGGCGGACAAGAAGCTGCTGGAGCGCTGCCAGCGAGGCAAGACTCAGAACAGTAATGAAAGTCTCCACTCCGTGATTTGGTCGCTGGCCCCGAAGGAGCGCCATGCATCACTGCACAGTGTAGAAGCTGCGGTCGCCGAGGCAGTGATGAGGTTTAATGCCGGAAGTCAAGTAACATCATCCAAGATCCTCAAAGAGCTGTGCTTGAACCCCGACCTACTGAGTAGCAAACGCATGGCTGAAAAAGACCGCCGCCGAACCAGGGACTCTACCCTCAGGCGTGCGTCTGCAGAAAATGTGCAGCGGACGCTCAAGAAGCGGCACCTGGATGCCAGCAGTCAAGGGGACTATGCTTCTGGGGCCTACTAGTCATTTCGCTCCAAAAATGTACAGAATGTTTCACCGTTTACATTAAACATGGCACCGTTGTGTTTTTTGCCATTTTCTCAAAATGCATATTTTTGACGTTTAGGAAATTCTTGAGAGGTACATCTCGGCATGCGGTGCAGCTAGAAAGATAATTTCTTTTGCATTGTCAAGCTGAATGTTTAAACCTTGAAGTAAGGGAAACAGATTTTGCATTTCACGTTTAAATAATTGTTTAATTAGCATTGTTTATAACTGGTTAGCAGGCATACTTTAAACCGAGAAATTAGAATTGATGTAAACTTGCATGTGTGATTGCCAGACAAAAAAACTGCTTCCGTCATTTCATTCTCCACAACTTCTAGTATCTATTCATGCCATGCTGGTAATTTTTTTGTTGACTAGTTTTTTTTCTATTGTTCTCAAGAACAATCACGAAAGATTTTTAATTATGTCGGGAACTAATTAGCTTACATCAAAACTAATTGGATATTTGAAATCAGCTAAAAAAACTGAACAAGCCCATGGAGTTTCATTAAAATTGGTTGGAAAGCAAAAAAAAGTTTCTAAGACCAGTGTGCCCCCTTAATGTGCCATTAGATACATGCTAACAAGCATACGGGCACAAATAACAATTAAAAAACTAAAACAGCATCACTGCTACTCCTTAAAATATACGGACTGCTAGAATCACTGACACACTGCATTCTCCCATCTTGCCTGACAGCAAAAGCAGCTCTAGTGACTCAACCTCCTTTCTTGGATATTTTCTGCACAGGCCGACCATGTACTCACATGTGTATCCTTGAGGGGGGCATATAAGGGTTTTTGTTTGGATCCGCTGTGGGGGTGCCGACACCCCCTGTAAAGTTGTTTGCGCGGTGTGGCGCACGTGGCTCACACAGAAGCCGTATTTTGGGGTCACAACTATTGAGTGGTAGGTGGCGTTGTGTTTGCGATTGTAGATCACCGCTATCAGAACCATGGTTGTTAGATCAGTAGCGCCGGCAGTGACCCCTGGTGGCAAGCTTTGGTGGCGGCAGAGAGAGTTGAGCGAGTCTTTTTTGCGGGTGGCACGAACTGTTGTCTCTTGCAGTGAGATCCCGGTGCGCGGCACCGTTGGCTGTCTGCCGGGTGCCCTTGTGGTAAGTCAGGCGTTGGCGACACCACCTTGTTTGTCATGTTGTTGAGTGTTGTGTAATATAGTGTAAGGTTGTTTTAGCGTGTTCATCACAATTGATGTATATTAATTCGGCTGACGATGTTGTTGTTCTAAACGTAAATAAATGGATATTGTTTGGTTTGTTCCGATTGTGTCTACTGTGTCCGTTCACCTCAAGAGCGTGGCGCTCTCTATATCGAGACCCCACACCGCCTAGCACTGGCGTGTGAAGGCAACTATTTCTACAGTTACTACGAAAAAAGATTAGCACAACTGACCAGTAGCCGGGGCCTCTAAATTGCAACAAGCTATGCTGTCACCATATTGTAAAGAAACGCTTGTTCATTGTTTGTCAGCAGATGTGGCTATGAACACGATTCCTTTCTTGGGGGGGGGGGAACATTAGGGTCAAGGCTTTATCGTCCGCATTTGTGCCAATCACCTAGAGATCTGTGGATGTGAGACATAAGAAAAAGTTTAACGATACATTAATATCAGCCATAATTGTAAAAAGATGACAGAATCCTTTGTACTAGTCAGCGACTTCAACGTACACATTACGGACCTTGGCATCTAGCTTTGTTGTCGACGCTCACAGTCCGCTGTCATGGTGCATAGAAACAATTGCTATAGTTGACACGCGAGTGTGAATAATAATAATAACTATAAAAATAAGCTTTACAATAGACGAACAACAATCATAACTGGGACGGAACAATATAAAACACTTAAAAGCACAAACCCTTTACACTAGTTGGCAATGCAGACATTATGAATCTACATTGAACCAAGCTTGGCCCATTTGTCATCATTCACTTTGTGTGGAGGCATGGAATTTTTCGCCGTAGCTGCAAACAACTGTATCGTTATTTAAATTTTCCCAAAAGGCTGTTTGTTGGAGTGATTTCCTTAAGCCACCCCTGCACGCACTATATTGGCGTGCTTGGGAAAAACAGCACTGCGTGTGGCGAGCTAGTCATCCTTACAAGAAACTAACTTCATCAGCTAGCAAACATTATCGCTTGTAATAAAAAGCCAATAATTTTCTTTGTATAATAGGACCCTGGTTTGTGTCATTTTCTCCTGAAGATTGATCAACTTCGTAGCATAACGACCATGCACTGCATGAATCAGGAGCACATGAACAAGAATCTAGATTTTTTTTACGGAAGAGAACAACAGAACTTAATAACAGAATAAGTGTGCAATGTAATGAAGGTAAATAACAACATGATCAGAGAGCGTTAACATGCTCAGAGCAGCAAAGCGCAATCATAAAATAACACTCACTGCTAGGGCGTACATCTGGTACTTGAGGTCGAGCGGGCTGTACCCGGGATGCAGCCGATGCTTGTGATGGTCTTGAGGCTCACCACCACCGCCAGTGTCAATGTCACCGTTCAACAGCGGTGCACCATTGTGAGGTGATGAGCCAACTGCTGCGACACCTGATGCTGCCTGTGCCTGAGAGGCGGCAGAGAAAGCGGAAGTGGAGCGCAGTTCGGCGACGTCAGGCCGGCTGCGAACTGGGCTTGCTAGGCTGGACCGTGATGGCAGCTCAGGGGCCAGCCGCTTGACTAGAGGGGAGGAGGCCTTCTGCGGCACTGCCTGCTGGTAGCGTCGAAAGCTGAGTGCCGCCTTGCGCGGCACAGGTGACAGGTAGTCAGTTGGGTCGAAATCTTTGAAGGGGAAACGCACAATTTTCTGCGACTTGACCCACTTTCCATTGAGCAGTTGGAAGCGTTTCAGGTGGATGATCTGCAGCAAAAAAAAAAAAAAAAAAACAATTACCATGAAGGAGCAACGCAAAGAAACGGGCCTTTCTTTTTTTGTCAGCCACATGCAGTATAGTCGAGCCCACATATAACTGCCCCACTTAAATCGAACTTTTGCTTACAATGAATGACATCCGCATGACCGTGCAAATATACATTATTTCAATGGCACGAAATCGCACTTACAAAGAACATCTCTGAGCATCGTCGAACGGCTACAGTGAACGGAGTCGGGGCTCGGGTGAACTTCCAGGAGGAAAACTGCTTTCGACCACCCATTAGTCATAGGCGAGGTGCCCATAGATTCTTAACGCCAACCCCGCTTCCGCAGCCCTCTAGTTGTCACTCTCCCCGACCACATTTCATTACACACCCCTTCGTCTTTTGTCCCTACGCTACTCTGAGCACCCCGCATCGACAGACGAGGCCCGCGTTTTCACACTGCCATGGATCTTTTGACGAGTGGTCAGCCAACTAGTCTCCCCTCAGTTTTTGATCGTTAGTTTTGTTACGCTATCATTCACGTTACCGGCCTGGGGTGACCAGCCATTTACCAACATTGTCGGCCATCGACTGTACAGGCCGGACCCCGAGCTAACCGCCCAGCCGCAACGCACCTGACGGGACACCTGACTTACCCAAGTGGGCTGCAAATGACTGAATCAGCGATGCTCCTTCACCCTCTGGTGCTTGCGTCAGCGTCACTGCATGCGCTTGCATGCAACCACCGACTTTGCTAACTTTTAACTCGCGATTCGTTCCGTGTTTTGGACCTTTTCTCGCTCACTTCGCACTCGGCTCAGCATGCCTTACGCACATGTTCGGAAGTATAAAAACAGCTTTTACACGGAACCAGTCGCGAATGATAGAAGTCGGCGGGGCCGCGCAAGTTCGCTGGCGCCACAATGCACTTCCTTGAGCTCTGTGAGCGGAGACCGCTCTCCCAAGTTTTCCTACACACGAGTTGGACGCGTTTCATGAACCCTGCAAGCAAGCAAGCAAGCTACTCGACCTGCCTTCTTTCCGTGTGTTTTTATTTTCAAGGTTGCCTTCCCTCCCCTCCGTATGCTACCCTCTCATCACTCTGTTAAGAGTGTACAATAAACTCTGTTGCAACTCTCCCACTGCTCCACAAGCCAGCCACGCTGGCGACGCTGGCTCGAATTCAGAAGTTTCGTTTTCTGACCACAAACAGGCCCAGAGCAGTTCCATGCATGCTGGCTTCTGCGTCGTACGTGCACATCTTGCTCGCTGCTGAGCGTATGTTTTCAGGATGGCAGATGGAAGGCCTTTTGCGCTTTGTTGTGCCGCTTGACAAAACGTCGAAATTGTGACCGCTTGGCTCGTGCGTAATCCGCGCGTTTAGGACTTACTATAGGTGCCGTGTTGTGGAGCGCTTGCTCATATTTGTTGACCACCCGGCAGCTAACCTGTCGCTTTGTGGGCCGGGATGAAGCCGCATGTGTGCGAAGCCGTTTTCGTGAGGCCGACTTCGTCGATGTTGGACACGATGTCGCGCCTGAAGCTTCGGAAAAGAACCATTTTAGCGGCGATTTGTGGCAGCACGTTGTCGACTCGGACATGGGAGGGCATGTGACACATCCGCTGTGCTGATTTCATTACAGCTGATAATAATGCCGACACTATGGAACCATGCATGGCAAAAGCGATTTGGAGGAATCGGACGGCGAGGGTGATAGAACTTTGGAGCTAGTGCCTACAAGCGTGCTTGTACCAGTTTTCCACATTAATAACCCTAGGCAGCCTGTATGGGGAACCAGCACTGGAGTTTTCGTGGACATGGAGTGCTGCCCTGTTGAGCGTGGCCGGGAACATTCGGGCGTACAAACAAATACTAAAGTGAACCATGTCTCCGTGTGCAATGATCGGACGAGGGAAAAGAAGCTTTGAGACTGGTGTTATTGTTGTATTCACAAATGCCACAACCACAAAAAGGTTTTAATAACAGGAAAAAAATAGTCCAGAGCATGTATAGTTCAACTCCCTCTGGCGTCGTTTTCCACCAATGGACATGGGTTGGTGCTCTGAAAAATATCACAAGTAGTTTAATTGAAGCTTCAATTGAAAATGTTCAAAAAAGCACATAAAAAGCACCATATATTATTTATTCAGTAGTAACACAACCACAATTGTAACGCGAGGGGTGACATGATGGTTGCATGATGCCTGGGAATAAAAAATAAAATTTCGGTACTTTGTATGAGAGGGTCAAGTTAAAAAGCAAGAATTAAAAAAAAAAAACTCGTCCCGTTCGAATAAATATGGTATTAGTATATCTGACTGTCGTGTGCACTGCTCCAGAAGGTTACTCACCTAGAAAAACAGTGATAATCTACGCATGTTCCATTACTGACCACACTGCATGTCAACTACGGAACCACCGCAAAGTCAAATTACCACCAGGTTGTTCAAAGGCTTTTTTTTTATGTATCAGGCTTACATGACTGCCAGCCGCAAGCTTACAAATGGTCTGCGGACGATGATGAGTCAACTTCGTTAGAGCATGCCCGCGGCGACTTGTCTGCATTTCCGCTAACACCACCAATTTCCGCTTTACACTGGCCTTTCGTGTGAAGGTTGCCTTAGACATTCATTTCACGATTCACCCTCAGCTTCAAAAACTTATTTTAAGACTGTGATACGGGCATTTTGTGGGTTCACGCTAGCCGTTGAACACACCGTAAAAAAAAGCCCGTGGCGGAACAGCTTTTGTTATATATAGAGCAAGACTTGCGGCTACCAACTACGTAAATGATGTGTTCTCGCTCAAAACAATTGTCACTTGGCCGAATGCTATCTCAGTGCTGCCTGAGAAACTACTACTGATTTTACTTCAAAGTAGGTGCACAATGAGCAACCTGCACACTGTGTCGAGCTTCGCAAGCGCTACTTGAGCACACTTACCCGTGAATTCACGCCGTAGAATGCTTGGCACAACGTTGAAAGGTCACAATGTTTCTTCCGCGTCATAGACGTACTTGATATCAAACAGCGTCCCTCCTTTCAACAACAGTCTCGTGAAGGTGCGCACACCACATCGCTGAAACTGTAGGGGAGAATAGTTGCTGGCATCGCTGCTCACCCGCTGCATCCCTGTTTTGAACAGTGTCTAAATCTTCGCTGGTCTTGCGCGTTCCAGATTACCTGCTACAGCACGACGCACATTGGGCAAAACCGGGGGTAGTGTCGCATGACGTTCATGATGCGTTGCAGCGCAAGCGGCGAGTTCAAAAGCTAAAATGTGCCCACAGTACACCTCGCGGAGGGTCTGTCCTGCTAGCTGGCTCTCAGCCAGTTCACCAGGGCGCCACGTCGCGTAAATTTTAGGCGCTCCACCTGGGCAGCGCTGGCTTCCCATATGCCACAGGCATCAGCAAAAGGCATACTGCCTCTTTAAATAAACTCCTCATCGCTTCTGCTAGCACATGCATCACGGACTTTTTTGGGAAAAAAATTGTGTTTTCACTCGCAACTTTTGTTTAAAGCTGTGTTTCATTTACTAAGAACTTCGCGATACAGCGAACGGATGCCACGTCTAGCTCATGTTCGTTATAAGCAGGCTTGACTGTATTAATGAATAGTGCTCCAGCCAAGCACCTCACTGGAGTGGTGCACAATCCTCACCAATGGGTACAGCCAAATATTGATGTATAAACAATGGCAGGGGCTGTTCTAGACTAAAACCACCTTGTCTTGCACTATTTCTTGGCACACAAGTCGACATGCACATATTGAAACTGAAGCAAATGGTTAGTAGAGAATAAAAGCTCAGACACTTATTGACAAGTGGTAAGGGACTAACATGGCCGCTGAACCATAGAACACGATATCGTAAAATTCCCAGCAAGTGCCCCTCCATTTTCAAGGCTAATTTTAAATTTTACGCTGTTCTGGGAAAGCCTCGTGCTTCTCCTAGACGTCTACTGCATGAGAAGCTAGCATGAAAGTGGATTCCAGGTGTGCCTACCAATATGGGTGGCAGCCGGTATATTTGCAGCTTCTTGGTGGCCAGTTGATGCTGCTTGCAACGCGAGCAGTAGTACTTCTCACGATCACCCAGTTGCTCTTCTTTGGTGAAAGCCGCCAAGCAGTCATGCACGCTGATGGGTTCCACTTTCTGCTGTTGTGTTCGCTCTACACTTGGGTGGTCCACATACACCTGCCAAAACAGGTCTTGTCAGCCTCCACCCAACTGGAAAGTCGCATGTTCAACAGCATGCACACCCACAGGGCTGTGCCATCAGCACTCTGTTTTTAGTGAGCCGTGTAACTTACCCTCTCCTGAGAAGCTTGGTACCTCAGGTGCAATGCAGTTGGATCCCAATCAATGGACAGGTACAGAGAGCTGAAGTTGAAGTCCGCATCATCACAGTCGATTGGGCAGCCACGACAAAATCTGTAAAGAACTCTCGTTAGGACATACTTTGCAATGAGCATATGAATCACTTATTTAAGAGACAGCGTTAATAATAATAATATATGAGGTTTAACATCCTAAATATGAGACAGTGTTACAATATACAGGAGGCAATTGACAAATTAAGTACACAACTTCGTTACACTGAAGGTGAAGGGGCAGCAAAAATTGGTTGTCGATTTGCTCTTTCCTGCAATATGTACACTAAAAACTCGTTAATTTGAGTTCCACGGGGACACTGAGCAATTTCAAATTAAAGAAAATTCAAGATAATGGAAGTGAGCAAAAATGGGTGGATTTTTTTTGGGGGGGGGGGGGGGGCATAAAAATATTTATTGGCTAAAAGTCTGGAATGACCATCTGCCTCTTTTCTCTGAATACCACAGCTGCAGCTCTCTGTTCTAGCGTGCACGGACGTGACGCAGGGAATCCTCTTCACAACGTCGATTAAGTGCCTCCATCACCTCAGAACCTGATGGGCACACACGCACTTCGTCTTCCTCCCCTTCTGGCTTTTCAGCAACAGGCTGCACACACGCTACTCAAGCGATAATGTCCTCATCAGTTGGGGCACCACACACCCATGCACAGGTGTCAACTTCAACGACAAAACTTACGCCCTGAAGAGTGCCGCGAAATGCCACTGGCACGAGCTTCTCAGCCCCGTCTATCCCGACATCACAACTATCCTGCGCACTTCAAGCTGCAAGTCCACTGCTGCAAGTCCACTGTGGTGGAAACAGTTTGCGATTGTGGTCGCCGTGACCTGTTCCCATGCGCACACCAACATGTGCATGGCAGTGAGCAGCACATGTGCATGGCAGTGAGCAGCGTAATGCCAAAGTCCTTCCTGTCGCCTGCGCACAAGATCATTCTCTCAACTATGCGACGCCGATAAAAGCACTTGAAATTCCTTATCACACCCTGGTCCATTGATTGTAGGGCCACAGTCGCGTTTGCTGGAAGAAACACTAACTTTGTTTCCTCAGCTCAACGTCGACTTTGTGCACCGAACAGTTGCCGACGACAAGAACAACATGTCTGCCGCCCCAGTTCAATTCACCTGTCGAATTTCAATAGCCACTTCCTGAATAGGTCAACTGTCATGCAGGCTTTCCTGCTTATGGCACACCCTGTCGGGAGTGGCCGAATGTTTTTGAGCCAGTAGCTTGCACCCTTTGCTCCTTTTCTGTACCGGTCATATTCACGGCGACCAGAACAGTAACACGCTCCTTGCTGGGCTTGCAGCTGGCACAGCTGTCCAGGTGATCGTCTTGTTTGGCTGCAACTTGAAAATAACGCTGTATGTGGCGAGTAGCTCTCCAAGTACTGCTGCAGGGTGTCGCTTCTCCAAGTGTTCCAGCATCCACTTCCTTTGCCTCACCAGATAACGTGTGAAATATGAGGTTGAGCTGCTCCCTAAAAAAATAAAACCATCCCTGAGAGGCGACAAAGTTTTCAATGTCCAAGCGCAGGGTAAAATCAGCTGCCTTAGCCATGTGTCACGATTTATCCTGGGAGCACTTGCACAAGATTGGATTGAGAGAGACTGGCGACGGGCATGACAAACAAACACCCTTTATCACACCAAAAAATGAAAAAAAAAAAGTAAAAAATCGAAAGCGAGAACAACCACTCGTGAATACACAAAACTACTTCACATTCAAACCAAAACTGATTGTAGCCCAGTCTAAATTCGTTTCTAGCCCTAGCCGCCAGTACTAAGTAAATATGGCACCTCAACAATCAAACATTCCTACAGTTCATCGCGTTGCCACGTCAAGTCTGTACCCTTTGCTGTGCCAACGCTTAGTCGGTTCTGTTGTCAACGTCCTTCCCGTCCGTTCCTACTGTGGTAGTCCTTTTCCACCGAACGAGCCACTTGATCCGATTGCTGGGATTGTTCCAGTCTTCGTCTTCTCTGGCTCAGTTAGGTGCCGCCCAACTCGTCAATGGCGTCATGACTGTGGTGCGGGCCGGATCTGTTCTGGTTGAAAGTGGAAGAGACGTAGGCCGATCAGGATTGATTGAATGATATGTGGGGTTTAACGTCCCAAGACCACCATATGATTATGACAGACGCCGTAGTGGAGGGCTCTGGAAATTTCGATAATTTGGGGTTCTTTAATGTGCAACCAAATCTGAGCACACGAGCCTACAACATTTCAGCCTCCATCGGAAATGCAGCCGCCGCAGCCGGGATTCGATCCCGCGACCTGCGGGTCAGCAGCCGAGCAGCTTAGCCACTAGACCACCGCGGCGGGGCATAGGCCCATCAGGAACTGTGGTGAAAGGTTGCGTCAAGTTTGGGCAGCCTCACTAAAATCTTCCGAGATCGACGGCCACTTTCCAGGCATTTTCACCGACAGCCTAAGAACAGGGCGGCTCTACTGCTTCGTCGCTGTAACAACGCTGACCTTCTTGATCTTTGCAGTTCGAAGGCCCAAGAAACAGTGACAGCTCGTTCATTGAGATTTTCCATAGCAGCTCGAGTCGCATGCCACAAGCCTTCTTGTCCAATGTCGCACGTGAACGTGGCACATATGTGCACCATCGAGGTTCTTGCGCACCGATGCAGCGTTCCAGCGCTCGGCACGTGTATCGTGCCCTCTTACTCATGACACCATGATGATAGGCCGCTCAATGCGATACTCTGGGCTCTCATTTCTTTAACCCAGATAATTAAAGCGGACTCCAGTTCCGAGAATTTCGCTGTCCTTAGCCTTCTCTGACTGACGCCAAAATTCTCGGCTTCATAGGAGTTTTTAATGGCCGTCTTATGCCGTATATAAGTGGAATGATCGTTATAACTGATGATCGTTGTATCTGAACTGTCGTAAAAAATCTTTAACGGACATGCCTTTCATAGCTCCAGGCTCAAATTCGCTTTTTCTACTAGCGACAGATGCTGTACATTAAAGGCTTTCAAAAAAAAAAAAAATCCATTTTATACTCCGAAGAGCGTTTATGGCTTCGGCGTGATGAAGTAACATATTTACTCGCATAATATTCGCACTCGCATAATTCTCGAACCCCCCCCCATATCGCCCAACAAAAATACGATTTTTTTTTCCCTCGAGTAATTATAACAACCCCGAAAATCGCTGTAATAATGTCATCTGCTCGTTCCAGCCATTGATGATGATAGCACGTGCCATTTGGCACCATCTCCTAAGCATAGAGCATACTATTATAGCACCGAGATTCAATCCAATCTAAGCCAAGCCAAAGAGGCAAGTGGGCGTTGCGGCGTGTTTTGTATGTTGTGTCCGTAATCTTGTCACGTTATAGGGCGATACTGAAGCTACACGGCTGCTTTCAAGTTGAAAGTGATTGATCGTGCACTAAACAACGGCAACAGGGCTGCCGGTAGGTCTTTTAGAGTTTACCCAGTTTTGTGTTCGCTACCAGTGACGGCAGCTGAAAGCCACCAAGACGCGCTGGGCCTACCACGAGCCTAAGACTGGGATTGATGGTAAACTTTATTTCTTCAGAAGGCAACTGCGGACAATTCTGTTAAATGGCCATCGGCCCAATACTGACGTCCTATGCTTACTTTTTGAGAGCTCCTGTTGAGTGACGAACACTACCGCTATGCTCGCAACTCCCACAAGCTTTGCGTATGGTATTCTAATTCTCGACTATTTGCTTGCACTTTTTGTATCAAATAAATCAGCCTTGTGTTGAATTTGTGCTCTTATTGTTGAGGTAAGTTTTAATTAGTACTTTTCAAAGCTTGCTGTTAGTTGTTGGTGTGAGAATCCTGATTTGCAGCCACTTTGCTTTCTTAATCGTTCTACACCGAACGAACACCGAACGAACGTTTTCGTGGAAAGTTTTCCCCGCGTAATTCTCGCACCTCGCAACTTTGCATCGGTTTTCCGACAAAAAAAGTGCGAGGATTATGCGAGTAAATACAGTAGTCTGATATCCGCAGTTGCTTCCACGGAAGCGTCAGCTTAACAAGCATGGTTCACATAGCTTCAAGCTGTTGAGAAAACTCAGGCGGCATTCCTCAAGCACGCATGAAGTCTACTAGCGTGTCGATCGACACCAGTGCACTTTGCGTGGTCATCGGCGGGTCCGGAGAAGCGCTGTGACTGTTGACCTCGTCATCACCACTACTGTGACTGCTGCCGTAGCACAACGCCGGCGTCTATTACTTCAGATCTGTGAGGATTGCCTCGCCGGTTAGTTCGTCGCAGTACAAGGCAGCACTGTCTGCTGTGAGAAGTCCTCAACCGATGCGACACACCCACTGTGTCACCAGCAGCGATGTGCTCTCCCAGAGCTCATCGAGATCCGCGGTTTCAGTGCTGGTCTTGCTGTTACTAGGCAGGGAAGGCTGGTCCTGGTGCACAAAGCCTGCTTTCCTGAAGCAGTCTTGTAAGGTGATCTGCTTCACCTCGTACCACACGCCGCAAACAAAGCGCACGGTCGTTGGAAGGCTGATCTTCAAGTCAGGGGTTCCGTCTGCATTGCCCGACGTACCGGTAGCCGAGCGGTCAATCGCTAGCACCAGCCACTCGCACATGCGCCGCCGGTACAGCACTTTAAAATGTGCTATCACGCCAGCGTCTAGCGGTTGCAAGCCTGCCGTCATATTAGGCGGCAGGAACATCAATTCTATTGATGTCAGCTTCAGGCTCACGTTTTGTGCGCTGCAGTTATCCAGCAGGAACACCACCTTCCGCCCCTGGCTTTCGATCACATTGTTCATCTCGAGCAGCCACTCCTCCAACAAGACTCTGGTCTTCTTATTGCTGCAGTAGAGGAACGAGATGTGCCGATTTTTGAAGCAGACTGGCTTCTTCGATCGCCTAATCACGAAGGGCTTCATCCGATGACTACCATCCATGTTCAGGCAGAACAATACGGTCACTCTAACTTTGGAGTGCTTCCAGCCGGGACACGAATGGCCTCTCAGAGCATGCGTCTTCGATGGCATCACTCGAAAAAAAAAAAGGGGGGGGGGGGGGGGAGGATGAGGACAGTCTCCTCACATTTATAAATATCTTCGTACGAGAAGCGCTTCATAAGTGTGGGCAGTTTGGTCTGCAGCCAATGCTGCTTTGCTTGGGAATCTAGAGAAGCCGCTCCCCTCCTCCCACCAAGTTTTTGTAAAGAATTCCATGCCACGCTTTGAACCTTTGTATCCCATCCACCTCCGGGTTTGAAATCTGGCCGACCAAGCAGTAAAGCGAGATTTTTTGCGTTCATGGTGTGGGAATTGAGGCTAGCCCGCTGCTTTTGCGCGGGCTTTGCCACCTTTTCTGCCGTTGTCATGTCCCGACATGTCTGCCCTCCTTTGCTGTCTGCCGCGCTGGGAGAGCGGAATGACGTTTAATCCCCTCACCCGGTAGCGGATGTTGACTGTGGCGCTGCGCGCGGAGTCTCCCGAGAGATTTTCGCACGCTGTGTCGGGAGCGGGCAGAGAGATACTCTCCGGGACTGCAAACGGTGAGCCACGCAATCTTTTCCGTCCGTCGACTCCCGTCGCTCGGGGCTTGTGGGACTTCGCTGACGGCGCCTTGTGCCCGAGGTGAACGCTCACCTTTTGTTGCCCCACTGCGTACGCACGGCCGAAGGCAGTACAGTGTCCTAGTGCGTGGCCTAGCTACGCCGACCCGTCTCCCTCCGAAGCCAACGCGAGCGCCTTTGCCCTCACTCGAGCAACCGGGCTTTGGTCCCGGTGTCTCCGTGAATCACCTTTACCGCGGAGACGTGCTCGTGGCACCCTATGTAGTACTTTTGTGCCCGTGGCGTGGATAAGCCTATTTGCTTTCCCGTCGCGCCTTTGCAACGGACTGTACTGCGTTTGGTGTTGTCACAATAAAGTGTTGCCACTTTGAGCAGTATCGTGTTCTCGCCACGGCGACGGTTAACGCGTGCCCTGCGGCTCGCTAAAACCGGTCCCACGCTGGTGGCCTTACTCCTTCGGCATACGTGTACACCACAATGGCAAGTATAGGCCCACTGATCGGCACATTCAGTGAACGGATTGTCAAAAACCACTGGTAGAGCGCCTGTTCCAAGTTCGCATACAAAGGCTCCCGTACCCTCTTTCACTCGTCGGCATGGCTGCTGGATCCTGCTTTTAAAAGTGCAGTGCTGCCAGCTTTGAGGATTGTCGATATCGTCGACTGCGCGAGCTCATATTTTTTCACAAGGACACTAACCTTGAATCCTTGTCGCGAGTTTTGTAAAATTTTCAACTTCATGTCAAGCGACATGGCCTTACGCTTCGTCGGTGCCATCTTAGCTGAAGCTTAGCTCCATCTGCGCTATTCGCGCGATGCAATTGCTGAGAACGTGAGACTGGTTCAGTCTGGTCGGCACAGGCAGGACTCTGCGTGCAGCTTTGATTTTCATATTTTCTCTTTTTTTTTTTTTGCTCTCTCTTCTTTGTCGCAGGCATGGTGTTGGTCACAGGGATCCGGGACGAGGCTTTGCTTTTCGCATTTTTTTTTTTTTTCGTCTTTCGCTGCGCTCTGCGTCGCTCTTAGCGTGCCGCGGCAACTTGCGATGTTTTCTTCGTCTTTTGAAATTGGCGGGACGCACCACCGGCGCTGCGCTGCAATGATGGTAAATATGAACTCGCCTACGCTGACTTTTCGCGTTCCTTTCAGTGGAACTTATCTGTGTGAATGTTATGATTATTCTGGAACTTGCCGTCCAAACGGCAAAATTTTCAGCGTTGTATTTGATATACGATGGATAACATATCGTTATATATGACGTTTCCCCCATAGCCCCAATGCAAAAAATGAGACTTAAGTCAACCCATCGTTATAACCAATACAGCCAACTGCCGATTTTTCGGACACCAGAATTTTCGGACATGCCTGATAATTCGGACATCTTCGCAGCACCGCCACGAGCCCCATAGAATCAATGCATAAGGAAGTCTGAAATTTCGGACGGTCGAACCACCCGGAGTCCAATTATCCGGACTTTTTGACACGACGAGAGGTCGGAAACCACTACTGGCCTCCGGTGGAAACCACCACAACTGCCTCACACGCGATTACGATCGCATAAATGAGCGCGCCGGTCTACTGTGGCAGCATCTGTTGCTTGGAATCGTTGATCGTTAGCGGAGAAACATACACGGCCTTCGAGATACCCAACACTGGCCGTGTTTATCGTGCAAGGGTGCTTCGCTGACAATCCAAACTACTGTATTTACTCGATTCTACCGCGCCCTCGATAGTAACGCGCACCCGATTTCCTTGATAAAAAAAAAAAAAGGTAAGACATCGATTGCGACGCGCACCCATTTTTCTTGCCGGCCCACACTCGAAAAACGACTCCTTTCGGGAGCATCTTCCATTTAAATATGAGGTACGGGCAAAGCTTGTGCCCATCTGATGTGTAACAGAGCATTGCCGTCACTGTAGTTTTACCGTGGACCGATGTCAGCACGCGAACTTGCTTCTCGGATTTTATAGTCAGGTTGGAAGAAAGAAAACCTAGCACACTCACTTGTACCAAGGACACCAGGCACACATGAATCCATCTTTGTGAACAGCCTTCAACGTGAACGGGTATTCGTATCCAAGGCTATCATCACTTGAACAGGGAAAAAAAGAAAACAGGGAGAAATAAAATTATAACCCCCAGTAGAAAGCGTTTTCTTGTACGACTAAGTACTAAAATGGCACTGTGACTACAAGAGTGAACAAAGTGAACGGCAGTGCACTTTGATCAACACACTGATGGTTATTCATGTAGTTCTAACAGTATACGTAAACACAGCCCCAATTCTCGACGTACTTTGGTGTGGCAACAAGCAGGCTACACATGCCAGCGTGAGTGTCACTAGCAGTGAGTCATGTCTTGGCCACTAGAAGTGGTACACTGCACGAGCACTGTCAGTTAACAATGTGAATGCGCAGTGCGCATTTACTGGGATGCAAAAAGACAGAAAATCCATGCCTTAAGCTATTTGTATTTCCAGAGTGCCTAAACTTGATAACAACCCAAGAAAAAAATGTCAGCTGCCCCCACACTTATCGCTGTCCCTGTCACAGAGAATTTGCATAAGCACTATACTCAAGAGCTCTTACACCTTTTCGTTAACATCAAGCACTTCTTGAGTGTGGCTGGTCAGAAACTTTAACATCTTGGTAACTTATGTTCCGAGATTCTGAAACACTGCTCTGCCAAACTATGTCTGAGGTCGTAACAACGAACCTTCACCATTTAATATTCATAGCACTTACATCAACCAAAAAAAAAGCACCTCATGTATGAGTGGAAACCAGCTACCACAACTGTCTTGCACAGTGGCTTTTTGGGCTAGCTGGTTACATGCGTCAAAATGTGGCACAGCGCTAAAACACACATGGACGACGAGGTAGCACTTGTCTTTCTAGTCCGTGTGTGTTAGTGCTGTGCCACATCTCGTCTTTCATAGGTTGAAGGACAGGCGCACTGCAGTCCTGTGGGCAGAGCTGACAACTTTTTAGCAGGTTGCAGCTATAGTAGTAGGGCTTCGAGGAACTTTGCACACAGAAAGCGCTTACCAGTCCTGTGCATGGTTGGGCACAGTAGACTCGGATGGTGGCAGTGGAGAGACTAGTCGGGCCACCTGGGTCCATACAAGCCTGTACAGGTCCTGTCTACTAGTGCCGTCATGACAAGGCAGCACCAGAGGAAGACCAAAAAGTGTCGGCCGCGTCTTCTGGGATGACAGGAAGTAGACGTCTTGCCTCATCTGTAATGAGAGATTGTGCACTTGGCTTTGAAGGCACCAGAACACTGGGTCATGTGGCCAGCTGCATGCTTCAGTAAAGAAGGCAAGAGAACACATGGGGTAGCTACGAATAAAGATACAGAGAGTGCAGGTAATACATTCTTAGGCTACTCAGCAGGAGTGTGTGAATATTCTAAACTTCGAATATTTTTCTAATAGTGTTTGCTAGTCGATTTAATTCACACTGGAATTTCAATATTTGAACTATTACAACTTCCCAAAGACACAGTGAACATAATAAATAAAGGCCCCTTCAGATTTTTTATGTGTTTCACCCCCATCATAATCACGTGTTTTGGCAAAGCTGCCTCCCAGGCTCTGCTACTTTCGCAAATGCATTGACTTGAAAAAAAAAGAAAAAAAAAAAGGCTAGTTCTAGCGTGGAGATGATAGATCTAGCAGAAGTCGGGGCTCAATTAATGCTGTTCTGAATCTGAAATATGAACAAAAAGTTGGAGAAATCGGACACCGAAGATTTTTAGCATCCAAAATTTCAAATGTTCTTATACTATACTAACGTCCGAGGCAGATCTGGAACTCTAGACTCTGAAGGGAGCCAACCCTTCTCTGCCTCAATAGTTAGGCTTCCACATACGTTGAAAAAGAAAGAGAGGCTGACGAAATAGCATCTTTGCTTTGCACATGTAAAGTGTAGTTGGCAACACTTTGGTTGCACAAAATCATGTACATAAATACCTTTCGGTGTCTGCATTGCCTCATTCTTGATAGACAACTACAGTCGAACACAGTTACATCAAATCCACATATAATGAATTTTTGGGCATATCAAACTCATAAGTTATCCCTTTGACATTCCTTTGTATATGTATAGAAATTAGCACATTTATATCGTACAGTATCTTTACCCGCCTTCGAATAGATCGAACGCCGCATGAGCTGGAAGGTGCGCTTCCGCACTCACCGCACCCTGCTATCTCCCCGGCAGCGCGGCTCTGCGCGCGAGTTGGAAGGCGCACTTTGGCATTTGGCACTCACACGCCCAGCGACCTCCACGAAGCATCACGCCTCCGTCAAAACCCGAAACGCTTGAAAAAAGGTAAGGGCAAGAGGGCGCACACTGCACAATCTCTAACTTGTGGACCGCTTTTTTTTTTTGTTTCTCCTTTTCTCTCTCTCATGCTTTCTCCGCGTACCAGTCGGCTTGGAGAGCAGAAATGAAGGAGCCGACGTCCTCCTCCATTTGCCTTCAATTTGTTGTTGCTATTTTGCAAGGTTTGGCTCCCACCTTTTGCTGTTGCCCTAGCAGGTGGCCATCGCCTCGCGAGCGCTTTGCTTCTGTTGTCGCGTCGCCTACGTTCCATCACATGTGCAGCATTTCTCTTTTGCATGCGTGGTGTGCAAAGCCACTGCGGACTCCTTGAATTGTCGACTTCTCGTGTAGCTATGGCCAACGTCAAGAAGCGCAAGACCCTTGACTTTGCGACGAAGTTGAAGGCTATTCAGCATGTTGAGGCGGGCGAGAAATGTTTGACTGTCGCAGACAACTTCGGGATATGACGAAGCACTCTAAGCACCTTGTTGAAGAGCAAAGCAGATATCAAAGCAAAAGCGGTGGAGAAGCGAACGTCGAGAGCCTGTCATGTGCGTGCTTCTGCCCACGGGAATGTAGAAAAGGCACTCTATGCCTGGTTTTTAGAAGTGCGCGTGAAGAACATTCCAGTGGATAGCCCAATGCTGATCGCCAGGGCCAAATAGTTTACAGCTGCACTCGGTGAAACAACTTCGCTGACAATGCCGGGTGGCTTCGCCGATTTAAGCAGTGCTACTACATAGTTGGCAAAACCAATTCTGTCGAATGCGAAGCTTTCAGCAGCCAGGACATAGCCAGGACATAGCCTCATAGCCTATTTTCTACATTTCCAGGGAAATTCTGGAGAAAAAAAATTCCCGGAGTCCTCCACTACGGCGGATCATATGGAGTCCATAATCATATGGTGGCTTTGGGACGTTAACCCCCACATATCAATCAATTAGTTTCTACATTCTCAGCTTTCTAAATAAGTAGGGCTTGTTCCGACTATTTGTTTTGGGCAGCTGTAGATATTGAAGTTTAACTAGCCGCAATCAGATCAGTGGGCACACGAAATTCATCATTTCTATTGCAACGACCATTTCCCGAAAAACCATAATGCTCGACACATGACTGATTCGATGCATACTCGATTTCGTTAACACATACCCTGTTTCTTCTTCTTTTGCTGAGAGAGAAAAAGGTAACCAGAACGCCAATTTTCCTCGCAACACATATTGCATAACTGTGCAATTTTACTCAGAGGTCAAGGCGAGGTACCCTTCTTGGGCAGAACCTCTCTCTGCTGGCTAAAAGTGATGTTACCAAATCTTCACCATATATCATTGAGACACTAAAAATAAAAAGCTATAATAGTCCACCAACCTAACGACATCTCAGTTGGCATGAAAAATGAATGTGCCAGAAAGCAAATGTACTGATTAGCACCTAATTACAATCCAAGCTTGTTCAAGGCTTTTTTTTTAATTATCCGAAGTACATTTGCATGATTTGACATCATCCTTGAAGTATCTTCTGCCAGAAACTACAGAAAAATTGCTAGCTGGTGCAACAGAAACATCCAAAGATTAACATTTCCCAGGGGGTCACACTGCCGGGAAATCGGCCATCTTCAGAAACAAGCCAAGTGAACTGCTATTTTTGAGTAATTGTTGAAAATATCTATCGCTCATAAAAATAACTGTGCTAGAAACCAAGCACTCTTGCTTTTAGAATGTGCCAGGCGGCAAAACTAGTTATTAAGCCCCCGATTTTAAATTCTCACTTGTGTTTCGGTCACTGGTGACCCTTGTTCTATATTCGTGGTAACAAAAGGGCCAAAAAGAATTATTTGGAGCAGAGAAAATATGTACATTTAACCTTGATGCGAGTTTTTGTGGCAGTGCTGATTTCCGCTTAATAGGTAGTTTTACAGCGTAGCAGCCCCATGACAATATGAAATAACTTTTCCAGGCAGGCAACATACAGTAAAATACTATGCCTATTTATCAATTTTAAATACTTAAAAATTTTAGATAGCCTGAATTTGTGTCAAAGCAAATTCGAATACTGTAATATTCACTATTTTGCTATGATATGCAGCATAAATAAATTCATTACCTGCAATAGCATTGAGCTCTCAGCATTATATTACGCCTCAGCATATCAAAAACAATAGCATTGTATGTGTGACATCCTTTAAATGAAAAGAAAGGAAAAGGGAAAAAATAAATGAAATGCAACCCGAACATGAATGCTTTCACTACCATGCGCAAAAACTTCATACCGTGATGTGCAAAAACTTCATACCATTAATTAATTGAACATAATTTCTACTTTCAAGAATTATTTGCTGGATATATTTTTGAATAGCAGCTCCAAGATGGAAGAATAATTTTTTTTCAGCTTTACAAGAAACTGGACACGATGAAATTATTGCATATGCCATAACACAGGCACAGGTCCTGCAAGTGAAATGAAATGAGAGTGACCAGAAGCTTTGGTCAGCACACAAACACACCATTTTACGGTGGTAGGCCACAACGAAATTCCGCCGAGGCAGGTCAGACAGATCTGCTGCCGAGCAATTGCTTGTGAGGCTAGAGCTCATGCCGGACGACATCTCTGGGTACGCCCCATTCCACGAGGCAAGAGCACCTCCAGATGATGTCGAACCAGGGGTGTCAGGTCGTTCGGGTGGGCCCTCACTCCCCGCCATCTGTGCCTAGTTTGAAAGCAAGAGATGGTCAGCCATCTGTTAGCACAGGTGCGCACGACAGATGCAACTTGTGGCTAGAATATTTGCATGCAGGACTAAGATAGGAGATATATACAGTGGAATGCCAGTGATACGATTCTGCACAATAGGTTTTCCTTCACATTCGCAGCCAACATCCCATGGAAATAATTCATCTTTATGCAGTTCATATGATCACACTATTGGCCAAAGCTAGATGTATGATCACGAATGAGTACTTCGTCTGACATATAAAACAATCCTACTTTTATTCTTCGGTATACTAGCCCCCCCACACACACACATTTTCGCAGATTATCAGCGCAATTGCTCCTTGTCTATTTTTATAAATGTGTACTTTCAAGAAATAAACACAGTTGTAAGTGTCTACACTTCATGTGCGCGTTGGACGTTTCTAATGTGCTGTCTTCCTTGCACAATTTAAAGGTGTCTAGAAAAAAAAACACTTGTGAACCAACCAGCCAAACAACAAGCCTTACTGCATTTTTTTTTTTACTTTTCACAAGAATTTACTCTTTGAAGAAAAAAGTGAGGTGCAAATTTAGCACTCCAATGATGTTCAATAAAAGTGAGTTGCTGGCTGAATGTGCATATTTTCCTTTTGTATTTAACTTCTTTATTTAATACAGTTTTTGCATAACACATTTTATTACCCGATTTCAATGAAAAATGTATCAATGAGATTCCACTGTATATCTTCGTCACATTCTCCATGCCTAAATAATGAAGAGGGCAACCTATAAGAATTTAAGCAAATACCAAATGAACAGAAAAGTACCTGACATATTAAAGTGAAATCCTGAGAAAGTCCACGTTCCATTATGAAAGAACGCACCTAATGTCACTGTGCACCTGACATGACTGAGAGGGGACTGGCAGCATTTCTATCCCTTTGCCGTGAGTGAAATGCCAGTGCAACAAACCAGCACCCCTTTAGCAACTCGGTGCTGCAAGTCGGTGTTCCATTGGTGTTACTCAAATATGCCAGTTAGTGTTGCAGTGTTGTTCAGTGTTGCAAGTCAGTGGTGCATTTGTGCACCTTTGGTGCCTGTGGTGCAGAAGTACAGTGTATTACAATGTACATTTGCACAATTCTAATGCATCGCCAAATGGTACCTCTGCCCGCATTTCCATAACTGCCTTAACAAATTGCAATGTATCAGCTATGATATATGCCTGCTGACTTGCATTAGAAGCTTCCTTCTCTTTACATCAATCGAAGCACTTGGGAGCAAACAAGTATATATTGCTTTTGTATTGGACACAATGACCAGTATAAAGTTAGCATTTAAGTATGACAGCAACACATTTCTATAAACATAACTTAGCAGTACAGTTAGCCCAACTTAGCTAGCATAATATCATTCTTCTGGACAAGAAAGGTGCTCTTAGAATTGTGCAAATATGGTATCTAGTTGCTTAACTAACATGTGTAATTTTTGCTGCACATCAACACACTGTGCCAATGGCAGCAAGCATACATGCTCTTATTTGCTACGGGTTCTAATTCCTTGTGTGTCAGTGGCCACTTTCACTAAACAAGTAATTTCTCTCAAAGGATTCAAGTTACGTACTGTAACCTTAATGTACTGATGGAAAAGTCTCAACAGCTCAGATGGCTGCAAGCCTACATAAGATGTTTTATAAGACCCTCATTAGAAAGTAGGCGAGAAGACAGTTATCAATCAATGAATAACTTGCTAAGCTCATAACTGGGATTGAATGTGGCTTAGAAATGCCCCACCACTAAAGAACAGGCAGCAACAACAACAGCAGTGGTGCCACAAAAGGCAAGGAAGAAAGAACAAAAAAAAAATACGAGCAGCAAACAACAGCAGCAGCAGCAGCAGCGAGTGGGAGGCAGCGGGTGACAATGCCGGAAAACTGATGACCACAAAAAGGTGAAAGTGGAGGCGCTGGCACTACACACACGACGCAACTTGAAGGCATGTACGCAAGGAAGGTGTGCTCAAGGACAAGGCTGAGCGCGTTGGTGCCCGCACGCACAAGGGAGAGCCCGGCCTCATTGTGGTGTCTGAACTTACGACCCTGCTTACGGCCCGGGGCCCACACCGGCTGCCACCCAGTCTGCTGCAGCAAAACAACCCCACGGTGGTCACCTGGCAAGAGGCAGACACGGCTTCCCCAGCACCTGCCAATGCATTGCCAATGTCCATGGGTGACCCACACAGCCCAAGGCCGCCATCTCCCGACGGGACGACACCGTTTGCCATGGGCTTGTTGCTGTGCGGGCCGTTGGCGCCTGCAGTACAAAAGTTAGGTGTGGTTTTAGCTTGGCTGTCTTCATTTTCTGTTCTTATGATTCACTGCATAAACATTATACACAATGCTTTTGGACCCATACCATTGGCAGCTAGTTGGGGGTCCAATAACAAAATGGTAGGGGTGTGCAAATATTCAAAAATCTAGGATATTTTTTTAATATTGTTTGCTGTTCAATTAGATTCGCATTGGAAATCTTACTATTTGAACTATTAGAACTTCTCTTTAAACTATTAGAGCTTCTCGAAGTCAAACACAGTCAATGTCCAATTGACAGTGGCCCCTTCAGATTTCTTAATGTGCTTCAACTCATCACACACTCATATTGTTTCAAAACTGCCTTTCAGGCTTTTCTACGATCCCAGCAGTATATTGACTCGAGAAAACGGTGGTTCCAACATGGACATGATAGATGTGGCAGAGGTGGGGAACTCGCTCTCTATATTTCGTGCCGACCGGTTGTGCCTCCGCGCTCTCCGACGACAGCGCAGCTCTGGCCGACTGGTTCGCCCTATGCCATCTCCTGCCGCCAACAAGAGCTCTCGCTGAGTGGTGCCCCGTCCTCGGACTCTTGCGACGGTGTCCATCTTTTCTATCTTCTCCTTCCTTCTGGGTGTCGCTGTCCCTGCGCCACGCTCTCTACTTCCCCCTTTCTATCTCTATACCTTTAATCCTATCCTTTTAATCCCTCCTTACCCCCATCCCTCCGTGAGCTACCGCTGAGGTGTCGCACTCTGATGCAGACAGTTACGAGGCTCACTTTTCTCTTCTTTTCTCTTTAAGAATCACATAAGAAAGGTGGGGCTCAATTAGCACTGTTTTGGACCTGAAACTTAGACAGGAAGTCTGAAAAATCAGACGCCGAAGATATCCAGCATCAGAAACTTCCGGTGTTGTTATATATGTTCACATCTACGAGGCAGATTTGTAACTCCAGACAGAAAAAGAGTACACCGCCACGTCAGTTGGGTATACACAGAAATTAAAAGAGTAGAGGCTGAGGAAATAGCATCTTCGCCTTCCATGAGTGAAGTGTTGTCGGCAAAAATTTGGTTGCACCAAATCATGTAGATAAATACAATTCGGCCACCGCATTGCCTTAATCTTGAGAAGACAACTATGAAACACAACCCTGCCAGCGCAACACAAGCGTGCCAAAAGGACATTTTCTTGTTGGTATCTTATAAATGGCATTTTCAGGAAAGCGCACTGGTGTGCACCAGTGCGTCTGTATGTATTCGATAAATCGCACAGGTGTGCACCAACCGTCTTTGGTAACCAGGGCACACCCTGTCGGGGCCCTTTTTCTTTTTTTGTTGCTCCGAGGTGCTCCGGAAAAATCGGCGGAGCGACGCTGTGCAATCCCAGCATTCATTGCGTGCAGCGCGCGTAGCCGACGATCAGCAGAGGACGCGCAACGGCTGGTACGGCGACAGCAAAAAAGATAGCGTGCCTCAAACTTTTGGAGGCTTGTTTGTCCAGTTCACCTGATGACGACAGTGAAGATGAAATTTAGCTATGCTTGGTGAGCAGGCACACAGATGAAATACCGAAAAAGCGCAATTTCGTGCGGGAAACCGTCAAGCTCTACTTCGAGTTCGATGTGAGTAATTTTATATATACACATAATTTAAAAGTGGGTGGACTTGAGCTTATTGGCTCTATTCATAGCGGGAAAACAGCGCTCATCGTGTAGCAGACAATGCAAAAAGCTGGACGAAGCACAGAAAAGCGCAAATTAAAAACGCGCGTGTTACGCTAGGCGGCGCTAGCAGTGCGCACCAAAGAGGTGCATTTTGTCTTCGGTATTTCCATTTGCCCCTCGAGTGAACTGGGGCGTTCTGCCTTTTTTGTTTTTGTTTTGGGGAAATTCTAGACTGCTCCAGGGCACAATTCCCAAAGATACTAAAAGATATGCTTGCTAATTCTCTCCAACTTTATTTTTCTTTTCTGCTATTTCACTTTGTGAAGTGTTTTCTAAAAATACTCAAGAAATATTAGTAAAACCTTTGATTCGCACTCACTCTTCAATATTGAAAGTGACTTCGCACCCAAAATTTTGCTACTCGCACAGCTCCACAAAAAGAAAAGCTTACTCATAATAAAAGGCCACTTAAACACATGCTATTGAAATGTACGGTGTGAGAATTGAGGCTAGCCCGCTGCCTTTGCGCGGGCTTTGCCGCCTTTTCTGCCGTTCTCATGTCTTGACATGTCTCCCCTCCTCTGCTGTCTGCCGCGCTGGGAGAGCGGAGTGACGTTTAACTCCCTCACCCGGCAGCAAATGTTGACTGTGGCGCCACGCGTGGAGCCTCCTGAGAGGTTTCGCGCGCTGCGTCGGGAGCGGACAGATACTCTCCGGGACTGTAGACGGTGAGCCACGCAATCTTTTCCGTCCGTCGACTCCCGCCGCTCGGGGGCTCGTCGGACTTCGCTGACGGCGCCTCGCGCCCGAGGCGAACGCTCACTTTTTGTTGCCTCACTGCGTACACACGGCCGAAGGGTGGTACGGTGTCCTAGTGCGTGGCCTAGCTACGCCGACCCGTCTCCCTCCGAAGCCAACGCGAGCGCCTTTGCCCTCGCTCGAGCAACCGTCCTCGGTCCCGGTCTCTCCGTGGATCATCTTTACCGCGGAGATGTGCTCGTGGCACACTCTGTAGTACTTTTGTGCCCGTGGCGTGGATAAGCCTATTCGCTTTCCCGTCGCGCCTTTGCAATGGGCTGAACTACGTTCGGTGGCCACAGACAATAAAGTGCTGCGACTTTGAGCAGTATCGTGTTCTCGCCACGGCGATGGTTAACGCGGGCCCTGCGGCTCGCTAAGACCGGACCCACGCTGGTGGCCGTACTCCTTCGGGATACAAATACACCACAACGGTGAACTGCGGGAATTGAGGCTAGCCCGCCGCCGTTATGCAGGCTTTGTCGTCTATTTCTGCTGTTCTCATGTCTTAACATGACTCTCCCCTCCTCTGCTCTGGAGAGCAGAGGAGGGGAGAGACTCTGGAGAACAGGAGTGACATTGACCCCTCTCACCCGGATGTCAACCGTGGCGCTGCGCTCGAGTCTCTCGGGACGTTTCGCACACACGTCGGGAGTCAGTCAGAGGGACCTCTGCGGGACATGGAAGGGTTAGCACACGCATTTGTTTCCCGTCCGTCGCCTTCCTTTGTTTGGGGCTCACTCGGACTCCTCCAATGGCGTCTTGCGCCCGCGGCAAACGCTTGCCTTTCGTTGCCCCTTTCGAATGCTAGGCCAAAGAGCGGTGTGGTCTATTACGCGAAGTCCTACTACGTCGACCAGTACCTCTGGAAGTCAACGCGAGCAGATTTTGCCCTTGCTCGCACGATCAGGCCCTGCTGTGCTTGATCGCGAGAGCCCGCAGCATAATCTCGAGGGCCAGTTTCTATCAGCGGTGGGTCACCGTGAACCCTTTTGCCCACAAAGATGTGCTCGCGGCACCCTTTGTGTTGTAATTTTCGCTCGTGATGGGGATAAGCCTCGTTTGCTTTTCCGCCGACTTTTGCAATGGGCGCTGTACAGCGTTTTTGGTTCTGCCGCAGGCAATAAAGTGTGGCGACCTGTTTGAGAACAGTACTGTGCACTTGCCACGCTGCGCTCGACGCCTTGACTGTCTGAACGCGTGTGCAGCGGTGTTAGTCGCACGAGGTGACTGTGAATGCGGCCCTGCGGCTCACTAAGACCGATCCCATGCTAGTGGCCATACTTTTTTGGGATATGCTGTGCACTACACAACAAAGGACCATATTGTGACAACAGGAGATACAAATAGAAAGACCCTGTCAGCATTCGTGAAATGTGTTTTTTAAGCAACGTACAAAGTTTTGGCAAGTCTTTACGCTGATTTCAGCTAGCCATTACAGTGAAACCATGTTAATATGTACCAGTTGGGAATGCGGCGTAGCTATGCACTAAATCATAATAGTACACATTAACCACCAAGTATAAATTAACATATCTTGGCTTGTGCCATATTGACCAACAAGAAAATACAATTCCATAGGATTAAGTACCCACCACAAAGCCTTTCTCTTTCCTTTTTTTTTTTTGCCTAGATGCAGAAAAGATTCTAGCACACTCGCACAATGTCAAGACTAAAAGGGCGTGAGGCACGTGCCAAATGCTAGAATGCGGCAAGGCTGCGCGAGGTCCCGACGGTGCACATATGCGCCACGTTCACGTGCAGGATTGGCTGAAGAAAAGCCAGTAGCGTTAGACCCATGCTGCAGTAAAAAATACCCTGCAGATGAGGTGTTACTGTGCTGTGGGACTTCAGGCTGTGAAGATCGGGAAAATCAGCGTCGCTGTAGCCGCCCGGTTCTGAAGGTTGTCATCGAAGAGGCCCGGAAAGTGGACATCGCCCTCGAAAGACCCGAGTGAGGCTGCCAGAACTTGCCGCACCCCTTCACAGCAGTTCCCTTTTACTCATGGCACAAACATCTAACAGCATGTGGCCAAAAGCATGTAGTGGCGATGCCATAGAGCATTTCAAAACTACTGCAACTACTGCGTTCTGAATATGCAGCAACTAATACAGCTCCAAAATTAACATTACCGGCTGTCTCCTATACATGGTTACCGAGATCTGCAACTTAGCGAAAAGTTTCAACATGGTGCGATCACAGGGAGCCAATCGTCGACTGGTTAACTGCGTGCAGCACTTTCCCTACTCAACTCATACCGCCATTTGCCATGGGAGTATTTTTTTTTCATTCACTCCACTTCAATATGTGCGCACAAATGCGGTGAGCAGCTCATTGCATTAATTGGACGATGACGAGCTTCCCCCAAATGATGTGTGCTTGGGCTGTCACCCAATAAAAGAGTGTAGTATGATTAAAACTGCACTATGCTTGCTGTACCGTACGTGTGCTGTTAGTGTGATAGCATCAATGCAGCGAGGCTTCTCAGCGCCTGAGACCCACAACGCTCAACTTCATAACCACGAGGTACTTCCATTTCTACAAAGCAGTGGGCTTTTCAACGCAGTCCCGCACAACGAAGTGGCAGCATACAGTAGCCCAGCGCGTTCACGTAGTCGCCTATGAAAGTGTGCATAGAAACCCTACGTGACACATGTGCTGCAGCATATAGCTGAAGATACTTATTAAAAGTATTGTCAGTCATACGTCATACTAAGGTGTTTGTTGATGGCCACCACCTCACGCTCATTCTTTGCCGATGCTTAAACGCAAAGGCATTGCTGTAGTCAGTGCGGAAGTTGGAATAATTGATCGACTTATCTTCACACCTAAATAATAATAATAATTAAGAAAAAAAACAGATGCCATTTTGTGGCACATGGTGGTGATGGCAAGTTCAGCGGCACAGTAAACTTTTATGGTGCAAAACGTTCTTGCTGGATAGGCACTAACTGGTAGGCATAGAACGAACCACTACAGCTTAGGCAGTCATGCAAATGCATTATGCTTTACCGAAACTGTGGAGGATTCCTGTCGACATTTAAACCGCCGGGTACCCATCAATAATGTTTGATTGTACTACATTTTGTTTGAACAACCATCAAAAATGCATCAAAAATAGTGGAGCCAAGGATCCACTCACAAGTAACCACCATCCTCTGTATCTGGGTGAGTGTCTGAGGTTCACGGACATGAGGTGTGACTGTAGATGTGCCGCCGTCATCACAGAAGCCCAAGTTCTCCAGAGGTGGCGCCACCTGATAAGCGTACAGGGCTACTCCACCTGTCATAGCCTGCACTCGACGATCATCTGGCAGGAGGGCACGCACAACGGCGCCCCACACCTCGGCCAGCAGCAGCTGCTGTGGGGCCAGCCCACAAAGGGGAGACAACTGCTGCTTCACCGACAGGTACCGCTCGTCTGGGTTCAGTTGGAGACCATACCTGGACCCAAGGTTCAGAGTCATTGCACCATGCCCCCTTTGCACAGCGCCTCCCCAACATCACAGCCATGCTTGATGCAAAGCGAAGGTTTGCATCAAGCATAGCATAATGTTACTCATTCTAAAAAAAAAGTTTTTGAAATAATATCCTATCTCAATAAAAATTACCATGCATGTGATTACTGAATGAAGATTTGTAAAACATCCACCCTACAGGCGAAAGGAAACTAAATGCCAAAACAGCTGGTCCTTTGATCAGGAATAATATTCAAACTTGGAAGCAAAGAATGAGTTACCAGTAATTACAGAAGGATCCTTTAAAAGAAACCTGAAGGGACCAGGAAAGTGTGTTTTGCTTAAAAGGAGTTTTGGCTACTTAGAGATAAACAGGGGTACAATATTCAAGTACAAAACCACTCATATTAGGAACAGTTCTATTTAGTCAGCAACTTCATTTAAGAGAGTTTCCTTTAACAGGAGTCTACTGTATATGGTATTTATGAAATACAGTAGCCTATCAGTAAAAGGAACTGCTGCTTAAATGGAACACGTACTTCTGCCAATATTGATTTTGTTCTTGTATACTGAACCCCTGCTCATTTCTCAGTAAACGGAACTCCTGTTAAATGGAACCTATTTTTCTGGTCCCTCCAGATTCCTTCTGATGAGCCTATTGTAATTACAATTTTATCAAGGTTGAGAAAAAAAGCTTTAGCCTGTAGCTAAAGTGCAGTGGAAAAGAATGACACGAAGTTTAAATATGTTCACAGCAACTTTCTGAAAACTTCCGAAAGGCAGATTCACTTCCCAATAATAAATTCAAGAAATTTACGCTTGAAGTTCTGAACACATTTGTAATTTAATCTTTGAGCCTGTAAGAAACAGAAAGGGTTGTATTTTGACACAATACGATATTTATCCAAGGCATAATTTTTTACTATAATATCTCAAAGTTAATTTCCGAAAGCCAAATTTTTTACAATTTTTTGCTATTTTAATTAGGCCCCTTGGCCATGACACGGTCCCCAAACAATTCGTGGTTTTCAGCAAAAATTTACAGTATTATGACTATGCAGATATGAAAAGTGCGCCATAAAAGAATATTTCAGGGCAAAACAGGCCCTAGAAGTTATCAGCTGTAAATCCAGCCTCCCCGTTGGCGACCACCGATTGGCCACAACATCACATGCAGAAAGGAGCGGTGCCATCGTTCTCTGCCAGTGTCAGCCACTGCAAATCGTTCAATTTCAGTGCCAAGCAGATGAAAGCTCAGCTATCTAGAGTTCCAGCGTTTCTCACTATGGGAGGGGGGGGAACTAGTTTGCCAGAATGCAGATGCTCTAACATCCACCTGCTTGTTACGTCATGGCTCACGAGCGTGTCAGTGTTGCCCGACTCTCAAGCCACTTGTTTACGTAATAATACTCAATTAAGTGCTCGACTAAATGGGCTAAAATTTCGCCACCCTATTTGTGAATGCACCCACATAACACAAATTATGGTAGAAAATTAGGTGTCATGGTCCGTTTATGGGAACGTGACAAGTTGTTTGAAAGCACTCCAAAAACAAAGCTTGTTCTGTTCACTATCTGAGGAACAAAAGAAATAGTCCATTAAAATAGTGTAATTGAGTGTGAAAATTGACAAAAATTTATTCGTACTGTCGTCGATGAGCACCGAAACAGCACCACTTTTCACATACCTGATGGGCATGCTCCCGTCCAGTCGTACCACAACCACCTCAACGTGCACGCAGCTCTCCATGGGCAGTGGCAGCGAAAGGAAGTTGAAAGGGTCGAAACGGACGCTAGTGTGGCCGCACACCTTGCAGGTGACTGTAGACTGAAGCTGGCCATGAAACAGGTCTACAACCACAGATCGGTTGCGCAGGGCGTGGTTCTCCCAGGCCTCACGAGCGACCTCGTCGTCTGGTCGCCCTGCACTGTCCTTCAGTTCGACGTATGGCTTTTCCTGTACCCTGTTCAGCAAAAAAGCAAAAAAGAGAAAAACTGTAGCCAGTTTTACACCCTAAAAACCATCGTGAGGCATTGTGCACTATACTCTAGGCAAAGTCATCACAAACGATTTCCTAGATGCTTCTTTGTTCTTCAGATTTAGTCGTGCTCATCCCGTGCGACGATACTGTCACGTCGCTCGAGGGTCTAGAGAAGGTTTATTGGGGTCTGAGCAACAGGGCTCTTACCAAGCGTGTCGGTTGGGCTTGCTCGCCAGAGCGGGGACACGCGCGCACTTCTTACTTTAGTGGTGTGAGCCTTCGCCTCGGCATACGACCCACTACTAGAAGTAAGTGGCAATACACTCATTCACAGCCTCACTGGAACACTACAGTAGTGTTCTAGCAGGGCCATGGCTTATTTCACCAGCCCCAAACTGTGTATCACTATAAAAGCTGTGCAGGAACGCAAGCAACATCATCATCATTGTCATTTGCAATAGATACTCTAGCATGGTTTAATATATTCTGCTACAGCAAAACAAAGCATTGCACACTTCGTAATGTTATGCACAAACAAAAATGTTTATTTCAAGCGACTTCATGTTTCTCTATACAAGCTAGATAACTCGTGTGAATGTTCTTTTAAATGCCAATGCTCTAAAACCTAAAGGAAATTAAAAAACGCATAGACCAGATGCACACACACACATGCACACCTGTACCTGTATAAAAGCAGTGAATAAATAGTACAATGCTAGTAGAAATATTTAGCGAGCAGTGTGCAATATGAAATATCAATGGAAAGTAGTGTATAACAATTAAGTTAAATATATGCAGGTTGCAACACTGCCCTAAGAAGCAGGACTAGCAGTATAATTTGTGTTAGTAAATGCTTTTTCTTTTTGAACTAAGAAGACATGTAAGAGTTAAAAGACCAGTCACAGTAAAAGCCAAGCAAGTTTTCTTCAGTTCTCAACTGCTAAGCCCACCTATTGAGATCCTCGTGTAGACCATCAAGGAGAAATGCCAGCAACTCCTGAGAGTCATGCTGCTGAAAGCCATTGAACCTAGGTGCGTATTTCCCAATTGTCCACTGGAAGGGAACCAGAGTATGTTTCACAACATAAGCACTTACAATGGTTATTGAAATCAGGTGGCACCTGTGGGAGATAAAAAACTGGCCAATTAATCAGTCGCAAATGCTTAGCAGACGTCTATGTAAGGACTACGTCGGGGCATATTTTAATCCCAAGCAAGAAAAAAAAAAAAGGCGGGGGATGTGATAAACAGAGGTATAGCTCTCCCCATTTCCGTAGGCTTAGTACACAAAGTAGGTTTGTATCGAGGGATGTACTTTCAAAAGAAAACATTTTTGGAACCAAACTTGAAAGTTTATTTGCAGTACAGATGTCTCGAGTAAATTTTTGTCAGCAAAGCTGATATAAGGGCGTCAACACCAACATCTAGAACAGCTGCACTATTCCAACTCAAGGCATGTCGACTCACCCTTAGTTTGAGAGGGGCAACAGTTTTTGATGTTCCGCTCCACAGGTCGTGGACAAGGTCACCATATCGCTTAGCAATGTGCCCTTTCATTCCTAATGGGTTCATTCTGGGAATAAAAAAATAATTAAAAATTCAGCGGATGAAAGATAAACAAGCTGGCAACAAGGAAATCGAGGAGCTTTATTAGAGCAAGATAGCAACTGGAAAACCAGCTTTGTGTACATATACTCCCTAATGGCACTGGGCACAAAATCCTCTTCGAATTCATCTTGCATACAAAAGCCCTATAGTTTGATCACGCAAACATTTGTGTCGATTTCCTCTAGATATCTAGTGATAAATAGTCAATAGAGAAAAGGAAATAAAACTGAAGCATGAAGAAGGACAAGATCAGTGTTGTCCTATCCTCTTCTTATATCCACTAATTTTTCTTCACCAAATTAAACATTGTTACACACTGATTGCTGCAGTGGGGATTCGCTTGGCTAATGTGTACTCACTACAACACTTAAAGGGAGATGCTACTCGAAGACACTTTTTTTTTAATATTCACCCTAGAGCAATGAAACTTGAGGCTGTTTATAGAACTTTTTATGCTGATTTCAAATATATAATTAGTTTTCTTGCAAGCTGCATGCGTTTAGCTCTGCAACATGACAAAGTGAAAACCTTAACCTTTTTGCCCCCCCTCCCCTCTCTTCATCCCTGAACTTCGGTAATTTCTTACCATTCATAGTTCATAATGTTTGAAATAAAGCGTAGAATGCAAAGTAAATAATTAGGAAGCACATACAAAATATTTGTTAGGCGTGAAAAATAATAGACTAAAAAGTCCATATTTCACCTACCCTAGTAAAGGTTTACATACAATTTTTTATTATACAATAAAATATAGAAATTTAAACAGAATAACTGCATTTGTCATACTTTGGAAAAAATTTGGGCAAATTTCATGTAGATCCGAGCACTAGAAGTGCCCAGAAAAAAGAGGGGCACATTGAAAAAGAGGCAAAATTTGTGTTTTTAGAAAAACGAGTTTCAAAGTTAAAATTGAGTTTTTATTTATGAAAGATATCATTAAATCTGATGAAATTTGACAACCAAACCAAAAAGAACAATCTTTCTTGTAGTGGCCACTGCCACTAAGATATGCCAGCATCATAAGTTTGTCCCTTTCGGCTTTTTCGAGCCGAATCCTCACAGACATTACGCTCACAGACAGGGCCATGAAACGCTTGCCTAACTTCCGTTCCATCTGGCAGAGCCATGTGCCAACTGCAAGCTAGGAAGAAGTTCGACAGGACTGCAAAATCCAAACTAAGTCCAATGTCATGCCATTTCGCGGCTCGACTCTTCGGCTCATGCGATCAACAATGGCGAGCGGCGGCGCATTATCGGCGGCGAGCGGAGTGACGGCGCCAAGCTCAGTGCGCCTTTATACAGGTCCTTATACAGGTACCTTTATACCTTGGACCTTTATACAGGTACCTTGTGCTCTTTAGATGCCATTTTAAAGCATTTTCCAGTTAAGTCTTGACCTGTATTTTTTTTTTTTTCATAACAGTACAGGTACTAAATCTTATCAAAACAGGCAAAAATAAAAAATGGTAATTTTGAAAAAACTCGCGTTTTTCAACCGCATCTCCCCTTAAACCTTATGCAAGGGCCGTCCAGTCATGAAATTTCAGTCCGCAATCTCCGAGAGGAAATTGCAGCACAGCGAGCCTTCGAAGATGCATCGCCGCCCCAGGACTTCCCAATATTGAGTGGAGAAGAGAGCGAGACAAGCAAGGTGCTAAAGGCAGAGAGGCTAACGCTATGTTAAGAAAAGAAGTTTTCTACGCCATGTCAAGATACTACTGGGGTTCCTAAAACTTGACACGTTCGCATGCCATCAATTTCCTAGCGATCATAAAGGCACGATTAATAATGAAACTACTAACCTGTTTAGTTCATAGAGGTGTTTTTCGTTGATAAAATACTGAGTAAGTGGCCGTGTGTTACTGACACACTGAAGGGCAGCATTCATGAAGCATGTGTTGCCGAGGTTGTTCAAGCCTGTGGCACCTTTCTCTGTGGGACCTGCAACAAAGTCACAAATAAAAGCTGCTGCTACTAATGACAGCGGCTGCAGTGTAGGAAAATTCATCGACTTTACTGAACTGCAGCGGGAAACACCGTCGTACTATTTGTGAACTAAGTGTAATGATGAATGTAGTGGGTCATGCAAAGCTCGGCCCGGACTGTCGCTGATTTCGCTGGCTAGGCCTATGCTCCTACCTGGTCTCGAATAAAACAGTTTTGACTGTCTCAGTTCATTAATCTCATTTGTTCATGCAACCGGTCCACAGAGGAAAAGTAAAGTGAATGTTCTCCCACAGAGAAAAGGGGAAAAATGCACACAAGAAAATCCAAGTTTATTCTAGGATTTGAATATGCTCAAGCGATTTATGATGCACAGTCACGTGCTCCGGTTCAGCTAACCCTAAAAAATGCCATCAAGGGGAGAGGTGGAATTGAATAAAACTTTTTTATTTGTTGACCTACAGCAATGCAATTTGGCATGCATACTCATAGGTGTCTCGAATAGGGAAATATGCAGTTTCATCATGATATCTTCAGTAGTTCTCAAGTTACCTAATGCTACATGGATCCAATTACATGGTCTGCTCGTGGAAAGCCCAGCGCTGTAACAAAACATGCCAGGAAGCTACGAATGGTGTTGATCTTTACTCAAACGAAAGCTACAGGGTATGGCACTCTCAGAATTCTTTAATATGTTCTTTTTTTTTTTTAGAGATCATCATGGCTGCCGACACACAATGTCAGAAACAATGGCACGGACAAATCCTCGTCTAAAAAAAAAAACAGGGCCATAAAACAGAAATTGAAGATTGCTGTATCCACAAGCAGTGTTCAGGGATTCAGGAAAAAAAAAAACAGAATCAAAATCGGTCCAGTCATTCCCGTGCTACTTTTTCCACGAGCAATGCACAATGTCCAGAACACACTTGTGAGAAAAAGCCTGTCAAAGTTTTCGACAGGCTTTTTTCGAAGTTTTCGACAGGCTTTTTTCTAAGACACCTAAATACTGTGATCTCAGGTTTGTCTTGTGATATTTGACTTCTTTTCATGATTTACTCCTTTTCATGATTTACAAAGAACAAGTATGGATTTCAAACCAAGTTCTTTGTATGAAGGAGTGGTGTGATAGGTATGACAGAAAAGATTGTAATTGAATAAAACCATATACAAAATTATTACACATATTTTTGTGCTGAAGTTTGTAATTAGCATAATTAAATACTCGATTACATATATTCACTGAACTTTTCTTTATTTGGAGAGAGGTTTATTGCATCAAAAAAATGGATCACACCACGACGGCCTATGCCTTCTTTCCAAATAACAAAGTTATGGGCAGAAGACTGGTGGCACAGGAATTTTTAGCAGTATAATTAATGACGCAAAACGCGCGTATGAAAATTCGTGCCCCTGATTCATACATGCTCTTTTGCCGCTCTAGTCGTGAAACGCATCATCATACAGCCGGTCACAGAAACTCTAATCTACAGCAATTCATTAACCTCGGAACATTCATAGACGTTCGTGGCGATATCAAGCACGGCTCCAAGCACGTCTGAATCGCATCTCAAAAGCTTATTGAAAGCACTCCATATGACCGTGGGGTGCGCGGCCGTGTGGACAATGCAGCCGGCGCGTAATGCACTTGCCGGCGGCGTTCGTTGACGATGTGCGAACTGTGCAACTACGATGACGAAAAATCGGTGCGCACTGAGCTTGGCATCGCATTTTCGAATGACGACGCGCGAAACTGCTAGCCGCTGTTCCGAGCAATCCTTGGCAGTAAAAAGGGGGGGGGGGGGGTGACGAGCTTGACTGTGTTGCCCGCTGCAGCCGATGCGTGAAATGGCCGTACAGAGGAGCTAGCGAGTGATCTGCTACATTCTTTGCGAAGAAGCACGTCGTCCAAAAAGCGCTTGCGCGTCGTTCCTGCCCACAGTCTCGCTGTCAGCGGAGTTAGGGCTAAAGCTGACTCCGATGACGCGCCGCACTCGCAGACCGCACGCCCGCTCATAGTAATCTGATCGTGCATCCGGTGCGGCCACTCGTAGTAATCAGATTGTGCCGCCGCTTACAGCTTTGTTGCTTGCGAAGAAGCACTGTCGCCACGAATGCGCTAGCAGCCTCGTTCCTGCCCGCCAGTCTTGCTGTCGGCGGAGTTAGGGCTAAAGACGACTCCGATGACGCGCGGCGCTCGTAGACCGCGCGCTCCGCTCGTAGTAACCTGATCACGCAACCTGCTTACTGCTCGTAACTAAAGCGTAATTATATCTTAAGTGATCATCAAGCCGTGAACACGTCATGAAGTAGCAATTTTCGAGAGCCATGTCCTCGCGACGCACAAGCAGCAGACGACGATCTCTCGGAGCAAGCATCGGGCCAATGGCGAGGCGAGCCGAGGCAACATGGCGGCCACGGCCAATCAAGGGCCTCAAAACGACCTTCAAACATTTGCTTTTTGTGCGCTTGTTGTTAAAGGGAGGAGCCAGCTGAGGCGGAAAAGTTAAACACGGAGAAATGCTCTTTCCGATAAGCCCAAGAAGCCGGCTCCCGGCCCAAGCATCGCGAAGCTACAATTTTTCGAAAATTGCTGTTTTCTCGCCATTTCCAGAAATAGTTTTGCTACCTAGGTGGGCGAAACGAATTTTCTGAAGCACTTCTGTGCGGTTTTCAGTGTAGATATTTTGGAACCAGATAGAAAAGGGGTTCCAGAAACTGAAAACTTGAGTTTCAAAAAATCGATTTTCTTGCCATTTTTCGCGATCACAAAGCCGCGTCCCCCCTTAATCGATCTAGTCGAATTTTACACTAGGAAAATTTCAATTATTCAAGAGGGTGAAACTGTACAGTTCTGTGGTATTGCAGGAACGATGCCTAGTTAAAATGGTAAATTTCTAGTTTGATATTTGCACAACTAAGTTAATTCAATCTATTAAAGATAACCTTCTTACCTTGGTTCTTTTGGTCCACCTTGGAGTTGATTATGCAAGACATTTCTTCTGGCCATGTCTGGTCCTTGTTCCTCACTGAAAAGAAAAAAAAAAGGTGAGAAAAAAAGAAAGAGTAAATAAAAATACATGGCAAAGTGGCTAACAACGCTGAGACTAGAGTATTCAGAAATGAACAGATGGTTAACCAACACATGGGTCTTTGAAATACTGAAGGTTCTACCTTAACTTTTTTTTATTGTTATTACCCACGGTATATATTTAGCTCCAGAAAGAAAGTTACCTCAACAACCAAAACATATTATTCCCCTTTCATTTTGATGGCCTCAAAAAACTGTTGGATGGTTCCAATGCACCAGTTGATGTCATCGTAAGCACAAGACAGTCCATATAAAGCATGAGCATTTGAGAATTTACTAAATTAAAGCTCACCTTCGATAAGAATTTGTTCTCCATCTTCAATGCCAAGCTGCTCCAACGTAAAGCCTTCTTCTTCAAGTGGAGACAGATTATTCTTGCAGGAAGGAACAATACAAGAATAGGTTAAAACTTGAAGCCATCAACACAAAGGAAAAGAACTCAAGATGCTCAGAAGGCAACTCACAAAAGTGTAATGTTTGAACACAACTTCCTTCCTCGCATTCTAAATAAATGTGCCGCATAACTTTGTTCAGGCCATGTGACTTTGCAATAACTTTGCATTCACAGATAAATTAGTCACGAGAAAGAGGTCAATCAGACATTAAGGTATCAGAAAAATGAAAAACACATGGCACAAGGTGCGAATCTATGACATATTTTCCAGTTGCCAGAGATTGTGCGGTTTGAAAGTGCTTGTTTTCATGCGAGGGGATGCATAAGTAATAAAAGCCAGGAAGCAAACGTGAGAGGCTCACCTCGTCTTGCAGCTGCCAGAGACGCGTGTCCTCTGGCCTTAGGCGCAGCCTGGTGCAGAGAAAATCAAACACCTGGCGCAGAGTGGATGTCCTACTGAAGGATGCTTGGTAAGCCAGGTACCTCTTTGGACTTGTGCTGGGCTGGCCAGGGGCTACACCACCTACTGCACACAAAAAGGGATTACCACAATCCACCAGTGCATAGACTTTACAGACTGCTACAATAACTGCAGCAGTACGTGGAGATATTAGCAAAAGCTAAGATGTTGCAACTCTTGTTCTCACAGTGTAAGCCTCAAAAGCTTTGTCTGCACAAAGCACCCATTTAAATATGTTCATTTCCTCAGCAAAACATGTTTTATGCCTAGCATGCCAGCACAGGAGAGAATTTTTTTTTCCTGCTCTGCCCATCCTTTGAACACATCATTACGCATGCACACGCATCGAGGAAAAACCGGATGATACTACTTTGAAACGCTTGCAGTACAGACACTGTGCAATGCGGCGGTTATCTTGTAATTAGGCAAGTTCCTGGCATGAATTAAACATATCCACTAGGGCCAGTGCAAATGTTGGAATTCCTGATAAGTGTGCTGCCAGGCCTTGAGAGCTATTTCTGACAAAGATGTGGTGATTTGACCACTTGAGCGAAGCAAAAAGTGTAAATTTGTATTTTTCAGACGATTTTGCAATCTTTAGCTAGGGAGTCTGAAAAATCAGACATTGTCTCTTTGTCTACAACATGGAAGTTCGAAAGCAGGTGGCTCTATGAAAGCCCCCAAGGTTACCACTACTTGTGTGCAAGTAGCTTTTCTGATCCGATATAAATTTCACCCCAGGTTGTCTGTGCACCTTCCGTCTGCAATAGTGCTTACCGTAGGCCGATGCTACACTTCCAACCATCGTCGTCCAGCTGCTGTTATTCGGTTGTCGGGGTCCACACTGTGCCTGCTGGTGGCGCCACAGCCGTAGGCATGGTGGGTACAGCTCCAGCTCTGGTGTGCTGCCACCACTGCGAATGCACTGTCTAGGCAGAGCGGGTGAGCCTCCATACCACTGGAACAGCGCCCGCCATATTGCCTCTGGCACAGCCTCGAAGTCCCTACCACGGGTCAGTGGACGTACAAGACGCCCACCTTCACCAGTCAGAACTGCTGCCTGCACACAAAGGTGGTGGAAGTTGAAGACCACGTCTGTCAGTGGAAGTGGAAATGACTAGCAAGTCACCATCAGAAGCCCACAGCAGTGTTAATGCTACAATGCTGGCAGTTGAAGGGGTAGTGGCACAAAAATTTTGGTTTGGATTTTTTTTATGCTGCAATATGGCACTGGGGCCCTGTTAGCCATAACACAGAACACCCCTTGCTGCAGAATGCGACATAATTACTTGAAGTCTACTTATTACTGACCAGTCTCAGTTTTGGTGTGGCAGAGCTCAGAAAACAAGCCAAATGTGCAACTAACGCCACCTAGCGTCTTAAATGGCACACAGGACTGCGACGCGTGCCACATGTGCTGTGCCATCATTGTCGCTATCGTTGTCTAGAGGCAACAACTTGTTTCCACACTTTCTGCATGTTTACCATAGGTATGAACTTGGGAGCAGCCGCTGAAAGTAGCCCGATTGCACAAGTATGGCAAAAGCACCATGGCAACTATGACGTGATAACAGCTGCGCCAGCTAGGAGTTCAGTCGCAGTTATGACGCCTCAAAAGTTGAGAGTAACTTTCAAGTCATCTGAGATGATGCCAATGTCGCAAGAAACGGCACATAGCACTGGATTGCACATGTGAACTTCAAAATTCTACATGTTATCTCCCAAGCTATATTTGCTGTTGAGGTTTTGTAGAATGAAGTAAGAGGTCCCGGAGGCCATTTCGACAGAGAAATTTTTTGTCAATATCCCTTTAACATCAAAATGAGGGTCATTCACAGTTTTGCACTTACCTTTACGCTGTTGGGGACAACAAGACCAGAGTTGTCAATTGATGGCGGTCGCTGTACAAATGCTGGAACCACTTTTCTAGATACACTTGGAGACGGGTTTAATGATGACGGACATGAAGATTCTGGACACTGCATTCAAATGAAAGAAATGAAGAGCAGTCACTACCAGAAAACCAAACACTGCAACAGAATACGCTACTTGTGCCTTTTTTATGCAGTTGTGTGAAAGGAAACTAGAATAACCCATTAGAGCACAAGCATTCAAATAAAAAGATTTAAAAACAAAATACCTTCTGCATTTTGATTGATCTCTTATGTCACTTTTAAAGGATGGCTGACTTCACATCACTATGGCTGAAACTAAACATTTCAAACTACATGCTCTTTTATTAAAGAGATGCTAACAAACTCTGCCTAACACTTCCACAGATGAAAACACTAAATTTTAAGATAACAGGTTACTGCTGGACTTTGTACACCTGTACTTGAGAATTGTGTTCTCACAAATAAAATTCAAGACTCCTCGTGCAAATATTGTGGCTGTAAAATGGCTACTTAGTAACCTATCGCAAGGAAAATACATGAGTGTTTGCCAGTTGGCAAGTTTATAGTCATGTTTCAGAAGCGGGTGAAAAAAACAACAACAAAATGATGCTGAAAGACAAGCTCCCCAAGCTGATTTTGTCGGAGTATTGACTTGCGGCTTTTGCAAACTAATTTTGCGAAGTGCATAAATGATTGGTTTTTTAGTAGAAAACTCCCAAGAAACCCAAGAATAAGCATAATGCAAGCATCAATGCTATGTCTTTTATTTCTCTTTTCTTCCTTCTACCTTTTCTTTTCTCTTGTTCCAGTTGATTCCTTTCTCTTTCGTTTTTTCTTCTGTGCTTCTTTTATGTGTTTTCATTAAAAGCCACATGTATTGACATGATATATGCACCTCCATTGCACACATGTCATGTTAAGCTCAATAGGTGTGCTGACCGCAGCTTAATTAATTGCCAAATAACTAGGCGCTACAGAAAAATGTACAGCTATCCTCATTCCTTGAATGTACGATGCCAAAAGCAAACTTTTTGTTTATACATTTAAAGCTGCTCATAGCAGACCTTCATATAATGAATTCCTTGATATAACGAAGTTTTTCTATTTCCCGCCGTTACTCCATAAAAGCAAATGTATTTGCGACCTCTATGTAACAAAGTAACAGCGTTTCTATTTCCCGCCGTTACTCCATAAAAGCAAATGTATTTGCGACCTCTATGTAACAAAGTAACAGCGGGAGACATCCTTGGTATAATAAATTTTCACCAATGACAAAATAGGAATTCTGCCCCGGATTTCGTCATTTTGGCACGAGCATGCATCTTCTGCAGTTGCACCACCTATGCACGAAGCTGTGGCAGTGCGCAGGGCCCCGCTCGTGGCCCCGGCAACTCCCAGGCGAGAGCGAGCACTCGTTATTGCGCAAGAGTGTGCGCGACGTAGGCCTGCCCGCACGAGCCGGCATTGCCGCAATTTTTGCGCCGCAGGTGCATGCGCGGATGCGCCCTCCCCCTCGCTTAAAAAAAAAAAAAAGAGAGAGAGAAGAAAACTACTTTTGCGTTGGCAGTGCCATGAATTTAATCAGCGTCACATAGTGTGGGGCCACGCTGCATATTGCGGGCTCTTTATCAAACAGTTTTGCGTGGTATCATTGTCATTTGCTCTTCGTTTTCGACGCCATGCGCGCATGCTTAGTTTTACGGCGTGCGCGTGGTGCGGCCCCTCCGAGGACATTCAGCTTTGCCCTTTTTTTTTCCATATAAAGACAACCGTGGCCGCACTACCGAGGCAATGTCAGATTATGTGCTGATTCAAACTCTGCGGCACCATGGTGACAGTGACTGATCTTCAGAGGTGAACGCATCATGCGCTTGCATTTTGCGTCACGGCGCGAGTTCAAGGAGCCTTTGTGATTAGCCGTTTAGCTCTGGCAATAAACCGTAATGTTATACGAAGTAAGGCTGGCAGCCAACTCTTGTGGATTCGATATCACAAAACTGAAAAAACGCTGGTGTAAGCAAATTCGACCGCTTCATGGAGAAGTGCTCTTTTCACACAGTCTCGTAGCGTTAAAAGAGCACTTATGCTTGCCTAAATAGCACACACGCCAGCGATCGTGACCTTGCTCGTAAAAGCAAAGTTCACCGTTGCTACTCGAGAGCCTCCAACCTTGCGTATTTTCATGCTCGTTTAAGAAAGGCGACTTCCTTTCTGTTTGAGCATTCAACAACAGTTCTAACATGCGGGGAGATGTTATCGTATGCGCTCTACAGGCGATAGAGATTTTTCTGAATTTTTTAAAGAATTTGTCAATTTCATTATATCCAGGTTTAAATGTAGCCAATTCTGAGATGAAGAATACAAAGAAATTGTGTGTCGGCCAAGTTACTGCATGGCACACACTAGGCGCAGCCGTACCAGGTGCTAGGCAACACGAGATGCCGTATGAGGTGCTCATGATTATGATAGTATTCCAGTCAATGGGGAGGATATTTCACACCCCTGAAAAATGGAGGGAGGCGCTTGCTCGAGTAGCAATGCTTTCTCAGGATTTTGCAGTACATTGCCATGATCGCTGCAGTCATCCCAGTCATTGCACACATTGCCGCTGCAAGAATTAGGGAAGATAGTTTCCAAAAAGGTAGAAGAGTTAAGTCATTATTTTCTGCAAGATGTTGAGCTGCAAATGTGAATACAATGCTCATTTCATCAATGCTTGTGGCCTTGTACAATGCAACACACGAAAATACAGTTTACTAGCCCTAATTTTTTTTTTTTTACATGTGGCCCCAAAATTGGCAGACCTCCCCGATTTTAGACAATGGAGTGTGCAGACTGAGACACAAGTTGTGCAACTTTCATAACTGAAGAACTCTGTTGCTCGCTTGATATTCATAAACGTGCACACACAACTCTATTTCCAACTAAGTATTTTAGAGAGCGAGTTAAGCACTTTTTCTGGTTCCTGACCGAAACATGCCAGGAACAAGTGTACCAGTGTCCTAAGCATATGGTTTAATGACCAGGCGTGAACAGGAGCGAGCGTCTCCATGGTAGCAGTTTAAGCATGGTAACACACCTGGAGAGCAGAGGACAACCGGGGGCACTTGGGTGAGCCTGGCACACTGGGGCAGTTGGCAGCAGGGTCAAATGCAATCACGGGGTCAACCGAATGATGGCTGTCAGTGGCGAGGCTAGTGACACTGGCCAGCACAACGCTTCCATCATCGGTCGCTGACCGAGCGACACTCGATTCCACTTTGCGCTGGAGACGGCTGGTCACCTTGACACCGCTGACACCGCAGGATGTGGTGCTACTCCCTGCCGCCTGCAACTGCCATCCATGTGAACCTTTGAAGCTTGTACACTCCGCACGGTGTGTCCACAGGAAAGCGGAGTCCAGTTTCGAAATTACAATCAATAAGTTGGGAAACTACAACACAGCAGACGCTCACTTAAAGGGGCACATGGGTCTTGGAAGCTAAAAAATAGTGATCTTCCTGCTTGGTCTCACAAAATTCTAGGCTTGTAGGATGCATAGTTTTGCCAGGAGAGAATATTTACTTCGTGAACTATCTAGTTTCACTCACAGGAAATGCCCTAACTGTCGATGCAGAGAGAAAGAGGGGGGTCTTCAGTAGCTTTTCAGGCAGCTGCTAAGTAGAGGCCGAGGGGAAAGCCGCACCCAGAGTATTCTCCAGGAGCCTTCTGAGCCACTGGCAGTTGTAATTGTGCTCATGCAGAAGATAAAGAGCTTTTTTCACATGGTCATTAGTTTTTCCCATTTTTCTCAGAGCACTTTTCTGGGCTGTCCTCACTTTTCTGGGTGGCTGTTGTCACCCTTCTAAATCACCCAATTCTAATAGGATTTTTTTTTCATGTGATAGCTAGGCTTCCAGCCAGAGAGTGCAAGGTGCCTATTAGTACGGTGTTTCTTCACCGTGAAAAATTTTGAAAATCTGGGCAAACAATAGACAACGAATTCATGTTTCATATTTAATGTTTTAGCTTTTGTAACTTGGGATAAAATAAGAGTAGAAACATGAAATTATGCTTGTTGCATTCATTAGTCATTTAGGAATATATAAATGTAACATTTAGCTTTCTTATTGTAATACATTTTTTGCCAGTCAGCCCAGAAGTAAAAAACAGGAAAACTGTATAATTTTTTTTTCTGCATGAGATACACAAAAACTAGTTGCATATTTGTAATCAGCATATTAAATTACATATTACCTGCAATTTTCATTACTCTAGCAGTAGTAGCAATAGATGTTTCACACAAAGCCAGTGTGCCTCCTTAAAAAAAATCATGAAGGGACCAGGGAAATATGTTCCGTTTCACAGGAGTCACATTTACTGAGATATGAATAAGGCTTCATAATTCAAATATGAAACTAAATCATATTAAAGGCAGTTGCTTCATTTAAGTGGCAACTCCGTTTGATGCGAGTCTATTTGAAACCCAGGAACTGTGTTTCTTTTTTTATTTATATACATTTTTATGGATCACAGAAGGGAGTGGATCAAGGGGCTCACATCATTATTGGACACTCCCTAAGAAGCCATGGAAAGCATAAAGGTGATTATTTGCAGTTCCTAATTGTATGAGTAATAATTATAAAATAAATAGAAGGGCAAATTGGGTGAGAAAATCCCATGCCATCAAGGACTAAGGCTACAGCTTTTGAAAATGATAAAGTATTAAGATGCACTATCTGAAGGTTTTAAGTTCAGTTATTAGAAAGGAGACATTTTTTTTTTTTGCCTAATAAAACTACAAATAATGTTTTTACCCCCTGCATAGTTTTACTGTCTGTTATTGGGTATTACTGACAGCATCTATGCAGCATACTTGATGCGACATGTGCAAGAAGAAAAGCGCACGGGTACATTTCGTTATACTTCAGAGCCAGTTAAAAGAAAAGCAGTAGTGTCCTCCAGCATGGCTCTAATTAGCTGGTGTGAGCTACATTAAAAGCTCGGCAGGCAAATGTTTTTTTTTTTTTATTTCACCCCAATTCAGGATGCAGTTGTCGTAGCCAGGAACTAAACCTCCAGCCAATGATATCTTAGTTTCACACTTTGTAATTGTGTATACAAAACGGAGCTCTTTCCTGCAAGTCAAGATTTCAGCACGGAAAGAGTCCACTGATGACTGAGTTACGAATTAGGACCAAAAGAAAAAAACAATTATTCATAAGCACTTACCTTGCAGTCCACATAGTCATTCCATGACTTCCACCAGTCTATTGAAATGAGGTAGAGCATTTGGCCGGGCTTTAGACCCCTTCGCTCTTCTCTCCTGAGCCAACTCCTGTAAATGAAAAAAAGAAAGAAAAATACCATGAAGAAAACATTCCTATCTTTTGTTTTTATGGATCAGTGCTAATGAATTTGTGTTTTATTATGACTGTGTGCAGCAGTAATAAAGAAATCAATAAATAAAAAAATCAATGAGTTTATTATTCGTAGCAGTCTCTTATTTACAAGGTAAAATTGAAGAAAACATCCTGTCAGTTTTTTTTCTCAAAGAACAAAACATTTATAACAATAGCAAGGTTTATTAGATTCTGCTTGAACTCTCTGGACCATGTCCTCATTTATATGTGGCATGATGAATGATGGCATGATGGCATGACACATTGGCATGATGCAATATTCAAGGTAAAGCCTGCTGGGAAAAAAAAAAAGAACGGAGTGCTGCAGGAAATGTTACAGGTGTATACTGCAGTCAAGAACTGTTTACTCATCAGCACACGGAGTCACATGACAACAGTTAAGCACGAATATATTTTGCTCAATGACCGCAAACAGACACCGACATAAAAATGGAGCAACGCAGGAGTAGGCAAGCAAACGTGCTGTGCCACCTCTTGCTTCAATGCACCTAAGCAGCAGCATGAAATTGCCCAGTCTGCGTATCGACCACAGAATATTCTCAAGGAAGAGCAGTGGCACACCTGTGTGCTCAGCTCCACGAAAGAGAAAGCATGGCTACCAAAAGCAGCCTGTGGGAGATGCGCACTCAACCACAAACCTCCCACGGCCATGCACTGAAAGGCAGTGAGCATCAAGCCACCTCATTTCCCTCTTGGCTCAACTTAAGCGTAATTTACGCAGAGCATGATGTCGTTTAATCCCAACAGGGTTTTAAATGAAACATCATGGCAACACTAACAAAAAAATTATTGCCGGGAGTGTCCATACAATTGTTAGTACTGATTACAACTTAAAATACAATAAATAAATACAATAAATAAAATAAATAAATAAATACAATAAATACAATTAATAAATAAATGAACATGTGATCATGTACCCTTGCAGGGTAAATATCAAACATACGGCAGTTATCTTGTAAGCAGGAAAATACAGCATACAAGTTATATTTCTCAAGAAAATTACAGCCATTACCAGTGCATGCATTTTGTGGCTTGCAGTAATAAAAATGCAAAAGTGATGGAGTGCTTCATTGTGACCCATTTTTGCCATCTGCAATGATGAGTGATGTTCTAGACGGTGAAAAATAAGCCTGGCTGTCGACATATGGTTTCAATGCTCAATTTAAAATGGGCTCGGCAGTTTCGCTATCAAGCATAAACAAGCTCTACCCTTTCCAGAAACTGCCACAAAAAGCCTTTTTATTGATAGGTGCTACAATATTTTGTTACAGTCGCATAAATTTCAAGTCCCAATTTCATCATCATCATCAGCCTGACTACGGCCACTACAGGGCAAAGGCCTCTCGCATAACCCGCCAACCAACCCGATCTTGTGCTTTCTGCTGCCACGTTATACCTGCGAACTTTTCAATTTCATTAGCCCATCTAATTTTCTGTCTCCCCCTCCTGCATTTGCCCTTTTTGGGAATCCGATCAGTGGCCCTTAATGAACAGCGGTTATCCTGCCTAAGCGCTACGATATCCTTAACCCCCTTTCATTCCCTGATTTACTCTCCTCTCTTAAGGTTACACCTATCATCTTGCCAAGTTCAATTTACAGGTGTTACGGACAATGCAGGCCTACCTGACGATGTCGCCTTCCTCCTCCCTTGAAGATGGTCGCAGACCAAACACAACATGGCACACCTACGAGATGACAGAAGTGCATGCACACAGGTTATGAATGTTATATCCTGCCACTGCAATTGAACCGGATGTAAATTTTAAAGAAACAAAGCCACCCGAGTTAACTCACTTGAAACATTAGGTTGAGCAAACTGATGGTAAGGTTGTTGCCGACGGTCCATACAAGGTACTCGTCCAGGGTAATGAAACCGGTCTGTCGATGCACACAGAAAAATAAGCAAGAATTTAGTAAAAAGTTGCATGTGGGTGATTCTACAAGAGATCGTACACGCTTGTATAGACAATATTTTTCTTTTGCCTAGTTTTTTATATGTTACGTGGTATATTTGAGGTGCACGGAACCAAAAATTTTATTTCCAAATACTAATCTTAGCTAGTAAATAAAAAATATTTGAAGGTGGCAGCATCAGCGTCTCGCTATTCCTTGCCGCAACCATTTCCCGATTTCCCAGACGAATTAAATGCACACTGTGAACGTTGTGGGAATTGAGGCTGGCCCGCTGCCTTTGCGCGGGCTTTCCCGCCTTTCTGCCATTCTCATGTCCCGACATGTCTGCCCTCCTTTGCTGTCTGCCGCGCTGGGAAGGGCGGAGTGACGTTTAACTCCCTCACCCGGTAGCGGATGTTGACTGTGGCGCCGCGCGGGGAGCCTCCCGAGAGGTTTTCGCGCGCTGCGTTGGGAGCGGGGAGTACAGTCCGGGACTTCAAACGGTGAGCCACGCATTCTTTTCCGTCCGTCGAGTCTCGTCGCTCGGGGCTCGTCGGACTTCGCTGACGGCGCCTCGCGCCCGATGCGAACGCTCACCTTTTGTTGCCCCGCTGCGTACTCACGGCCGAAGGGCAGTACGGTGTCCTAGTGCGTGGCCTAGCTACGCCGACCCGTCTCCCTTCGAAGCCAACGCGAGCGCCTTTGCCCTCGCTCGAGCAACCGGGCCCCCTTTGTTCCGGTGTCTCCGTGGGTTACCTTTACCGCGGAGACGTGCTCGTGGCACCCCTGTGTAGTACTTTGTGCCCGTGGCGTGGATAAGCCTACTTGCTTTCCCGCCGCGCCTTTTTTGCAACGGGCTGTACTGCGTTTGGTGTTGCCACAATAAAGTGTTGCGACTTTGAGCAGTATCGTGTTTCCCGCCACGGCGACGGTTGACGCGTGCCCTGCGGCTCGCTAAGACCGGACCCACGCTGGTGGCCGTACTCCTTCGGGATACGTGTACACCACACTGGCGCCCAACGCGGTATCAAAAGCTCTAGCTTTTGACTGCTCTTAGCGAGTCAGTTCGCCTGCGCGATTCGGGCTCGTCGCAACATGGCTGCTTCGCGGGACTTTTGTCCGCTGTCCCTTTTAGCGGATGCCGCGTTGCACACGGAGGCCATTGCCTCTATTGACGGGAACCCTTCTGCACCCGTCTGTGTTGGCACCCCCTATTGCGGTGACGACACGAGGCGCCTAGCCGCTCCCTTTGGAGATGGCGCGTCGCTTCGGAATGGGCCTCTTGCCCTACCCGAACGTTATGTCTGCTTCGTGGCATGCCGCGTTGCACCAAGAGGCCACCGCCTCTATCGACGGGCGCCCTTCGGCGCTCGCCTGTGTCGTCACCCCTTTTTGTGGTGAATACACTCCTACGTGGTAGCTGACGCGCTATCTCGTGCCCATTGTTGTCTGCCGAGAACCTGGATTTCGGTGCGACGGCCGCTCGCGGTGCCTTAGCACATGCAAGCGTCGGGGGCGAAACAGCAGCTTCGCCGCCATTCGGCGAGAAGGGTGAGTCCCCATGCGGACAAACCTTGGCTGCTAACCAGGTAAGCGGCGCACCGCGAAGCGGCCGAGCGGGGGAGCTTCCCGAAGGCCACGAGGCCGAGAGCGAACCCGTAACGCCGTCTCACGCGGCGGTTGCTGCGGTCCTGAGTGGGCGCGATACCAGACTCCCCCATTTGGGAGAATGGGAATTGCTTTCGGCAGCGAAGAGCTACTGAAGGCTCAGCAGAGTGATCCGTTTCGAGTCTCGGAGGGACGGAGCGCCGTATACGCTGCTTGCTTTGCGGCGGGCGCCGTTAAACCGTCTTGACGAGGCGCGGAGCGCCGTTACGCTGCTTGTTCTGCGGCGGGCGCGATTAGGGGGCTGAAACAGCGTGTGTCGCTGAGTCCCCGGCGGATTAATTTTGCTGGACCATGACGGGCTCCTGCTGAAATATATAGCCACTGACGACGAGTCCATAGACCCGTTTAAGGTGGTTATGCCCATAAGTCTGAGAGCCGCACTGTTGCGATCCTCTCACGACGAACCCATGGCCGGTCACCTGAGTGGCTCGAAAGTTTTTGCATACTGAGCAATGTTGTGACCTGGCCCGGCACGAAGCGTGGCTTTTATCGCTATTCCGTGCCTGCCACGTCTGACAAACGGTTGAGCCAAGGGTTGGAAAGCCGCCCGGTCTTATGAACCGATTGTCAGTGAGCGTCCGTGGCGCGTACTAGCTGAAAGATCCCCTTTGGGAAAACTCAGCCGTGCCCACATCGCAGACCTGAAGCCCTTTGTCATGGTCTGACGAGCTTGCGCCAGTGCCCTGCGGCACTTCGCGCAAGCAACGGGCACACCCGGAGCGGCGGACCGCATTCGGACCCCGCACCGGTATAATCTGAGGAAGCGGTCACCTTTGTGATTTCGCGCCGGATGGCGGACTTCTCCGCAACCGAAGGCCCTCAGTTTACTGTCTAGCCTCAGTATACGTTAGCTTCTTTACGGCCTTTTCTCGTAAAGAAGTTGACCCCGCTCTGTCTGCTGCCAGTGTTTCTTTTTTTTTTTTGAAGTGTTCATGTGTATTTTGTTTCTTTTGTCTAATATTAAGTGATATTTGTATTTTATGTTTTTTGTCAGATGTTGAGTGTCGTTTTGCTCTGTTTTTACTTTTTTTTTCCGTGTTCGTTTCGTCTATCGCGAAGGGAGCTGTGTGTGACCTTGTGTGTCGGTGCTTGTCGGGGGAGAGAGAGACGAAGGACGCTTTGCGCCTACGCTCGCGCAGCTGTCGGCGGTGTGTGTGCGTGCTTCTGTGCGTGTGTGGGTGCGTGACGCTTCGATGCGAGCCCGTGAAGAGTGCGTCATGGCTTCCCCCCATCGATGCGGACGCTGGAGGTACTGGGGGGTCATTGACCCACTGACGTCAGACCGTCTGGCTGTGCTCCGCTCTCGGCCGTCGCCGAAGAAGCCGTGCTGCCTTTCCCACCATGGCTCCTGCGCGAGGCCAGCTGAAAGCAGCTATATGCTGCCGGCCAACGCCAGGGCGCCTTGCAGCCAATTTTGGTTTGGCCTCCCTGACCACCGGAGAGGCCCGGCTTCCCGCAACGTCCAGCTCCGTCATCGAGCCAGAAATGCGGGGCCTCCGAACAACCGAAGCGGCTTTCGTCGGACTCGCGGCTTATCAAGAGCAGGAACAAGCCATCAGTGAGCCCCCCTTCCGGTACCTCTGACCTCGCACTCGGGCATCGCACCCAGCGGACACTGTCACGCGTTTCCGCCCCTCCGCGCAGTGGACGCTATCCCCCTTCAGCACCACGAACGCTAGTGCCACGTTTCTGTGCTCCCTTCTGCAGTATTTGTATAGTGTCGTGTGTTTATTTTGTTATTTATGTTTTTGTTTCTCCTTTGTAATCATATTTCTTTTAAGCAGCAGTAGCAGGGCTGGACTGAGGTTAGCTACCGCTCATAGCAGTGTCATTTTAACTGCATGGGTGACGTCCGGCTGCCTTTTGCAGACCGGTAAAGGACAAGTTTAGGAGAGGGGGATGTGGGAATTGAGGCTGGCCCGCTGCCTTTGCGCGGGCTTTCCCGCCTTTCTGCCATTCTCATGTCCCGACATGTCTGCCCTCCTTTGCTGTCTGCCGCGCTGGGAAGGGCGGAGTGACGTTTAACTCCCTCACCGGTAGCGGATGTTGACTGTGGCGCCGCGCGGGGAGCCTCCCGAGAGGTTTTCGCGCGCTGCGTCGGGAGCGGGGAGTACAGTCCGGGACTTCAAACGGTGAGCCACGCATTCTTTTCCGTCCGTCGAGTCCCGTCGCTCGGGGCTCGTCGGACTTCGCTGACGGCGCCTCGCGCCCGATGCGAACGCTCACCTTTTGTTGCCCCGCTGCGTACTCACGGCCGAAGGGCAGTACGGTGTCCTAGTGCGTGGCCTAGCTACGCCGACCCGTCTCCCTTCGAAGCCAACGCGAGCGCCTTTGCCCTCGCTCGAGCAACCGGGCCCCTTTGTCCCGGTGTCTCCGTGGATTACCTTTACCGCGGAGACGTGCTCGTGGCACCCTGTGTAGTACTTTGTGCCCGTGGCGTGGATAAGCCTACTTGCTTTCCCGCCGCGCCTTTTTGCAACGGGCTGTACTGCGTTTGGTGTTGCCACAATAAAGTGTTGCGACGTTGAGCAGTATCGTGTTCTCGCCACGGCGACGGTTAACGCGTGCCCTGCGGCTCGCTAAGACCGGACCCACGCTGGTGGCCGTACTCCTTCGGGATACGTGTACACCACAACGTTGTGTCAAATTTTTTTTCTTCTTGCTATAATACGCATCACAGTAAATTACATCCATGCTTTTTTTAAGCTTTTTTGTAGAACCAAGAACTTCGGAAAAAAATGGCAAACTCGATCAAGATAAAAAAAAAGTACCTTTGATGCACCTTGGCACATTTATTATTTCATGCAAAAATTTAAAAAGAAAGTGCCAATACAGAGCAATATCTTTTCAACATTTATGCGAAAGATTGTTTTCCTTGCCGCAGCGTAATAGGGAAAAAAAAAATAGTCGAAGTGAGTTTTTTAAAATAAGGTCAGTTTCAAAAAAGAAAAAAAGATCATAGTTCCAATTTTAACAAAAATTTTGTAATGAAGTTCGATTACGTCACTCAATAAATAGTTTCAATATTACATGTTTTCATTTTCTTTGTTCAGGAAATACAGCGAGCAAAAGTGGTCTCCGCTGAGGGTGCTTGGTTTATGGTCTTTACTAGTTGTCCAGGAGCCTGTATTCTACAAAAACTTCCAATTCTAATGTTTTGCAGCAGCAAAACAACTTCATTCTAATAGCTTGCATTGAACAAAATTATATTGAGATTTTATAGGATCTGGGGTGCCTCCTGCACGACAGGCCAGAGGACAGGCACCCTCCAAAGTGATAATGTGCGCCCAGTTTGCAGCCTACAATGTGAACTTGCGCCAACATTATTTTGTTACCAAGACCATGTGAAGCACTGCGAGATGTTTTGGATGACCTTGCCAAAACTAGCCAGGCGCACACAGTACAGCTTATGTAATCGGTGCCGAGAAAGCCTTATCCATAGCTGCCTGCTTCCATAATGAGCAGGTGTGCCGTTATAAAGGTGCTTTTGCACTGCCTGTTTCCCTTGCATGCCGTGCAGTAGATTCGGAGACCTTCAACCACGTAGTGCAATGCACAATCTATGTAAATAAGCTTTTGGAAACATTACCCAAGCCATCTACCAAGCCATTCATTTTGTTTCCTGTTTTCACCCATTGCGCGTCACTCTCAAATAACTTCTTGCTGTATTACCTTGTACCCAGCGTTTCTGCTGTTAGAAAATGTGCAGGTCATTTTTTACATCACAAAACCACCACGCCATTATGAGAGACGCTGTAGCGAAGGGCTCCGGAAATTTGGACCACCTGGTGTTCATTAACGTGCACCTAAATTTAAGGTCCCTCGCCTCTACCATTTTTCCACCATCGAAATGCGACCTTCCCGGCTAGGATAGAGAACTGCACAGGGGCACTGGTTGTGCCAGACAAATTTTATCCTTCAACACACAGGGTGGGCCACTTGTTATCAGAGTAAAAACTTTAGAGGGTCCTCTTTTTAAAACCTGTAACCGCTAGGCGTTCTTGAGTCATGACAGCGCCATAGAAGAAGCGACAGAATGAATACGACACAGTTCAGTACAGTCGTCTTGACTTAGTACAGCTGTTCATTATGCACAATGCATGGGGCTTATAGCTAAGACCGAATATTCTGTGCCGAATATTAACGCATTCACAAGAAGATTGCCAGAAAAAAAAAATTTCATTGCGCAAATGTTTTGGACGTTGAGTCTACTGAAGCTACTGCCAGAGGCTCAGGCTATTCGTGGAACCAATGAGGTTTGCCAGCACTGTTTTACGCACTTCAAGGAAATCATCTCTTCATCCGGCAAGAAGCCCGATCAAATCAAACCTTTCCGAGTGATAACTTTAAACAAATTTTTCCGGGCACCACAAGAAGAGTTCGATTCTGTTTTGAATCCAAGAATACAAAACGCATTCTCTTGTCATTGTCATAATAAGAGATGCACGTAAATATTTCTTAGCTTGTACCAGCCGTTGCCTGCTATTTTCCTTCTTTTTTTTTAAGGAACGGCGTAAGTGTTCACAAACCAAAAGGCGTCATTACCGCACTGACGGCAGCGCTTTAGCAAGGCCACTTTGGCCCACTGTATTTCGTGAACAAAGAAACTGAAGACATAATATATTGAAACCATGTATTGAGTGGCATAAGCGGACTCCGATAAAAAAGTTTTGGTTAAAATTGGAACAGGCACTTTTTATTTTCTTTTTCGAAAATGAGCTTTTTTGAAACAACTTGCTTCTTTAACTATGCATATTTTTTTCCTCTATCACTCTGCATCTAAGAAAAAAATCTTTTGCAGGAACGTTGAAAAGATATTGCTCTAATTGGCACTTCTTTAGAAATCTTAAGAAATGCACCAAGATGCATCAAATATGCCGAACATCTTTATTTTGGCCCAGTTTTCCATTTTCTTTCAGAATTTTTTTTTCTTTCTGTAGATATGTTAGAAAAAGCATGGATGTATTCACTGTGATGCGTATTAAAGAAAGGAAAAATTCCGACACAACATTTAAAAGCGCATTTAATTCGCCTGAGAAATCGGAAATGTTGCAAAAAGCAATGGCGAGACACGCGTGCCGCCACTTTCAAACATTTTTTCGGCACGCTGGGATCAGTTTTTGGAAATAAAATTTTCGGTTCTGCGCACCTCAAATATACCCACATAAGAAAACAGACAAAACAAGAATATCGTCCGAACACGTGTGTTTGATCTCTTGTGGAATCGCCCATGTTATGCGGATGCACATAATTTTCAAGTGCTACACAAGTAGAAGCTTACTCATGTACTGCATGGCAATACTCTCGTACAATGCAATCAGTCACTCATTGTGCTGTAAGACATGTCTCATCTACAACATATGATTAAGTAAAAATTAATTAACAAATGAAAAAGAAATCTGGCATGAATATGAAATTGTCTACACTGCTTAAGCCTTTAAAGAAAAAAAAAACTGGTTGTAGCATTTCAAACGAGAGAAAAACAAACCTTGCTGGGGTCATGCTTGTCAAACACTTCTTCAATCATTGGCTCCACATGTGTCTTTGCAGGAGTCATTTGCAAGTGGAACAGCTGAAAACGAAATAAATAAGCGCTTGTAAACCCAAACAATATTTTGAATGAAAAAAACAAAACATTAAAAACTTACTTCGAGGTACCTCATCTGAAACTGGCCATAAAGTGCAAGTCAATATTATAATAAATTTATTTATTTGGAGTATGATGCAAAAGAGAATGTGGGCACACATCAACCTATCAACCTGTTCTTCACACATGCAAATGTGGATTTGCACTACCTGTTGATACAATGACATCTTACCAATTTAACACATGTCTATCCTTGAGCCAATGCCTGATGTTTTGAAACACATATGATCAAGAGTCACTGCAGCTTGAACATAAGAAGTCAAAAGAAACAAATAAACACATTTTCACATGTATAAGCCACATTAAATAACTGGTTTCACAGCAGCGTGAGCCATACTGCCATGAATCCAAACCAGATGGGGAAGATTGTTTATTGCCCGCATTTCATGTTTTATTTTTTTCAATCCATTACAACAGGTTGTAGCACTGAGCATAGAGACTTAAAATATACCACAAGAAATGTGCGAAAATGTGCTAATAGCACACAAGTGTACTGTTTTCAAAACAAATGTAGAGTAAAATGAAACATTACAGGTGAGAAAAGCACCTCCTGATTATTTGGTATTCAGCTCTATATTCAAAGCTATGCTTTTGTATCTTATTCACATTCAAAAAATTTATTTTGCACCATTGCTATATACTTTACTAAGACTGCAAATATTCATGTACATTTAAAGAGGCAGACTGGTTTTAGACATTTTTCGCTTATTTTTACAGTGATCTTGATCAAACTGCACAAGATTATGCAGTTTTTTTTTTTCAGATTTCAAATATTTAATTAGTATTCTTGTAACTCATCTTGTTCATGAGATAACTTAAACTGAATGCCTTGTGTTTGAGGCCACCATAGAAAAAAAAGTGCCTAATTAAAAGTGATACTTAAAATATGCCAATATAGACTAATTACTAGATTGAAAGTATGCAAAAGTTTTTTTTTGTTTTTGGGCCTTTCTTGGTTATTTTACAGCAAAATGAACTATCTGTTTTCAAAAGCAGTTGTCATTGTGTTACAATTTTATTGAGTAATTAATTAAAAATATTTGTGCTCTAAATTCTGCTCCCATGCTTGCATTCCACACACATAGAGGTTTTCATTGCAAAAAGAATTATTGTTTTACCTGCCCTAGCTGCAGAGATATTGAGGCCTCAAAATAGAACAGTCGTAAATTTACTTTTTGAGAAAAATGGAAAAAACTGACAAGACACATCTTGTTCAAAAAGCAACAATCATGGTGCACATGTTTTGCAATGCTCATAAGGCGCTCATAAATTAATAGCAGAGCTTCTAACATAGGTTCCGACAAATTACAAAGAAGCCTTGAAGACGGTTCCCCATTTTTTTGCAGGTTCTGCATGTTATTAACAGCACCGAGAATCTGGACAGTTAGAATGACATTACAAAAAAATTACCACATCCTGGTGCGTGAAAATTTGCAGAAAGATAGAAAAATGCTTACAGAAACCAAATATAAATTAAAAAAAAAATGAATTTTTTGTCACTTTTTGGTCCCAAAGACCAGTCTGCCCCCTTAATAAACATAAAAGTATAATCTAGCACAATACGATAAATATTAAAAATAAACTGAATGTGTTCCTGTCTGCGCAAAGCAGCTGAGGCTCTTCACACTCTCTGCTACCTTCTCCGCTCTAAGTGTGCTCCACAGATTGCGTAATTCAGCACAAAATAAGCTCCGGTACGAAACAAGCACTGTAAAAACCGGAATGTAGGTAGAATTTTTTTTTTAAACGTGATGAAAAGTCGACTAGTCATATTCGAGACTCCAGCAATTCTTGCAGCGCCTAGGGGCAGTATAGAGAAGCTGCGTACTGAGGTCCAAACAGTCCAAGCGCCAGTTGTAAATGGCAGGAGAACGTTAGGATGGTGCCGCCCGTGCAGAAAAAACGAACGGCCAAGCATATTTATTTTTTTCAGGTGAGGCACCAGTGTCAACTTGTTAACTCGAACCGATTAAATGACCATTGTATCCAGTGACTACATGTTGGTGCGGCGCCCGAAGTATGTAAACAAATTTCGCAGAGACCCGGTGCGCCATGCGCATCACACACACAACCTGACCACTTGAACGCCGCTTGCGCTTGCGGGACCACTGGTGCAGACTAAAATAAGATGCTCCACATCAACAACCTGCTCCCCTTTTACAAAGCAGCGCGAACTGCAATCACACAGCGGAAAACTCAATATTTGTGTTAGCGACAGCAGACGCAATGACCTCCGTGAATACGCCAAGCTGCAACTCCGCAGCGCCCTCTCATGTTCATTTGAGTTGCGAATACCGGTCATTGGCAGAAAAAAATGAAGCCTCGCAATAATGGGCTGCTGAAGTCAAAAGCCTCCATTGCCATCGTGAGCATCAGCAGCAGTGCTGTTGGGAAAGGTTAGGCAAGGCCTACAGTGTACTAGCAACGCCATTTTGTTTTGGTTATTTTTGTAAGTGTGCTGTATTCTTTTTCTATTTCTTTCAGAAACGAGTGGTAGTCTATGGCAGTTTACGATAGGCCTTAACAAAAAAAAAAGATGCTAAAGTGCACGGCAACCTGGCGGCACAATGGCAGTTCAGTGCATCAGAGAAAAGCGTTCAATACTGGAGGAGCCAAAAGCAGCACATCACATACTGCAGCAATAAAAAAAAAAAAGAAAATTTCGTGGATGGACTTTAGAGCACCCCTAACTGGAAACTGCTCGCCGAATTCATCTGGGGGCTGAGTGCAGGGTCGCTACCGTGACAGCGGAGTGCACCCGTGTGATAGCTATCGAGATAGCGCTCGACTCCGGGCACACGAGGGTGCAATTCAAGGCCTTTGTGCTGAAGCGGCGTACTTCTGAGTATTGAAAACAGACCAAAAATTTTGATTACAAGCTGATAGGGTATCAGCGCTTCGTCATCAGCTTCATCGACAGCATTGCTACATGATGGGACACATGGGAAACGCAGACAAAACTCCGTTCTGGTTCGATATGCCTTGGAACCGGACTGTGACCACTAAAGGATCCAAGCAAGTGAAGCTCTTGACAACGGGCAACGAGCATTTGAGATTTACTATGATGCTCGCCTGCACAGCCGATGGAAAGAAGCTGCACTCTTATATCATCTTCAAGAGAAAAGGTCTACCAAAAGAAGACTTTCCCAGGAATGTTATCATGAAAGTGAACAAAAAATGGTTCATGAATGAGTCCCTTATGCTTGAGTGGAACCGGCTGGTGTGAAATCGGCAACTCGGTGCTCTTTTTTAGCGACCAAGCATGTTGGTGCTCGACTCATTTTGAGGCCACCTCACAGCGGATGTAAAGAGAGCTCTGTCGGATTGCAATACGGGCCTTGTCATGATCCCTAGAGGACTAACATTAATCCTCCAGCCCCTGGACATAGTGCTCAATAAACCCTTCAAAGATCACGAGCGTGAGCTCTACAATGAGTGGATACTGGGCGCCAATCCCAAAACTCCCGCTGGCCGCCTACGATGTCCACCGCTCGCGACCGTTTGTGGCTGGGTGTCATCAGCTTAAAAATCTCTCCCGGAAAAAATGGTGTGCAAGCCTTTCCGCATTGAATGAAACAAAGGACGATGCACTCTGGGACGTAACTAGTAAGAAACAGATGTCGTCGGACTCAGGTTTGGACAAATCTGAGTGACAGCACTTTGTGGCCTTCTCGCATTGAACTAAAGAAGATTAGCGTCGAAATAAAACGAAACGTCACCACAGTGCAGCTGGTTGTGCCACATATTTATGAAGGTAAGGGTGCGCCCGGATACTTTGCTATTTTTAAAATTTTCTTTTTCGAAGATTAAAGGTTGGGGGGGTCTACCTATATTCCAGTTTGTGCTCTATTCCAGTTTTTGCAGTAAGCTCAGTGAACAAGCTAACCATTCAGTCAATGAGTGCACATATTGGTGAACTGCAAAGTTTGCAACTTATGTGACGAAGGAGAACCTAGGGGATAACCCAAAGAAAGCAAATTGCAATGACAATGCCTTTCTAGGCAGTACAATTAAAATGGGTAATACTTAATTTACTATGGCACACCACTTACGCGGCTTCTCCGAGTAAAATTTCCATCTGTTTGGCAAGCAGCACAATATGTCAGCTCAGGTAAACCGTAAGAGAAAAAAATAAGAAGAAAAGCACTGAAAACTCTTGTGACACTATGAACAACTTTTTATGTTCATAAGACCAAAGCTAAGAATTTTTTGGCCGGAAAAGTACCCTGGTGTGCTTACTTATGTATGTCTGTGAGCTATATTAAATAGATCGCATAATTTTTACTTATAAAACATTTTCACAACGTCTTTTTTGGGGGGGATTTTGCTTGATGTTATGAGTAAACCATGCATATGTAACAAAACTCATTCTTTATTCACTCTATGGTCATGCAAAAGATTTCCTAAATGGAACCATCTAAAGAACTTAATTCAGCAATAAAAAATATTCCAATTTTTAGAGAGCACTTCGTGAAAAACTAGACCCTCCTATGGGGAAAGCAAAGCCATGCTGACTCTGCGGAAACAGGCCGAAGTATTCTCAAGCAGTAAATGTTCAAACTGGGTTTTCCGCCCTTCCGCACTGCGTGATATAACACAAACGCAAAGGATCACCTCGTCAGTTCTTTCTTCCTGGTGAAGAACCAGAAGGAGATTCAGCATGTTGGCCACCTCTTCCCGCGAAAGCATACCGTCCATGTCCTGGTCAAACACCTTGAAGCAGACTGCACAGCACGAAAAATGGAAGGCTTGCATCTCCCCAGCACAACAATTGGGAAGAAAAAAGTAGATTTCTCATGGCTACTACACCCAAGCGACGCGGTCAACTGCCAGTGGCAACAAATAGTACTAGCATGCGATAGAGTAAGTATACACTCCGTATTAACATTTCCCCCCTTCTTTTTATTTGTGAAATGTGATGCCAACACAAGCCCACTTCAGTTTACAGGGAACAAAAGACCTTGTGAGTTGTTTCCCAGTCAAAAAAAATCCATGCATCATGAACAAGTTGTAGGTGGGAACTGTTTGGCACTGTGGCATGACTGCCTCTACAGCCGTCACAATGAAGTGCAGCACGTTGTGCGCACATTATGAAATTGGACATTAACACTTCACTGTGCGAGTGTCCCACTGAAATTCAAGAAGAAAGCCAAATACTTACTACAAGTAAGATATCGCTACAACTGCTCTTGAACCTCATTATAACCAAGCCACATCTGCCACCAAAATACTTCGTTACATCCAAGAATTCGTTATAAGCATATATTCTTGACACTGTATCTATGACAAAGCTTCACTTGCTCTGTTACGACCAATGATTCGTTATATTCAGGATCCCTATATCAAGGTTTGAGTGTACTACAGAAAATGACACTCGTAACGCAAGTACAGTAGACGCACCATAATTCAAACTCTGATAATTCAAACTTTCAGTTAATTCAAACAAAATTCAATTTTTTGGTTGGCCCTTTACACTTTCAATGTATTTAAAAGCCTGTTAAGTCATACTCATAATTTCGTTAATTCATACTTTTTGTGGTTCCATACCGGACAATATCTGCTGCTTCCCACTACTATTTAAAAATTTGTGTGCTTCTATAATCTTAACAGTCTAAAAATGACAAATAAGCTTTTAAGTCTTCGAAAAAAAAGGCTTTGCTAGTAAATAAATGTTCTAAATGAAGCACATGAATGGTAAACCGTGATGCTTTTGAACTGGTCTAGAGAGGTTTGAACTGAAGGCACATACATCAAAGAAGCAGTTGACCGATTCACGATTTCTTTAAAATGTCTGATCATCAGTGAATGGCTAATAAACTTGTGGAACTTACACCTCTGCTTTTTGACTATAGGGTGCAGTTAGGGTTTAAGAATGCTTAAAAATTTTTTAAATGTGATAAAAAATCAATGCTTAATCATAATGTTCCGTGTCACCTAGCCCAGATTCACATATCTGAGAACTTCTGATAATTCAAGCTTCTTAATAAATCAAACAAAATTCAGTGGTCCCTTTGAGTTTTAATTAATGAGAGTCAACTGTATGCTTGCCTTAATATCATTCATCAACAAGCTAGTGAGAGGACGTCAAATAGTTGTACTATGACCCTAGAGACGCCAAAATTGTCTAGGTTTTGTTACACAGTTGTTTTGCAATACAGTTGAAAAGAAACCAACTTCAAAGCTCACATTTCTGCCTCTCGGTGAGTGGTCCCCTGCAGCATGCGGAAACACCACAGGCCATTTCCTTGAAGTCGATGTGGTTGTCCCTGTTCTCGTCAAAGGCGTTGAATATCCCTAGAGACAAAACACGCAGCTGCAGTCACCCATACCTAGGCATTGCTAATAATTTCATTTCACCTCCAAGAATATCTTACCGTATAAACCGGACTATAGGTCGAGTGGGAATACAGGTCGACCCCCCAAGTTCAGGTTACCGAAAAAGAAAAAAAAAAAGGAAAACAACCCAAAACTGCCGAACCACATTTATTTGCGAATTGGGCGCACCGCATCTCGATCGTCGGAGCTCCCCTCTACCACCATCGCAACTGCTCCTATTCTTCCAACGAAGCACCACTGTCTTCTGAAGATGAGAGTTTGTCGCTGGCCGCCTCCCACAGTGCGTCGTCCTCAGTGCCATCCAGCGAGTTGCTGATGCAGCATTTCTTGAAAGAATTTTCCACAATGGAATCCGGCAAGAAGCGCCAGGCGGAAAGCACCCAGCCACAAATAGTCGCAAGCGGAGGCCTCTGTAGGCGGCCCGTCGGTGTCTTGGGGTTGTCGCCGGACATCCACTCTTGGTATTCCAGCCGCACTCGATCCTTGAACGGCTTGTTTAGTACAACGTCGAGCGGCTGGAGGGTGGACATCATACCACCTGGTATCACGGCAAGGTACGTGTTCCCGTCGCCGAATGCGCGTTTCACTGCGTCGGTCAAGTGGCCACGAAACGCATCCAACACCAGCATGCTGCGAAGATGCAGCAGTGCACCTGGCTGACGGTTCCACACCACTCGTATCCATTCGAGCATCATGGCCTCGTCCATGTATCCCTTTTTGTTGACGCGAACGACAGCCCCGGGCAGGAACACTTCCTTCGGCATTGTCTTGCTTTTGAAAAAAAATGACGAAGGGCGGAAGCTTTCTACTATCTGCCGTGCATGCCAGCATGACGGTGAAGCACGAGTGCACGTTGCCAGTGGACAGCAGCTTCACATCCTTGGCGCCGCGCTGCGCAATCGTGGTCAACGAAGGCATGTCAAACCACACGGGGGTCTCATCGGCGTTGCCAATTTGCCCCATCATGTAGTCGTTCTGCTCCCGCAGCCGGTTTACGAAGCGCTGAAAGTTTATAAGATTGTCCTCGAACTCCTCCGGCAACTTTTTACAGATGAATGTGCGCCGCCGGAGAGAAAATCCTTTGCGTCGCATAAATCGACGCACCCAAGAGTTTGGTGCACGAAACTCTTCTCTCATGAGCCCAGTTTGCCGAGCGAGTTCCACAGCTTTCTTGCGAATGGTATCCACGGTCACTGGCAGCGAGCGCGCACGAACTTCCCGCACAAAGTACGCTAGCTTATCCTCCAGCTGCGGATGAACGGCACTTCGTCCACGAAACGACATTTTTCGAGGATTGCACATCTGCAGCTTCCCTTTCTGCGCCCTCCAATAGCGCACGCTTTTTTCTGATACACCAAAGCTGCGCTGAGCAGCCATATTCCCGTTCGCTTCTGCGAACTTAACAACATCTAGTTTAAACGCAGCTGAGTACTGCCTCCTCGCACCGCTAGACATATTCAGTGAACGAAAAAAAAAGGCCACTAAAAATGCGCCGCAATGTCAAGCGGAGCGAAAACTCGGAACAGATCGGAAGCAAATCACGAACACAAAATAACCAAAGAAAACAGACTGCGATTGGATTTGGATGCGGATATGGCTGCGTCTGACTTCACAAGCACATGCAAGTCATATGTTGCCAGACAGCATCGCACTTTCGGCTAGACACCGCCAGAAGCTAACGAAAACAATTCGTATTGCCAAGCGAAATTTTTTTGAGACAACATTGCCTAATATTCAGGTAAAAATTGCGCTGAAATAGAAAGGACACCACCAATATGCTACAAACTAATCCAAAACAATTTTGGAAAGCTATAAACCCGTCTCCTGCCACCCCAATAAGATTGTATAACGATCAAAACGTAGAACTTAGTGATAGTGAGACAGCTGCAGTACTCAACGTGGCGTTCTCCTCGGTTTTCACGAAAGAAGCCAGCATGAGCACCCCCATTTCCTCGGATCTGGTCATTAATGAACAAATGCCCCCTATAATATTTACAGCTCAAGGAATAATGAACATAATTGATAAAATGAAACTATCATCTGCTACGGGACCGGACGGAATCAACTCTAAAATGCTGAAAAATTCCAAAGAACCAATTAGTGCCATGCTCGCTTTGCTATTTTCCCAATCATTAACGTCAAGCTGTATCCCCATTAAATGGAAGCTAGGTAAGATTGTTCCGACCTTTAAAAGCGGCAATAGTTCATCACCGTTGAACTATCGCCCCATTTCAATTACGTCCGTACCATCAAAAATATTGGAACATATAATTTTTTCGCACATCATTAATCACCTTGAACGCCATAACATTCTCTCCACATCGCAACATGGTTTTCGCAAGGGGCTGTCCTGCGAAACGCAGCTTGCTTCATTTACACATGATTTGCACTTAAACCTTGACAGAAACATCCAAACAGACGTAATTTTTCTAGATTTTGAAAAGGCATTCGACAAGGTACCCCACCGTCGCTTAATGTACAAACTATCACTGCTGAATATTGACCCATTTGCACTTAATTAGATCGAAAACTTCCTCCTGGAACGAAAGCAATTTGTCGAAATAAATAGCGCACAGTCTACCACAGCACCCGTTCTGTCCGGTGTACCACAGTACAGTACTCGGGCCGTTGCTATTCTTAATTTATGTTAATGATCTACCTTCAGACATTTCTAATAACATTCGCCTATTTGCGGATGATTGTGTGTTATATTCCAAAATTACATGTAAGCAAGACCAAATTAATCTACAATCTGATCTTTTTCGTATTGAAAATTGGTGTAAAACTTGGCAAATGTCCTTGAACGTACCAAAATGCAAACTAATGTCATTTTCCCGGCGCGCATGCCCATTATTTCACAATTACACCCTTAAAGGCTCTTCATTACAATCCACAAAAGAGTACAAGTACTTAGGCGTCCATATCACCAACAATCTATCTTGGACAGTACAGGTGTGCAAAGTAATCGCCAGCGCCAGTAGATCCCTCGGGTATCTGCAGCGCACGATGAAATTTGCTCCTTCAGACTTAAAATTGTTGGCCTATAAAACCCTTATCCGTCCGAAGCTGGAGTATGCGGCCGCTATATGGGACCCGCACCAACGTTACCTCATCGACAACATAGAAGCCATCCAAAACCGGGCAACTAGATTTGCTTTCTCTGATTTTTCTTCATACACTAGCGTCACAAATCTCAAGTCGCGTGCGTCCCTTCCTCCCCTCAACAACCGTCGGAAACTAGCAAGGCTGGCATTATTCCATAGGTTTCATTACTCATTATCACCAAACTCCTACGTCACGCCAAAATCGCCTGTATACACTCGCACCAAAAACGAACATCAAGTTTCATACCCCCGCCCACGAACTAACACTTTCGCGCAATCCTTTTTTGTTCGGTCAGCCAAAGACTGGAACAATCTTTCCGCTCACGTGGTACAGACCAAAGACCTTGACCAGTTTAAATCGCTGCTTACTGCGCCCGGAATTGTGTAATATCCTCATGCCGTTTTCATGGTTCCCGTTTTTTTTGACTTTCATTGTTGTCAGTGCAGGCGAAGTAATGGAGCGTTGCCTTCTGACATCATATTGTTTTCTGTGTTTACCAAATTTATGGCTACCTAGCTCATTGCCGTTGTTTGCATTCTGACTTGTATGTTTGCACCATTGTACTGCTGTAAAGCGCGGTTATCCAAGCTGTTCGGACTCCGATTGGTCCTAATGTAAAACATGTAGCGTGTCCGGCCATGTAGTTTCTTTTATGCTTCTTCACTCATTTATTGTTGTAACGGGCTTGTATATAGTTATGCTGGTAGCACACCTCCCCCTCACCCCTACCCTCGTTTTTTGTTCTAGTCTGTCACTTGTACCACCCCTCATGTAATGCCTCCTTCTAGGAGGCCCTTGAGGTATGAAAATAAATAAATAAATAAATAAATAAATAAATAAATAAATAAATAAATATAAGACGAGGGGCGACTTTAGCTTAATATTTCATTGAAAAAATTTCGACTTATATTCCGGTTTATACGGTACTTAACATGAAATCCCGAGCAAACGCCCCCTTTTACGGTAAAAGATGGTCGCACAAGATTTGGTGGGGGGCTTGCTTGGTTGTGATGATGACCAGACCTCAACACGGGGGTGGAAAAGCCGCCAACAAGTGCTTCTAATGAAATGCTTTACTGAGTATGCACGCACTTACTGTTTCTACCGAACTAATGGGAATCGTTTAGCGAAATTTCATGTTATAACAGGGGAAAAACATATTTGAAATGTTACAACACATCTACAGACTCGGAATTCGGGTTCCTGGTAACAGTCTTACGAATCTGTTACAAACAACACGTTGAAAAAAAAAAAAAAAGGCAAGAGGGGAGGCGGGAGGATGTACTCGCTCGGTCACTGGAGTGTATTTTAATGCTCCCAAAATGGGGAAGGGGGCGCTTGTTTGGGATTTTACGGTAGTATGTAGTAGAAATACTACATCCATAGTAGTATTTCTGTGATATGCAATTCAATGTATGCATTTTTTTTTGTCTTTGTCCAGCACTAGCACCAGTTTGTGATCGTAGTTAGCTCTGACAGTTTTTTTTTATAGAGATTTTCAGCAGTACTGGTAAGTGGACGGCCAACTTACATTTTGGTTTTTACAATACAAAGCCATCCATACAGTAATGGTAAATGTCTCCCAATACATTAAACTAAAAATATGTTTATGGGTTCACTCTAATACTTTTGCTAGTGAACGTCTACTTAGTATTCAAGCCTATGCTCAAAATGAGCTGAAACACAAGCGACAGGGTACCTTGGCAAAGAACAGGAGGCACAGGTGGTGAAATGAGTGGCCCGAGCATTTCAAGGTCAAAGCGCCCCGTCCGGGATTGAGTCTTGAGTTGCCAGTAGCGCTTCTCCAGCTCTATGATGTCCGTCTCTTCCACTGCACAGCAGCAGGGCATGCACAAACAACTCTAGGACACATTTCACAGAAAGGGGGGCAAGGCTTCTATTCCGTAGCAATAGCCAGCTGCTTCTGCAGCTGAACCTCTTTAAAGAAAGCCTGATATAACAGACATGTGGGCATAAGAGACGCCAGTACGCACACATCGAAATGGGGGGTTGATCAGAAAATTAGACCATGATACCCCGCTTATAGAAGACCCCTCAATTGACGAGCGAGAATTGCTCCCTAGAAAATAAAGTTGTTTCTCTCCCTCTCTCTTGCTCCCGAGTGCATCTAATTTGCAAAGAGGTTCTTCTACAGTTTGATTAGATCAGTATTTGGGTGCTACGTGCCAACACACATTCCTCTGTAAGTTAAACGCCTTGGTCCATACATTCCCATACACTTCAGGTTCTATTTAGACATACTCTACAATACATTAAAAAAAAAAAAAAGAATCTGTGATGTGGCCACTTACGGTGAGTAACTCCAGCCAGCGTCTGGTAGAAGGTGGGCGTCTCCAGATCGTTGGACAGAGTCACCGATGATGGTTCGTTCAGAAGCCATCTGGTGAGGGAGGTGGCATCTGGGTGCTGCTCAAGCCATTCCTGGAACTCCTCAAAGGTCACTTTCTCACTCTGGATAGAAAAAGAATAGCAAAGATATACGTAACACATCTCAACACAACACTGTACTTTTACACCAACAAGCACAAGTGTAACAAGCAAGGACAAAATGTAATGCACATTAAAAGCACTGATGCAAGCACCAGCTTACTTAAAGAAGCTTTCCTTCTCAGCAAGGAGCAGAATGCTCAAACAAAGAAGTCTCATATGAGCCTGTATTAAAAGACTCAAACATATATTAAAGCTACATTTTCCGTATTCCTAAACCGGAATGCAATGTTCACTAAAGAGAGTGGCAGGAAGAGGCAGTATATATGTGGCAGCACACAGCAGTAGCTACTGAAATTTATTGCAAAGTGCCAATACACAATGTAGACAGACTTTGTTTGAAAGCTTCTCAATTCTGACTGCTATTCTGAACTTAAAACACTGGAATTGGTGTGCACCCTAGCATGAACGAAGGTAGGTACATGCATGCAATCCTTAAATGGTGGCAAGCTAATATAATATGCAGCTTATATTGTAAGTAGATCAAGTATTGGGCTCAAACACAAGTGTTGGGCTCACAAACATGACAAACAAGAAAAAGCACTAACAGAGTTCAGGTTCTCACCAATTATGCATTCTGGAAGCACCTGCATTTTTTCCCATTTTGAATATGCAGAAATAGTGCTGCTGGATATAGCTAAACCTTAAGCACACCCTTGAATAAATGCCAAATGACAGTACTAATTAAAACAACATAATGACAGAAAGAAAGGATCGCATAATTTGTAAACTGCATTAGAACCTACCTGAGTCAACTCATATTTCACAGAGAAGTACTATCCCAAAAAGACACGAGTTTTAGTAGTGTCTGAGAACAGGAAATTTACATTGATAATCCGTCAGTGCTCCAGAGTCCAAGAATCTCACTTGAACACCCAATTTTCGAAACCTGAAACTCTGTTCTTTTTTCCATAGCGTCATGGTCAACAACATCCACAGTGCTTCCTATGTTCAAGATAGTGATACTTTGTCACAATTAAGTGCGTGTCACTGCAGTAATCTCAGCCAACGATGCAAATCAACTGTTGAAACTGCTTGCTTACAGCAAATAAATTGCAGTAACAACTTGCCATTTCAGATTTCACCAGACCTGGAAAAAGGTCTGAATTAAGCAAATGCCGAATTATCAAAAGTATCAAAAAACAATTAAGAAATCGTGGCTACATCAATCGACTTTCATATTCTTGAATATTATGTAGATTTAATATTTATTTTTCATAAGGGCAGAGAATTTTCACAATCCTGCAACTTTGTTATCAATGCAGCTATCAATGCACACAGCACTGCCTAGTCTCGGTAGTCTGTGGACGCTTTTTTCGCTCTTTTGTGCCACACATTTGTGGCGCTTCACACGCCGCGCCCTCCGAGAACCATTCAAATTAATCGGGTTGTAACCAAATACAACCAAATTAACGAGAGTTTGACAGCATTAAACAGGGAGCATGCTAGCCGGGACCAGAAAACACATCTGAATCCTTTGATTTTTTTGAATTAATAGGGATTGAATCGACAAGCTTTCACTGTACTACATGACACTGCTCACAGATTTCCTAGTACAGTCATGTAGCTAGCAATCTAACCTGCTGTTTACTTAACCTAATAGCTGCCAATGACATCATTGGTCAAGAAAATTAGCGCACGGAAGGAAGCAGACAGTGGTCTCCTAAACATCCTCTACATTAGGTGCACAACTTAAAAACCCAATCTCTCTATATGTTACCCAAGTTTACCAGAATCCTGCGCAGCACAAGCTGTGCAAACCAGAACAAATATTTGAAGCCCAAATTCACATTGAGAAGAATTGTCGCTCTGTGACAACACTAAACCAATGCCCCCCCCCCAAAAAAAAACCTTACCAAGAGCCACAACACATTAGAGAAAAAGAGAGACAAGTGCCACACCTCTAGAAAGCAGTCAGCCACCGCCTCGGGAATGAAACCGCCATCGCAGGCAAGCACCAGCTTGATCATGTCATTTTTGTGGATGTGTGTGCCTCCTTCGTTTGCATACAGGTTGAAAATAACTGCAAACACAACAGAGACAAAGGTGGGGAAGGGGGACACCAGGAACCATGTACACATTTCCACCTTTCCAGCGAGCACTCAAATCTTCGTGTATTTCCTCCCTCAAAAATGACGAGGCCAGAAAGGATGTGCAGCCAGCATGCTTCTTTCTACCAGTGTTGACATGCAGTCACCGGAATGTTGCACCAAGATCGTTCACATCAAGTGTAGCAACTGAACTAAGCCATTTAACACACGAAGTGATCGGCAAGCTCGAACGGAAGATAGTGATCCAGCAGCCAGACAGGCATCAACTGTGAAGGAGATAGAGTCTCGAGCATGTCGAATGGAAGACGAAAAGCAGTGTTTGGAAATTCGGAAAGAAAAAGAATGGAGCAACGAGCTAGCAAATGTGTTAGTCATGAAAAATAGCGCAGGATGGGTGGGTCGTAAGACCATGCATTCATGTAACATAATAAAAGAAGGAATGATCGAAACCAAGCAAAGATAAGGGAAAGGTTGAATACAGGAAAGTCAGAGGAGTCATCTATGAAACGAAGGCAGGCTATGCGAACAAATTGGTAGGAAGTGGTGCAGTGGTACACACATCGGATGCGCTCCTCGCGGGTGCCTCGTGTGAGCAGCACCAGGCCACAGAGTAGGTCCTTGAACGTGATGCCCTTGCTCGTGCCACCACATGCCTGGAAGATGTGCTGGACACAGACAAGAATCGATGCGGAACCTCAGTGAAGATTTGGAAAAGCGCCTCATTTACGCACAGTCACTAAAAAGAAGTGAGTGCACCGAGTAGAGTGCAGGAACAGTAAATGGCTTTCAATCACATTTGGCTGAAAAGCCTGAGGCACAGCACGCTCCCGCGAAAGGAAGCAGCGAAAGGCAAAACCATAATTCTGGTTTGGTGAGGTTACCAAGTTGCACACTGCACATAAAACAGGCACACATGATGGCGACTAAAAAGTGCCACAATATATTTATGTAAAATATCTGTGGTCAGCATCGACATTGCAGTTTCCTTTCAATAAGAACAATCGTGAAACTCTCAACAAGAACACAACCACTGTAAAGGGTGTGTTACTCAGTAACTAATGCAAATGCCCCCAAAAGTTTTGACATTAAACAATAAAACCGTTCATATATATGGAGAGGAGGGAGAGGGGCAGAGCAATATTTTTCTTCCTGGTTGTTAGAAGCCATATCTCTAAGACAACACACAAATTTACAAAACAGCACTCTTTCGAAGACAAAGCAGCTGCTGCAGTAATTACCGTAACAGGCATGCAAGAGGTTCACAAATACAATTTTTATCCCCTTAGGTCCATTAAAACAGGCACTGCTACTATCGACTGAATGCAAATTGCAACGAAATTCCACTACAGCCAAACTTAGTAGCATGGACTGTCGAAGTCCTGGCAAAGCCAAAGTACTGATAGCTGTTATATTCTTGTTAGATTCTTAAATGACACCCAAAAAAAGCTTGTACTTTTGCATGTTACTCCTGACAAGTGATAATGGCTTTTATTAATTTTGTTTTCCAGAATTGTTATTAAAAATGGTTATTTTGGCGAGCTTCTCATGACACTCCTGTTTGTATTCAAAACATCAAATTATGCACAAAGCTTCCTCTGTACTTACACTATCTACAAAGACCAGGCTTTTTTCGAGGTTTCCAGTTTCCTTGCAGCTGGCTTATATAAATAACATTAGTATAACTGGCTTTGTGAGCTAAGACAAGCTGCACATGCTAACCATCTGTGCGACAATGACTAAGAGAAATACGCATCTTTGTTGTGTGAAAATCGACATGTAATCATGTGCAGTAAGCCCTGCTTTTATACAATGTTGCCCACAGGGTTAAATAAAGGAAAGCTCCAGATATATCTTCATTGGAGCCTTACGGCACATTACCAATACCTCATGTTTATTCATTATTTCATATTTATTCATTCCTTAGGTTAAATTAAGCCAGTAAAAGTTGCTACAAGGGCAATAGCTGTAAATAAGTAAGCAAATAAATAAATAAAAATGAGACCATAAAATTCCAAGGAATTACACAATCTTAAACTGTACGCAATAGTCTTGTCTCAGAAAAAATGTAAGACAACATCCACTGCACGAAAGATAAGCCTACAGAGGAATTTGCGCATGCAAGACAAAGCAACCACTATGTGGGAAGACAACTGTGATAAGGCAGAACCATCGCAGTAAATGGTAGAAAAGGTCGTATAACATGGTACATGCCGCATGCAGTAAAAGACACCAGATGATCGAAAAAAAAAAAAAGTAAGCCTTCATAACTATGCAATACCGGCACATGTGTTTCGTAGCCATTGTGATAACACTGTTCAGGTACCGAAGTCTTTACAACGGCCCTACAATCTTGAACCTAAAGTGACTAGGACCACTAGTAGCCAAGTTATATAATATTGACTATCTATAGCTCTGGATAGTCGGGTTAGTTCCATTTTCATACATACGCTATATGTCAAGGCAGAAACACCTTTCTGCAGTTAAAATTACATTTGCATGACTGATCAACAAAAACTCATTAATAAACTTTTATATTATTCACTAGAAGGCAGTTCATATGAAAAAGTTGTAGTACATGCTAATTTCTGACATACTCATTTTCTAAAGAAATTGCAAAAGTTGCACGTAGTTTGAGATATTCATTGTCGAATTTGAGTGGCAATATCGAGACTGGCGGCGCTCAGGGCCAAGAAATGTGGCCTCTTCAATACGTCAGACCAGAACTATCTACAACAGGGAGTTGCCAAAATTTGAAACAAGGTGCACCGAAGAAGAACTTCAGGAAAATCGGCAAGCATTCCGAAATACACAAGTAGCCAGCTTATTCGTTTGGTGTAATGTGTAGTTCTTATCCGCTTTTTTTTTTCCCTAAACCATAAACAGGAGCAAAAAACTACTTGGCCCCGCCTGGAAAAAGAAGCACCACAGGGGTGGCTACAGAGTTTTGTGCTTCACAAAGAAAGAAAATGTTGACATCGCATTTTTTAAGCACAGCTTGAAAGAAACATGAGCACCAAGCATCACATGAAAAAAGAAAGCAATCTGCAGTGCAACCCAGATTACTTATACCACTTTTCTATATGGACGGGACACACTCCCATTAAAATTTTGTCATCACCTTGTCACGTGTAGTTCTGGCCGGACATAACTGAGTGGTTGCATTTTTTGCTCATTGGGCAGGGTCAGTTTCAGCGTGAGCCTTAATGAGCCTTAAAACTCGATGATGAATACCTCTAATTACGTGCAACTTTCATGCTTTCTAAGAAATAGATAAGCCACAAACTGGCATGCACTCCCATTTTCCAATATTAACACCTGCCCTCAAGTCAGCAACTAAACAATAATGAAAGTGCTTTTGTTAATTAGTCACATAAGTGTCATTTCAACATCGGCAAAGTATTTTCGCCTTTACATGGAGTTTGTGTGTGAAAACAACGAAAATTCTTACAGTCATGAAACTTTACTAAAAAAAAAAAAATCTGTATAGTAAAAAAAAACATTCTCTATAAGAAACAACTCGACATCATTTCATATCATAAGAAATGTGCAGCACCAAATACTATTCGAGAACCCTATAGAATGCTAATCTGCTAGAATGCTAGAATGTCTGCCTTATAGAATGCTAATCAATACAAAATATATTACTTGTTTTAAGCATTATTTCTCTGCATTCCCTCATAACCACAAATATGATGGCTCACTATTACTCCTATCACACGGCAAATCTAATGTCACTTGTACACTGTCACACAAATAGTGAAGTACGCATGTGAGTATGTATGAAATTTGCATTTTCAAATAAAAGTTGCATTTATCCTAAGCCCACTAACGTACAGTGTGTGCAAGGTGCAACAAATTTAGCTTCACAAGCAAATGAACCTTTGAAAGCATGGTACTCACAATAATGCTACTGTCTATTGCGCTGCTGAACCCTAGACTAATTATGCCAAAAATTAGGCAATGATGACAGACTGGCTTACCTCGGCTAGCTTGAGCGGTACAAATTCGCCAAGCACTTCCTTGATGAATGCCTGCCTGGTGATGATGCCACTAAGGTTCGATGCCCTCTTGAAGGCATCTCTTAGCCGCTTCAGCTCAGATTCAGTCACTGCAAGTCAATGGAGAGAGTGCGTGAATGGCACCAGCTTTAAAGCTCTTCTGACCCGCCCTCATTACTCTTGTAAGACCCACCCCCATTACTCTTGTAAAAGCCCTATCTTCCTTTTTATTTCCGTAACATCTACCATAACAATTCATTGTCTAATTTATATCAAAGTTAGAAAGTAAATACATTGTAGCGATCACTCAACACACACAAGAAATACGCATCAACATAGCTTTAGTCTAAAGGTCATTGTAGCCAGCCTTGCTGTTCTATGGTCTTCCTAATTTTTCCCCAGGCTCAGAGCCTGTTTTGCATCAATGCCGTCACAATATGCATGCTTGATTGTCAACAAAGATTTCTTTGATTGATTAAATATCAGCCATAGAATGCTCATCAGTCATCAGAAATGTGCTTGGCATAAAGCCACAATGTGACACATATGGTCAGCTTTAAAGCATGACCTCATAAAGGGCCACAACAAAAGCATGTTAATTAATTGATATGTGAGGTTTAACGTCCCAAAACCACCATATGATTATGAGAGACGCCGTAATGGAGGGCTCCAGAAATTTTGACCACCTGGGGTTCTTTAACGTGCACCGAAAACAAAAGCATGTTAAACCAACATGAATGAATAAAGGTATCCTTCAACCCTGTAATGCCAACAAACAGTTATGCCTTCAGAAATATTGCAAGAAAACACTGACTGTTTTTACTCTTCTTGTGCAGTTCATCTTAAGAAGAATACAAATGAAATTTTGTTTGAGGCATAATATAATTAGTAACAATTGGAAATAATTAATTATTACCATATAATATGAGTCACTGTACCTTTTTTAAAAATTGAAATAGAAAATAAATGAAAGAGCTTTTGTTCTTCAAAATATGTGAAATCTATAATAACTGCTTATGACACCTATTAGTAGCTTTCCGTAGCTTTAATGAGGTAATTCAAAGTATCATATATGATACAGGGGGTATTACAGGGTTAAAATCACTTTTGGCTATTTTAATGGTTTTAAATAGAAATATCAAGGCTAAAGATACATTTTATTGAATGCTGTGCCGAATTATCAGTGGCTGCACGTTGGGTAACATCATGAATTTCAAATAAGTATCCAATGAAACGGCAGCCACTTGCAGTAAACTGTTGAAATTTTATTATGCAACAATTCACAAAAGCTATCAAACTTCCATTGCAATATACTAGAGCATGTAAACCTTTTTTTGTATTAATTATTTTTGTGCAAGAATTACTAAATACTAAAATACTAAATACTAAATAAATAAATACTAAATAAAATACTAAATACTAAATTACTAAATAAAGGTGAAAAAGGCTGTATAAGCGAAAAGTAGGAAGAAATAAGAAGAAAGAGAGAGACAGAATTAGAAACAAACGGAAACAAAAAGCCTCACCTTTCTCCTTGCTTTGAATCGCTAGTGCGAAGTTGACTCAATTTTTTTAAAGGCAATTACGAAATCAAAAGAGTAATTGATAGATATGTGGGGTTTAACGTCCCAAAACCACCATTTGATTATGAGAGAGGCCGTAGTGGAGGCCTCCGAAAATTTAGACCACCTGGGGTTCTTTAATGCGCACCCAAATCTGAGCACACGGGCCTACAGCATTACCGCCTCCATTGAAAATGCAGCCACCCCATTACTTTAAGAAATTAACATTAGACAAACTAATTATTTTTATGAAGCAACTACTTTAAGTGATTAACATCAGACAAACTCCAGGCTAAACACATTTCAATGGGCCTCATCTTTGTCAGAGTAACGTGCTTGGTGAACACTTATTGGAATCCTTCCTCTTTAGTACACGACACGAAAAAATCTTCACGTGAAAAGACGTGTAGTGATCTGACAAGGCAGTCCCATATTGTAAGCATACAATGCACCCCTTGACACACTTAATATATAATGAGGGGTATGCATGTCATCCTTCCCTCAGATATTTGATGATGATTTTTTTGTCAGAAAGCCAATTAGGCAACAGCATTTTAACAGAGTGAAGACAGATATGCTATAAAACATTCAAAGAGCAAACAGCAGGTTTATAATAAAATCTGTGCATGAAAGAAAGGCAAGCAAGCAGGACCATGAACACAATTAAGAAAAAAATGTTTAGTTTTTAACAGTAACTTACCATAAAAAAGCATAAATTTGTTACCTAGGACAGGTTGCATAGAAAGCCAACAACTAAGTGTTTACAAAAAGCAAAACTTTTGCTAAATTTTCAAGTTTCTTTAACCGAAGAGTGCTACATAGCGAGATTTTCAGAGTCGAGTCCGAGTATCAAGAGAATGGTTCAAAAGCCTGATTTAATCAAAGCTGGACAACAAGCTAAATAAAAAAAAGAGAGAAGCTTGTTATTTAATGCAGCATTTAAAGTAAGTCTGAACACACTACTAAGTGGTAAACGTAAAAGTTATTTCCCCACATTGGTCTTCAGTGTTCTTGAATCGAAAGCCTAAGCAGTAAGCCAGGCTGATTCAGTGCCTGCTTTGAGAGGCCCAAAGGTACAGGGTTGTCGAAAGTATGGTGGACAACCTGTTATCAAAATTAGAGTACGAAACTGCCAATCGTAGCTTTTCCCTCACAGCAACAGCATGCCTCTAATGAGTACACAATGAAGGGCATGATAAAACTTCTATACATTATTTGAAGACGTGGAAATGATGCAGTGACACCCAAAATTCGATAAACATGTAATGTAATATCCCAGCAAGATAAAAGCAGTATAGTCTTCAAAGGCTATGAATGAAGAATGACCCACTCGAATAAGCAAGCAGAGCACCCAGTTTAGAGAATCAAGTGGGCCAGGTACACAAGGCACCACCACAGCGATTTGGCTGCAGCAATGACAGCTCCCTAGAAGCTGGCCACATAGATGAAGACACTGCAATGTGTCTAGCATTCTGATGATGATGATGATATGACAACCAAGTTTACCGTATGCCTTGAATTAATCGACCCTCTTCCGACTTGTCTTTGCACAAAATGCCAACTTTGAACAGCTCCATAATACATACTCCAAATATTGTGGATTTATTTCCTACTGATCTGATACAGCTAAAAATAAATCAGGAGTACACGTGCGCAATGGTAGTACAGTCAACAAAACTTTCTCAGTAAAACTAAGGGTTGCACTGTCTTCTCCTGGCAGTGCAAAACAACACCTGCTGGAGATTGCATGCAATAAGCATCAGCCTTGCTTTCCTGATAACGGACAGAGCCAGATCTTCATTAAACAAGAAAATGCACACTGCTTTTGGTCATTACTGTAAATGATGCATTCATGACGTTTACTGCAAATACACCACATATAGAACACATAGAAAAGACAAAGACAACTACAATCGCATCAGTGTTTTATTTGAGCTTTAATGAGAGTATGTTATACCAATGAGGCTGTGTTGTCTTGAATGTATCTTCTTTTGTGTATTTCCTTAGTGTGTGCTACCATCTATTATGGTGGATATCTATTTTCTTTATAATTATTATAAGGTGAGCTTTAACGGTATGAGGAAATATGCAACCTGCTCACATCTCTGAATAAAATCAGTGCAGGATCACCAGCAGTTAAGTAGAAAGATTTGTTAAACGCTCAGCATATCACAGCAATTCTTCAGAACACTGGAATAGCTACGCCAGAAAAACGACTAAGTACGTGCTGAAACGAAATGCGAGATGCTCAAAATGTGTCACCTTCTCGAACTAGCTCAGTGGCTATAGAAATGTTGCCAATAAAATGTTTTGACATTTTATGTACATGACTTTAGTTAAACGAATCCCACAGAGTACTGCTAGTAACTTCTGCTTAAACGAAAACTTTTCATTAAAAATGTTTACAGCAGAGGTTGAAAAAGACGCGCAATCAACATCACAACCACAAGTTCTTAGCTACCATGGAGCAAAACCAACGAATCCAAACGATTGCTAACCGTCCAGCAGATACAAATGATTGATGAGAAGTACAACTTAAAAATGCTAGCACCTAGTTGCCTACGATAACAAAGTAAGCCACATAATTCTAGTTTCGATAAGGTCAGGATAGAAAAAAAAGCTACTTTTGTGACATATTCAACACTTCAGTAACGCCTACCAAACGCGCTTTTGTTTTTGCGAGCGCACGTTTTGTTTTTCACAATCGGCAGCTTCAGAACTATAAACATAAGGAAATTCGGCCAGTTCCACTGCGAATGATGTGCTCACTAATGAAGGGTTTTTTCCAATGCTATGCGGTCGAAGTAAGCGCAGAACGAGCGTAATTATGGCACAAAAAGTTTCAGTTCGCGAACAAACTTCGGGCAAGAACGGCTCCTTTATGACCGCATGGGGATGATTCACCGCGGGCGGCGAATCATCAGTAGTTACAAAATAAAATGTGTACCAAGCAAACGAAACTTACCTAGGCGATTTACACATTCCCAAAGACATCTAGGAGTAACAGCTGACTAAGCCAGGGGACACGTCCGCTGCCCCAGAGAAAAGCGTTTACTCAGATTACACAAGTAAATCGCGTCAAAGCACTGATAAGTACGTCGGAGTTCAGTCCGCAATCTATTCGCGACGAATACCGGGCATAACTAAAGGGACGAAAAATGTGGACGTTCTGAATGAACGAGTAAACAATCGTGAGATAACAAGCAACACTACTGGAGCTCGAAAACATATGTCAACGCTAGCGTAAATGTACAGCTCTCCTTGATGTTTGGCCACTATGAAAAAGGCCGCTGTTTGTCCGCAGGTAACTTTTCACGCATTATTACGTAAAATCACCGTCATTTTTCGACAAGTAGTTTAGGCTTAGCGACGCCGATGAGCCCCGTCGCAGGCGAAGTATTACCTCTTTTCGAAGCATCCTCATTGGTAATTGAACAAGGCTTCGAGTCTCTAGCACCCATGGCACACCTCCGTCTTACGGTAGCTCCATACCGAGGCTTCTTCCAGTCATTCGAACGAAAGGAATGCACAACCACTAGCACCGTACTCCAAAATGCTAGCCATGCTGGTTGGTCACATGACTAAACACACGAGTGTTTTTGGTCAGGTGAACATGACCTACTACACTCCTGACCTGCCCAGAGAGCACCTCTTCCAGCGCCCACGTTCTAGTTCATACCTTCTGCCGCTAGGGCCGTAACTTAGGAGCACTGTGGCGCTAGTCAGCACCTGTTCGCTGACGTCAGCTTGAGTGTTCGTGGTCATATTTCGGCCAACAGAGCACTCATATTGCGTAATTATTATGCACTAATGAAAAATAATTTTGAAACAAATATTTCAAAAGTCATTCACAAATTCTTTGCAATTAAATGGACGCAACATCACATATGCTGTCCTACACTATGTAAGTCTACGGATTCTCGCATTTGTCCACCAGTGTGCAATAAATTTTTCGTCACACTGAACAGCTTACTTGACCAGTCATCTAAGTGAAAAAATAGTCACATATATGCCGGCTGTTCATCACGGAATGCAGCCGTTCTTACTCTAGCGCCGTCCAAACAGCCGTAAAGTAGCAGACGAACAGGTTATAGGTAGCGCCACCTACGGCGAGCGATTGAACGAGAGCGGGGACACGCGCTCCCATAGGAACCCCGCTATCTGAACAGGTCAGGAGTGTAGTAGGTCATGCAGGTGAATGTCGGAGTTGTGCAAGTTGACGGCAGATGTCAGGCTCCTTTCAAACCACTATCATCATCAAATTATGTATTGTAGGTGATAGCGACTTGCGCTAGTACTAGAACCAAGCGTTTGCACACCTACCTTGCACCTATCGTACATTTACATCGTCGTTCGCGTAGGGCTTCCATCGCGTCGGCGTCTTCTGGCAGCCGCCGCCGCCGTTTTTTTCTATTTCTAATGTCCCTGCTGAAGCACTCCGCACAGATACTGCATCGAATGAAACTTGCGCCCGCGGTGTTTATCACTGAAAATAAATATTTCATCAATAACTGGTTACGGTTATATAGAAATCTTAATTGGTGTTTGCCGCCGGTCTGTTGCCTTCTTCATATTTAGTGGACAGGCGGCGATGTATGGTTTACCCGTTCATGATAATGGTAGTTCTTGTAGACACGAAAAAGTTCTTACGGCCGATATAAACAGCTTTGCTGTTAAAAGAGACTATTTAGTGAGTGGTTCATTCATTCTTTGGGACAAGGAAAGCAGCTTTCTAGATAGAAACCATCGTGAGAAAGCAACTAAACAGAACACACAAGCCCAACAGTAAACTCTTCTGAAGCTTTCTACAGCCATCGTAACGATGCGCCCCTCTGCTTATTATGGGTACCACGTGCAACTGCACTATCTTCTTTTCTAGCGCTCCCAATCCCACACACACACATTTTTCATCACAAAGCTTTGCTGGCAGTAAGCGCCCGCCCTTGCGATTTGTTGTTTTGTGTTCACATTAGCGCATTTTTTTTTTTTTTCAGATGGATCCGTACCATAAACTTGCCTACCACCGAGCTCGCATTCATTCAGTTCTAAGTCATCTCTAATTGTCATCTACTAACTGCATTATCACCATTATCACCGCGGTAATGGCACTTCCTGGTTGACGAATGACGTGCAGTGCGCCAAAAGCGCGGAAATCTAGTGAGGAAAGTTGCCAGAGCAGAGTTTTCAAGAAAGACTGCGTGAGCAAGCCAAAATGACGATTACCTTATGTATTGAATTGGTGCGTTCCCTACAGAATTAGGGCATCGACGAACCCTACATAAACATGATGGAAGAACTCTACAGTGGATCCACAGTCATCATAGAGTTCTCCATAAAGAATTAAAGCAGCCAGTATCTCAATAATAATAAAAAAAAAGGTGTATGTAAAGCATGGAGATTTGATCTCTTCAATGCTATATGCCGCAGGTTTACAGGAGGTCTGCAGGGCCCTAGATTGGGAAGAGTTTGGGATAAGAGTTAATGGAGATTTTAGTAACCAGCAATTCACTGATGACATTGCCTTGATGGGCAACTGAGGGGACAGATTACAGTTCATGACCTACCGAACTGGACACACAAAGTAGAAGAGTAGGTGTGAGAATTAATATACATAAAACTAAAGTAATGTGCAACAGTCTTCGCAGAAAACAGCACTTTGAGATAGGTAGAGAAATGCCAGAAGTTGTAAAGAAATACGTCTTCTCAGGACAGGTAACTTGAAATGCCGAAAAATTTGAAGGCCTAAAAAAACAAAATTGTGCATAGACATAATGCTGAAAAGTACTTGTTCCATGCTGAAAACCACTGAAATTTCATCTGTTCAGAGGAAAACTGACTAAGACGCAGTGTGGTGTGTTCCCAGAAGGAACAAGCTAATGTCATCTGCAGAGGTGGTTATGTTTATATGTTTGACAAAAATGTAGGTTCTAGACACTATTGGAGGAGTGAGAAGCGAGAATGATGCAACACCACGGTAATGATCACCCCTCCAGCAGAATCCTGCCTTAGTAATCTCAAGACAGTGATCCCTATGATCCATTCTACTTCAGATCATCACCATCTTAAAAAGGGAGCAAACTAGGCTCGAAAAAGTGCCAAGGGAGCGTTTAAAAAGCAACCCCGCTGCTTATAAAGCAAGAGCCAAGGGATTAAGTGGAAATCATTTGGCAGCTTGTCTGGGTAATGTGTGATGTCAACGTTTTAGGTGTTCAATAAGGAATTGGACACAACTTATTTATCTGAAATACAAAATTGCTCCGCTTTGTGATGACATATGCAGAAACATATATACATATAAATATATATAATATTTCTTTTTTGAATGCATGAACTGTATGCGTAGGGAACACGACTGTTAGAATAAAGAGCAAAAGCGTGTGCACATCGTACAAGGACCAAAACCTTTGTCTTAGCAAGACCCTTTATCTTCCACTACGAATTTGGTGGTGCAAGAATTTCGACTTTTCAGCATTCCGATCTTTCAGTGTTCAGATCTCACGACATTTCAAATTTTTGGTTTTTTTGACATTTCGACTTTTTAAATTTTTTATGTTTGGAATTTCGGCATTCTGATAATTTGGCATTTTTATTTGTGTTGTTCTAAATGCAACCGGTGTGCGCGCTATCAGCATTACATGACATTCTTGATAGGAAAGTGACAAACACCCAGCAAAGAGGTAAGGTGACAATTATTGCTGTGGGACAGAATGACACCATAAGTACGCCGAATTTAAAATGCTGTTATAAAAGGTCACACTTTTCCTTAAAGGTTGCATCAACTAATGCAAATGACTCACCACACGTGGTCAACGTTTTAAACCAAGCTTGGCTCCTGATGCAATCACTGACAGACTTATATCTGTCAACGTTGGTCATTACAACAGCCTGTGATTACATCTGACAAACATACAGGAAAATTTCCCAATGTTCATGACAGATTCTGATGACTTTGCAAGCAAAAGCAAACAGTTCATTTTCTTAACCATTAAGGTCACACTAGCACAAGGACACAACTCACCACAGGTCTCCTCATAGTTTCAGAAGCATGCAGTTGACATAGGCACACCAAGGGAAACATAAAACAAAGCCACTTTATTGAACTAAGGCACAAACTTTCCTTCCTGATCCAATAATTTTCTGGTAAACTTTTGCTATTGACTTGGAATGTAGGCAGGAATCTCCTGGTCGATGACTGCTGTTAAACCAGAGAAGTCACATCATACACAAAATCTATTTGAAGCAAGGGTTGAAAAGAAGTTTTGGCTTCATGTCGCAGTTCTTCCAAGAATGAGGTGCAAGACTTGAGACAGCATGTGTATGTGTGTGAGTATTCATTTCAGAAAGTTTCAATTCTCCAGCCTCCCAGTTATTTTACCCCCATCCACATTTCAATTCTGGTCCTGAATTTCTGGCACCAATAACCCACATAGTAGACTGAGGCAAGGACGCTTGAGTTGGTAATTTTTGAAACTTGTTCAGATTTCTTCATACATAACCAGGTCGTGCAGTGAGCAGTTCGCTGGCGTAGCCAAATCATAATTGATATGTACGGGTCCTTCAGATGCACATTTCAAAGGGATCAATCACTGAGTGGGTAGTACATGTATATTGAAAGCGGTGGGCAGTGAAGTGGAGCAGTGTGACGGCAGTGCTTCATGCTATAAAGCACTATTTTTAGAGCTAAGAAAAAAGAAAAAGTCACCAGTCAAGCAAATAAGGACATAAAATCTGTCGCACAAACCTATAATTAGGATTAAAAAGTGAATACAAGATTCTTTATTAGAAAAGTTGCTTAGGAAAGTCACTGTAAACATTAATGAGAAGTGATTAGAGGCATCTGGATACACATTGCCAACATTGGCTAATGTTTAAAACTTTTGTCTAATTTTGGTTAGTATTAGATAATGCAGATGCATGTTGTGGTACTTGCACAATTTGCCTCAGAAAAAGTCGCCGTATTCTTTTTATATGAATGTATTTGTAATGAGCCAACACCGGTGAGAATAATTTGAGACTTACTTCGTTATGTCAAAGTTCAATCGTATTAGCATTCATTGCACCAAGCAGTAGCAAAAGCACTAGTTCCTCTGACTTACCTGAAGATCCACACAATTTCAGCATGTTTTGTGGGTCCAACTTCATGTCTTGTTTGCCCAACGGCATACGCAGTGGTGTGAGTATGTATACAATGAGAAAGCAAAGTAAAAACTGAGTCTGCTCTTTATTTGCAGAGACAACACAGGGAGGGCAGGGCATACAGATCCCTGAACACATCACTGTGTTTAGAAGCAGGCAATTCATTAAATGCCTCAAGGCAAGTTTATATTTTTTTTTCGTTTTACAAACCAAGGCAGATTTTGCTTTCCTTAACACACAAAATTAAGTTTGGCACACATGCACGTTTCTATTATCATGCAGAATTGCACGTCTGACATTATTCATGATGCCATATTTCATCTAAGGCTCTACCAAGTATACACATATAAAGAAAGACACTATGTCAGGCACAATTTGGTGACTAGAGTTAACAGACATTTAACTTGAAATTCAGTACAGTGTCTCTGAAAAAAAAAATGATAAAAAAACATGGACAGCATAGACTTTTGTGTAGTTGTGACTCAAAGTAAAGAAGTGAGGATCTTATTATTTGTCCTCAAGCAGCTGGTAATCTGGCTATTTGGCTAGCTCAGAGATGAAGTGACCAATGTTACAGCTAGCAGAGCTTGCACATTTCTGCACCACATTTGTATTTGTCCAGCACTTTTGTCATGAGTTTGCCCACAGCCCATCATTAAGTGCATGCCATTTATAAACCACTCATCAAAGCCCCAAAGAAACAGCTCTTACTAAAATTACAGGAAATACAGAAAATCAAAAAGAATAAGCTATATGCTAAAGGGCCAAATAACACAAAATAATGGTTATTGAAAACATAACAATCAAGAAAGACACTGCACATATGTACACAAACATACATTTTTCATCTTTGAAAAGATTATAGCTGCTCCCAATACTGCTTGGCATGACTCCAGATGACAGGAGCCATAAGCATTGTTGGCATAACTGTCGTTGAAGTGCACAAGTAAACAGAAAGGAAGACAGGACAAGCGCTTCCTCTTTTCCTTTCTGCGCTTGAACGACAGTTATACCATGCATATCCAACTAACCCAACTTTCGATTCTGTTGCAAGCATTGTTTTCCCACAAGACAAAAAAAAACGTTACCCAAATTTAAAACGATTCAAACAGCAGACTTAAAATGCTTTCATTGGTGTGTTAAACAGGCTTTTGGAACTACTTCTGTTATCAGAACAAAATTATTTTATAATAAATAAACAGTGATGTTGCTATTGCAACATAGAAGCCAGATACAGATTGCACAATTAAAAAAAACACTTAATTTATACAAAACAAGCCCTTTAGGAACATGTTTATCAACCGTCACTCACGCTATGATTGAGCGCACTCAGTGGTAAGGCAGCAATAATCTTTTCAAGGTCATATGACACTAGAACAAGTTGGTTCACTATTTATAACATAGCTCAATGAAACTGAGCAAACTCAAACAACATCTTGCACGTTTCTGCAGATCCCAGCAGTTCGTGCTTTCCAAATGAGCACTTCTATACAAAGGTACTCAAATACAAAGGTATTCGAATACTCAAATACAGAGCTACTGCTCTGCTGAAACAATGAAAATGTACTCCAAGAAAGCTAGAAAGTAGAATAAAGCAGATGCAGAACTTCTATGTACTTGTTCTTAAGAGCACACGAACTTAAAACTGCAATGTGTCATAAAAATATATGCATTCAAGGCGCCTGCCTAAGCCAACACACAATACACCTGATTCTGCATTAATGAATGCCAGGTTTTTTTATAGAACATAAAATGTGTAGGGATGTTCATGTGCACGGCCACTATTGCGTGACAACAACAAATGCTTCATCCACATATGTACTCCCTTGTTTCAGATGTAAAGAAACAGCAGTTCCGTAGTTTCAATAGGTAGACCAGCATAGTTCTATTAATCAACTCGAGCTAATTAGATTTCTTCCTACTTAGTTTGTTGCGAAGAACTAGCTGTGGCCAGTGGGCACACATTCCTACTGTCCGCACATTAATTTTGATCTTGACATGGGCCTACTCGGGACAAGTGAACCTTGAGTAGTCGGCATGCAGGAGCCCTAAGTCACGTGAAACAACACTTAACATACAGAAATGCACGACTGTTTTATAGCAACAGTGATCAGACAGTTATTATTGACTTAATTATACCAGGTAATTAGTTTCATCAATGTCCGAATGCACTAATTTTTTAAGTTCAATACAGACACAGTTGCTAAATATAGAATATTGACCTCGATTATGGTTTACTATAATAAACTTGCCCCTTAATAATGTGCACCTTATACTTAATATTGTGCAGGCTAAAGGTGTCCGAATGTTCCAGTCGGTTATGAGACCAATTGTATAGGCAATAGCTTAACTTGAAAGCCACCCGTACTGTCGTTAAAATCTCAAGGTAACAAAACAAGTTTTCATGTACGTAACTGGCAGAAATGCCCAACTTTCAGCTTAAAACTATCTCAGTGCACCACAGGGTGAACTGGCAATGTAGTTAGCGTAGGTGTGAAACACAATTCTGTTCACAATGGTTACACAATAGTTCAAGAAAACGCTGTATTATATCAATTGCAGTGGACTGCACAGATGGCGATACATAGCTCATGGTTATAAAAAGCTGCCTGCGAGTGATGATAGTAGACATCGAACACAAATAAATGCCCATTCTGTGAATGTCAGCTCTGTAAGCCCCTCTTTTATTTTCACTTTTTTTTTTCTTGATTGCCGGAACCATGGTGCTCATTGTCTCGTTACAAGTTCAGACGCTTGCCAGATGTACACATACACTTTGCTTTCTACTTCACTTGTAAAAATGGAGGACACATAGCACAAGCAGGGTTAGAAAGAAGCAAGTACTGCTAAAAATAATGCAACCGTGACTTTGTGCATGCTTTTTTGTGTACTATTAATGCAACCATTTGGATGATTCCAACAGTTAACTTGTCAAATATATCAAAACCAAACTAACAGAAGCCAATTGCATTAGCACAGTTGTACATTCCTGTCTGAAAACTTAAGCCATGGCACACCCATTCAATTATTAGTCCCTCAGGTGGGCATGCTAATGCTTAAAGGGGCCCTGCAAGACATTTTGAGCGTGGTCAGAAAACGTTGCGGATCGGTAGTAAAGGCTCTCAACAACACGCGAGCCAAATATTATAGCGCAGCACACGACCTGTAATTCACAATAGATGATCAAATTCAGCTAAAAATTGCTTTCTCTACTCTCGACAAATGACGTAAGATGCTTAAAAACCACTCCTAGCAAACCTATCTATCAGCCATTGCCTGATTTGAACATGGCGCGCTCGGTCGTTACAGAGATCGCCACGGCAGGCTGCGACTTGTCCACGCGTACGTGCGTGATCACACGAAAAAAGTTGCGCACTCGAAGAAAAAAGAAAAAGATAAAGTGCTCAAGGTCATGAGGCGCGCCTGACGTATTTTCTCTGCGCCTACCATCTCTCCCTGCATGGCCTCTAGCACTTTAGTTGGGACGAGAGAAGAGAGAATTCAGTTGCAGCCCACTCCACTCGCACTGGGCAGATTCTTAAAATTTTTGTGGCGTTGAATTCGAGAGGCAATAAGGTCTTCCAGTGAATTCATTCCACGGTTACTTGAAAAAGTGACCCCTTTAATTGTCACAATATTTTAGTGTGCATCCCATCTTTGACAGTTCCTCCCTTTTTCCCACCTAGCTTGCCATTGCCCTTTTATTCTTTCAGTCACTGCTCTGCACATTCTTTCAGCACAGCTCTGAAGTGGTAACACTGTATTGTCGTGAACCTTGCAATTTATTGCAGATGGCGGATATCGCATAATCACTAAGGAACGTACACACTTAGGCAACTAAGCAGCTTTCCCAGCGGTTTGCAAGACAGTGAAACAAATTTCATTAGTATGGTGGCCAGAAATATTATGCCTGCCTAGACTGACGAGACCGAAATTTGTTTTTTTAACAAAAGATAGGCTAAGGAGACACGAGAGCAACACAACCAACATGATTATGAAGGGAATACCCAAAAAGTATTTTCACTGATGTTCCCAGCTGTGGAAACACCAAACAGAAAGCATGCTAAAAGGAAAGTCAGTTTCTTTTTCACGTAAAGATTGTCTTAAAATAAGCACGTCACCCAACATGAATGAATGTTGGGTGATTTCTGAAATGGTTATTCACCCAACAAATGAATGTTGGGTGATTTCTGAAATGGTTATTCAGTTTTTATTCTTTCATGCATTGCTTTGTTATGAATATTTTTGTATGTATTTTAGAGTTGTGATTCTATTATTTGCTGTCATGGGCCACATGCGTGTTTCTTTTTGTATTGTCGCTTTCCGCTGCCTGTAATGTTTGTAATTTTTTTGTAAATTTGTAGTTTAGATTTTTTCTGGGTGAAGGGGCCAGTCAAGCTGTGAAATGCAGCTTTTTTCCCTTCGCACCAAACCACGTATACATTGTACTTTCGTGTACTTGTCACGTGGTTGAATAAACTCAAACTCAAAACTCAAACGTCAACTACCCATGGTACTTTTTATCGTAGTACAATAAGTCAGGAGGAAGACACAAAGGAAAATCTGAAAGATGGTATTAACAGCTTAGCCCCAACTACTGCAAGCTGCTTGACTGGATTAGATTAAAATGCATGACAACGTAGAAACTTGAGCAACTAGTTAAGGATGGTGAAAGTAAAAGATAGGTGAAATTCCCTGGCATGAAAGTGAATGGTGGGAGCAGGTACAGTTATATCAATAAGACTGGAAGCCATTAAGCAAACAAGATCTAATAAGCTGCAATCATATACAAGACAAGGCACACAGGAGCTTTGTTTTCCAATGGTATACAGCCAACAACCGTTATGTTTTCATATGGAGTAACTTGACTGCCTGCGACTTAGCAATGTTCTATACCCACATACGCACGCCAAATGCTTTCTGTATTGATTTGCAATCTCAGGCATGCCGGAGTGTGTGCTGCTGGACTTATCATAGGGTGCTGTGCAAAGGCTGCACTTTCTTGTCACCACCTTGAGAAGTGCAGCCCTTACCCAGGACAGAACGAATTTGGCTTAATTTTTCTGATGACGAGTGTGAAATGAACATAAAGACAGCTCACCGTATTCTTTCATAACAGTGCACGAATGCAAAACTGAGCGCTATCTTATTACCAACCACAGTAAAGCCTCGTTAATTTGAAGTCACTGGGGCGGCGAGAAATCTTTGAATTAACACAACATACAAAAAGTGGGATGCAAGAAACTTAAAACTATTCAAAGTAATCAGTGCTTGTAGTTTGCTGTGCTGGCTAGCTTGCGGCTCCAATATGCTTTCCAGCAATGCTTGGTCTTTATTTTGCCGCAAACACAGAGGAACGACGGGCTTCGCTGCTGCCACCAGGGAAACAAACAAACATAACATGCTGTCGTGATCAACTAAAATGTGCGCCTGCGGAAAACAAGACATCTTCACTGCAACACAGTAGTGACACGCGAGCAGCATGTCGCCTGCTCTTCGCTGCGTCGGAACGTCATGATGTGACCATTCGCATATTCTTTCCGATTTAATTAAGAATTTAATAATCGCCAGTATGACAAAACTCGTGATGTGTTTTGGCTGGAAAAATTATTTTCGAAACTTTCGAACCTAGTTTTCGAAGCAGGTGTTGTTGAAATAGTGATTCCATTGAATAATTTTAATTAGAATGAATATAAATGTTAAGGCCAAACTAACCTGCACAGTAATTTAAAATATTGAAACAAGGCATGAGCTTCCAAGGGAAATAGAAGCAACCTTGAAAAGTAGCAGCATTTGACTTTCGGTAGAATGCAAGCGACAGCCTGTAAAATATGTTACATTTTAAAGTTTACCCTGCCTAGAGCATACTATAAGCCGATATTGATAAGGTTTTAAACTAAAAAAAATGCCAAATCGATGTGAGGGTAATATGTTCATTTAACCTTCAAGTGGGGCTTCATGGCAGAGCTAATTCCCCTTTATAGAAATAATCACGGGTACAGCACCCCTCCGCTACAGTCAAACCACCTTTACAAGAAGAGATTTGCAGTTTATATACGTATATTCGTTCATTTCGAATGCTTTGACATTTTGATTACTTTAAATCTGCATCGAAGCAAATTCAAAAATTCTAATATTCGTTTGAATACTTGATGTGCTCGAATATTCACACCGTGCCTGGAATTTCACTTTTTCAATTTTCGTTTTCAATTCAATTCTTTTTCCCTAATTTTGAGCTGCCAAGTTTCCGATCAGTCTATGTGGTAAATTTTTCACAGCTTAACTGGTAGCATATATGTGCAGAATTTTTAATTAAAAATTAATTAATATTAGGCACTTTAAGACTCAGAAACCAATTTCACCAGTACGTGTTGTACTGAAATATAAAGCAACAGGCTTATGGGTTAAGGTTTCTCAGATGTTTATCAAGCAGTAAAATGTGTTAATGAGGTTTGCTTTAATGTGATGTAACAGTACATACTACAGTGGCCATATTAATGGAAGCTGAATGTACACAGAAGCATAGAGTGGCTACCTCTTAAAGTTACTGTGCTACTGTGCCAATGGATTCTCTACAACAGCACTTATAGCTCTAGATTCAATTGAAAAGGGTAATCGTTATACAAAGCTCTGGGAAACAACACAGACAGTACATTTGTAGGCATGCCTAATGGTATATACAAACTATCTTTCAAGTATACATGCTGGTGTAACATTCCATGTTTTTTGCAATTTTTCAGCCATGCTGAGAGAAGATCAGGGAAACTCCTGAAGTCACACACAACCCAGCTCTATAAAGTGTTCCAAAGGAAGGCAATAAATTAATAAGCATTCCTGCAACTGGTGCCGGCACAGTACAAAAATAGTTTTTTAAGCTGTTACAAAGTGCCCCTGGTAGCAAAACACGACCAGTAAAGGTTAAACCTTTTTTAATTAAATAATGACGGTCTAGCATCTCTGCACTAATGCAGATTGTGATGTTACAAGTCAAGCACATAATGCTGTCCTGCTGTCCCAACCAGTCTACAAGTGCTTGATGACACACACTGGACTGGAGATGGGTAACATTGGTAAATTTTGCAAGCCACAGAAAAACAACGCCAGATTCCAATACATCCAATACACAAACTACTTAGGGCAGGCCACAGTTTTTCAACCATACCTTTCGCAGAACTGCCGATATGCTCCATATACCAAATTTTCTCCAAATCGGGAAGATTTCTCGATTCCCGCAACACGTGCCGGCGAAGGTACAGACTATACTCCATCTCAGAAGCTCCTTTTAGCACTGTGAATACTACGGGGCCTTTTATCCAATAGGAAGGCCGATTAGCCTCAACACATGTATTTAACCGCGTTGTGTCTTGCTCTTGGTGTCTCCCTGGCGTCTGCTCGCATACGTAGGGCGAGCAAAGTGAACGGACAGCATCACCGAGAAAAAATAATGGATGCACCCATTGCATTTGGTGCTCTCTGCTTTGAGTTTATCAAGTCGGCCATCATGCGCTGTGTGATTTGTAAGCTACAAATTAAAGCTGTTCTCTGCTTTAGACTAATGGGCCAAAATATATCCGTGACTATATTGTGCTAATTCCAAAAACCGTTATGAAATTCTTAATGCATTAGTCTTAGCAGGCGGCGCTAAACAAACGGTTACCTCAAGAATAACAACCAAAGGTACCTGATGCTTTGTCCTCAGCCTGAAATGGCACAGGGCGATGGCTCATTCAACTATTCGTTTGCTGCGGCCAGCGCAGTGGGAGAACAGAAAGCACTAGTTCGGATTGAAGCTGGTGGTGACATCTGCATGGGCGCTGCCAAGTTGATTTGTAATCGGTTGGCCAACGGTTACTGATATGGCAATTAAAGACAAACGACATCAATGCAAAGAAGAATAAACAATATTATGTATCAATGTGATGTAACATGGGCCAAACAAGCATAAATGTCTCAATACTACTGAATGTAAAGTAATTATTTCTGAAACTATGTTTTGGTGCACAAGCACGCAGCTTGCTTGCATTCCATAGCCTTGGTGGTACTGAATGGCAGTGGTGAGATGGAGTATAATCAGCAGCATTTTCTTGTATTATGCACTGCAAAAGACTGCATGCTTGGCAAAACGAACAGTGCATTTACTTTAGCGGCTTGATATTTTAGACAATACTGCGGCCACAGAATTCTTCGAATATCCTGTTTTTGCACGATCTTCAGTACGCTAAATCATGCAATAAAAATGAAGACTGCAACAACGCACTCTTCATCTGCTGCTGCACGCAGGTGTCATGTCAATTTGCTAGCCTCTGTAGATTTTTGTACGAGCATGTCGGAACTTCAGAACGGAGTTTTACGATTGGCATGATTGAAGTACAGTGGACTCTCAGTAAACGAGAATCTGTTAAACAGAACTGCTGCTTAAATGGAACAACTGCCTCTCATATAATTGGCTTCATACTTGAATGCTGCAACCCAGCTCACCTCTCGGTAAACGAAACTTCTGTTAAATAGAACACGTTTTCCCACTCCCTTCAGGTTATGTTTAATGAGAGTCTACTGTATTCAGAGGTGGGCAGTGGCTTTGATAGGTGGCACGCATCAAATGTGTGAAAGTTGCCAAGTAAGTAAAAGGTAAAAAAAAATGTTTTTGTTGACAGCAAACCTGTAAGTAAATATAAAGAGAGAGCAAGGCGTGTTATTCATGTACCGAAGTAAGGCGTGTTATTCATGTACCGAAGTATCTATAAGAAAACCATACATACAAGTTATGCTGATGACAGTGTGTACAAAAAGGTCACATATGAGGCTAAACAAAAGGAGGAGGTAATTCAGCAAAGCAGAAGCAAGAGCAAGCAATCGACAAAAAGGCACAAGTGCTGAGAGAGAATCTCTCTCGCAATCACATAATCTAACACTGCAAGCTGCCTCCAAAAGGAATGGGCATTCTCGGCATTTACAAAACACAATGCGGCCACACGGTGGCCCCAGTGGCTGAGGGTAGTTGAAGTGACTTATCTGTGCCACTGCAGACAGGAGTGGCATATCCCAGCCGAAAAGGGGAAGCCATGGCTTCACTGCAATGACTCTAATCTTAGCCAAGGCGGGCTGACTTTTCTGCGGACCACTACTTGCACTGTTAGTCGGTGGTTTCACAGGAACTGTTACCTTTCCTTCTGACGCTGAGTTGAGAACTTGAACCTTGTACAGAAAAACAAAAGTGTGGATGATAAAAGAAGACATGATGAAATATGTCCGTCAGCATGGCTGGCAGCTTGAGTGATAATCCTGCTATAGTTATTAACCGGGCTCCACTGCGTTTAGGGGTATTTTTTATTGTAACAGCTACACTTCAATTGTAAGTTAGCAGGTGAAGTATGTTTATAATTATGTATGCATGCCAGACACAAAGCAACCAGCTGCATACTATTCAATGGTTATCATAAGTGCTAAATTCTTGAAAGTTGAGAAGTATTGGAAGAGTTTGGCACATGCAGGTCAACAATTATGTTCTTATTAGCTGCATCTGCAAGGCACAAACAATAATTTTGTAGAACAAAACTGGTTAAGGAAATAAAGTTTTTTTATTCCATTCCATTCCAAAACTGGTTAAGGTAAAATTGTTCCCCTGCTATTTCACTCCTGAAACTTCTGCAAACACTTGCCACAACAAGAAAAAAGTTTTTCTAAAGAGCTTACCAGAACGTTTCAATAATTTCATTCTAAAAGGGGGAAAGAGAGAGAGAGAGAGAGAGAGAGAGAGAGAGAGAGAGAGAGAGAGAGAGAGAGAGAGAGAGAGAGAGAGAGAGAGAGAGAGAGAGAGAGAGAGAGAGAGAGACCATATACGCTTTTAACTCACTGTGGCACTGACTCCCTCTTGGTAACTGCCTGTGTGGCTTCCTCTGGTAGCCGACTTGGGTCAGAAAGTATGTTTGTAGATTTGCTGAGGTGCTTCAATGAATCCAGGACACCTAGTGAAAATGACAAAATGTGAATATATTATGTGAATACAGTGATCTGATTGACAAAAGGCATTTCCACGCAGCTTCTGGCGCAACTGAATCCTCCCTTTGGAGTAGCAAATCTCCCTTTCGAAGCAGTTATCAGCCCCACATTTTCAAGTTTGAGTTTCTAATCAGAAGCAGTTTTAATAGGGAGTGCAAAACATATTGCTCAGTGTAACTAATGAAGTATAAGCCTGCCATATACACACTTGCACTGTGCATATGTAAAAGGAACTACACCATAAAAACACAGATCGGAAAAGCAAAACGTACAAGGACTGACACAGAGATTTGGGTCATTTTTTTTTAGATGCGAAGTAGCTTCTTGACTAGCCTGTGTAACTAGCCCTCCATTTGAATGCACCGCGCACCGCAGGTGTTGGCGCGGTGCTAAGTAGGTCACGCTACTGCTGCGCATTGGCGTCATGCTCTCTTTGCAGTGCGCCGCTGACGTCACTCTCTCCCTCGCCTACCGGAAGCTCACCACAGCACCCGCAGCTGCCGCTTCGTCCGTTCGCCTGCAACACCTGTCGCGACTGCCGCTTGCTACACTGCCGATCGTCGGTTCACGCGCAATAAACCTGAAGCGTGCCTAACGTACGCGTCGAAACATGTCTGCATGTGTCACAAGACCGACGCCAGCCATCGCTTCAAATGAATCTTCCACCGCTCATCACAACACCCACGTTAGCGCCTTTCAAACCGTGACGCCACCTGTGCGCAACGCTGCTGCTCGCATCTCATCAGGGTTATCTTCGAGCAGATGATCCAAGTTTTTTTTTTGTCTGAGTGTTAAATATAAGTTCTACCTAGGGTGTCAGAATCAACTACATAGCCCATACAGAACCTTTATATGTTGCATGACTTGCTAAATGTTGATACTTTTCAATCTACAACTGTATGATAAAGGATTCTCTTCCACATCTGTATGCAGACAGAAAAAACGAAGTTCTGATTAACAGAAGACATGTATCAATTCAATCATTAAATCAGTATTTTTCAAACAAGTTTTCCTTGCAGGGGCCACCAAGAACTCATAAGAGCTCACTTGCATGAATCACTGTGTGAGAGAGTGTCGATTTCAGTAAATGTTGATTATATAGGGTTTGAGAATCGTTGAACAGGTGCAAATTGTCACTGCCAGTATTTTTTCTCTAGTTGGGGCACGAGAAACAGACATTTCACTTTGTAGACTCTTACAAATTACATCTTCTGGTTGATACTCCGGGAAGTTCAGGAGAAAGCTCAAGTCAGTTCACAAATATGGAGGTTTATCTCAACAAGAGGAATGTGGTATGGACAGTTTCCATGAAAACCACCTCCCATAGAGCGGACAATAGTAGTGGTCATACAGAAGATGACGAACTAGGTCATGTCCTGGTGGAAGGCAACATTCATCTGATGGTTCGTGCAACATGTAAGGGCGCTCGAATTTTTCAGTCCCTGTTAAAATGTTTTGCTACACAACTCTGGTGCCTACTGGAAGTTGCTTCCCCTCTATGTAATGGCATTGTGCTGTCGTGCTCTAACGTAATGAGCTAGTACCAACTGGAACAGTTCACTATACTACTAAAGTGATTTCAGCAAAGTAGTGCAGTAGTGTGAGAGATGGTGTGAAAGTACCAGGAGACATGGTTACACAAATGCCAGAGGAACTTGGTTCTTCTTTTTACCCCAGGGACAACGATGTTGTGTGCAGTTGACTTTGCGCGCTTAACGGTGCGAACTAAGGGACTGCACTACGGTTTTCTTCCCGTTTGCTTGAATGCAGTTCTGTTTATAAGACACAACTCACGAACGGCATAAGCTTCGGTTCCTGGCAGAGGTTAACAATACTCTATATTTTGGCATGGCGAGTGAACTTTCCTATACTTGCAGCGTGTTTCATTAGTATGCCACACTGATTATGCAGATGGGATAGCGTGCTTGCTGCACAGAAAGTGCAATAAGTGTCCCTTTGTTCCTAAGAAGCAGAAGACCCACCTTCTCACACATAGTAGAACTTAAGAGATAATCTAGCTTTATAACTTACCTGGCCTCAGAGCCCTGAGCGAACAGTACTGCTCAACCCAAACGAGCACCGTTTTGCACATTTCGTCGAACCCGGCCTTGGAGACGGTCTGGTTGTATGACTCCAGCAGCGGCTCCAGAAGAAGGCTGAACTGTGCATGGCAGTTTTACGAGTCATGGAAAGGTGACAACTAGAGCTGTGCAAATAGCAACATTTTAGGTGCAAAGCGAATTGGAATATTGAAGTGCGAGTGCGAATCAAATATAATATTTCTACAGTATTTTTCGAATACTCCAAAGCAAAATTGCAGAAAGAAAGTTGGAGAGGATTCCTCAGCACACTCTTATGAGATAGCAACATGAAAGTATTTGTTTGGCTAGGTCAATAAAGCACTGGTGGGGTGGTGTTTCATAATTGTCTTATTAAATATGAATCAATACAAAAACCAAGTCATATATAGCACATACTTTGGTACAACCAAAGTGTTTCAAAAGCACTCAACATGTGAAAGACAAATTGGTGCTTCTTCAGCGTCTGTTCCTCTTTCAGCTTTTGTGGAATCCCAACTGACGTTTCAGACAAGGGCGCCCCCTTAGATTCTTGAGTGCCAAATCTGTCTCCTTGTAGACATCAATATATAAAAACATTTGAAATTTATGATGCTAAAAGTCTTTCATGTTCGATTTTTTGAACGTCTTGTCTGGATTTCAGGTTCAAAACTGCATTAATTTAGCCCCAACCTTTGCTGCATCTATCATCTGCATGTTGGAACTAGCATCTTCTTGAGTCTATACATTTGCGGCAATAGCAGAGCCTGAAGGGTAGCTTTGTCACAACACAAGAATGTGATGGGGTGAAGCGTGTTTAAAATCTGAAGGGATCTCGGCCAATCTGATGTTAACTGTATCTGTCTTGGGGAACTTCGAATCATTTAAATAGTGAAATTCTGGTGCAAATCAAATCTAATAACAAACACTACAAAAAACATTCAAAATTTCGAGTATTCGTACATCCCTAATGACAAACCAATGCCTCCTACAAAAGACATGCCTGTGATGTGAGCCGCAAAAGCATTGTCCTATGCCTCCCGTTTTCATCCTTTCCACCCGGTCGACCCCGTACAGTTGCTAAAGCCTCTTGCGGCGACTCCTTGCAACCTGAAGCAGCGCCATTGATAACTCGAGAAGATGACGTAACACGCATTGGCAGGAACAATGCCAGTGTTGTTGAAAGCAACGAAGGAGTTGATCAAACTTGAGAGCGACAAAACGCATCTCGAATCCACTAGCAACATGACATCGTCAACGAGTTGACGATGCTGCGTAAAAACAGAGATAGACAGAAATAAACGCATAAAAAAAGCGTTACAACGCCCGTTCTTGGCAAGCTTTTCTTGCCTTGATTTCATGCGTTCATAGAAATAGTCATGTGTTTTCGAGCCATATGTTGATCTTTCCAAGAATACCAGTTTGGCTGCGTGCCCAAATGCTCGCCGAGCCTCAGAAAAAATTCGCACATACTTTTGGAGAGCTATTTGAGTGACTCCAGGCGATATTGAGAAATGACCGGGCGCCAACACGTAACGCTGTATTGTGCACTGAGAAATAACTGACAGGAACGCTGCCGCAAAGCTAGTCGAAAAAAAACGCCTGTCGCGAAAAGCTCTTAAACTTCAGTCGAGCTTTCTACCATGAAATGACTGGAGTTTGTTGAACTGACGCTCCTTCAACTCAATCCACGAATGCGCAACCTAACACCCACACGAAGCAGACAGCTGCACCGCTCCATCGACACAATGTTGCTGTCATCGTCGCTCTTGATGGCTCCGGCAGTACAGTCGCTAGCACTACCACACAGCGCCTGCTGAAAACATGTGGCAGCGTTCCTCTGATGGCAAAGCTGGAAATGTCCTAGGCATAGTATTTTTCTAAGATGCGTTAACAAGCAGATGAGAAGAGCTAGCTTACAAAAACTGCACTTACATATAAAAGGAGAAGACAGCACACAAATTTCTTAATAAGAAGCTAAGCAAGCTGAACAGCTGGCTTAAAAAAGAACAACCATAGTAAACAGGTACTAAGAATATGAAAGCTTAGACACACATTCGAAAATTTGCCTCTGAGCTTTATGGCAAGCAACATAATTTAAAAGTTATTACTGACGCCAATTTTTGAAGCTGAGTTTATTGTGCCATGCATTTCTGCCTACTGCTGTATCCAGAAAAAGCTCTGATCATGTCTGAGCTGAGAAAATGCTCAAAAGGTATTATATTTTGATATTAGGTTAACATTCACATGGCACATCTACAAACATCAACATTAGCATGTTACTGAGCTGTAGTGATAATTGTCGCAGCTTTATGCAGCAATATGTATAGTTGTGCTGATGCCAGTTGCTAAAACAGAAAAAAAAATGGGGAGTTGTTTTTTGTCGTCAGTGTCAAAAATACCAGAAAATTCTTGTGTTATTTAGAAGCACTGTTTTGGTGAGTAAATGCATGTTTTTGGAAGAGACATAGGACCACTGGTAGAAAGTTTGCTGGCTTTTTGCTCAAATAAGATTTCGTTTACACTGCTATGTCCTCAAATACACACTTTCAAATAAAAGCATATATGCTGCCTTGCACACTCGCTCGCCAGCACCTTTTAAAACTCATATAATAAATTTCGATTTGGCCCTATGGAAGAGAAACTGGAAGCAAGCAAAGCAATATATATATATATATTAGCACTTATACCAAAGGATACAACCCAAAACTTCCAATTCTGAAGTGTCCTGGCCCGCACGTATTCTTCGAAGCTTTCTTTTAGATGATTCGTTCGTTGGCACGGCAATGGAACACCTGTTGCAGGGAGCTGGTTCTGGTACAAGCTGCCATGCGATAAAACAATGAGAAATAAAAAAATTAGCTTGTGTGTATGTGTTTCTCTATTTGTGAGCATGTGGGATTAACTGATTTTCTAGAAAGTTCTCAAGATTTAGGAATGGTAAAACTGGAAAGAAAAGTGCATGTGTATCCCTTAAAGCCCAAGTGCCTATGAAACATACTGGAACGTATAAAAGGTGTGTTTTCAGAGAGCGCAGAAAAAAAAAGTTGCCTCAATATAAAATTTTATGAGTGCATGCATCACGAAAAGTTTGCGAAAATGGATCGTTTCAATACCAAAACACATACACACAGTATCACTTGCTGAAAGCAATGTGTAACAAGTTATTTCAGTCAGTTAGCAGTGCTCCAATAGCACATCTCAGTACCGTATTTACTCGATTCTACCGTGCCCTCGATTGTAACGCGCACTCGATTTTCACGACGAAAAAAAAAAAGATTAAGACATCGATTGCAACGCGCACCCATTTTTCTCGTTGGCCCGCACGATCACACTACTCGGGAAAACGACTCCTTTCGGGAGCGTCTTCCATTTAAATATGAAGTATGGGGGAAGCTTGTGCCTATCTGGCGTGCAACGGAGCATTGCCGTCACTCTTGTTTTACCGTGGCCCGATGTCAGCATGCGAACTCGCTTCGCTCCCATCTTCTCGACGGTTGTGGTGCCAGGCATGTCGAAGTAAAGAGGCGTCTGATCGGCATTCCCGATTTGCCCAAGCAGGTAGCCGTTGTTGTGCCGCAAGTTTAGGACGAACCTCTGAAAACTGTGAAGCTTTTCTTCGTACTCCTCTGGCAAGTTTTGGCGCATGCCCGTTCGCTTTCGGAGGGAAAAGCTTTTCCTCTTCATAAAGTTAGTTAGCCAGCACCTGCTTGTTTTGAACTGGCTCCGCGTTAGCCCTTTTTCTAAAGCTAACTGCATAGCCCGCACTTGGAGCAGTTCTGTCGTCACGGGCCGCTGTGCCGCTCGCTGCTCAAGCACATACTCGGCGAGCAGCTTTTCAATTCGCGGAAACCAACTCTGCTGTGGTCCACTGAAGCCTTTGCATGAATTTTTGACAATCTTCTGCTTTTGTTTCCGCCAGTCCTGCATGCACATTTCGGGAACTCCGAACGACCGCGATGCGGCCCGATTTTCGTCCGTTTCTGCACACGCGATGACTTGTCTTTTAAAAGCGGCATCGTGGTGCACTTGTCGAGTTTCTGGAGTCGGCCCTTCCATGCCGTCGATGCTAATGAACTACAAGATGACGAACTCCTCAGCACACGTACGAAGTGCCGCACATGGGAAACACATAGGCAGAAATGGCCGACGCGCCATGCCGAAGCACGTAGGGGGCGGCCGTTTTGGAAATGCCGATGGCAATAGAATGACCGTATTCATTTTTTTTTTTCGCACTCGATTTTAACGCGCATGCGATTTATGAACTCGCTTAACCGGAAAAAAGGTGCGCGTTAGATTCGAGTAATTACGGTACTTAATGATAACCAGTTTAGCCAAAATGAAATGTTATTGCAAGAGGCCTTCATCTATCTTTGGAAGGTAATAAATGATCCATTGATCCTGTCTAGTAAACATTCTAATGATGACAGCTGGCTGACTTGAGCAGAAAAAGTTTGCTAGCAAATCATAACTTAAAGCAAAGAAAATAAGCGTTTTATTTTGTGCAAATGAGTAATTCAACCTGATGCCTCCTGCAAGTGAGATGGCAGTGGTTATAATATCATGCTGTAAACATGAGGCCATAAAAAGAAAGAAAGAAAAACTACTACATACAGTACTACTTACCTGATTTCCTGGTTGAAAGACTCAATCTGTTTCTTCAACCTGTCTGCTTCTTCCTGCTGCTGCTGACGCTCATTTTTTAGTGTTCGGATGTACTCCCCAGCTGCATTTTAAAATGTATACAATCACTTGCTTGTTCGATTCGGAACTCTAGACGCAACATCAAGGAATTAACAGCTATGCCTCCAATAATTGCATCAAAGTGTTAAGACAATGTGACAATCCCTTTGAGCAAGACTTGCTATGAATATCATCATAATGTTGAGCCCATACATACAAATGATGATAGTGCGTGATTTTTTATGGTCCCATGGATGGATAAAGAGTGCCACCAGATACAGTAGACTCTCGGTAAATGGAAATGCCATAAAATGGAATAGCTGTCTAAGCAGAACAACTGCCTCTACTACGATTGGCTTCACACCCAAATATGCTGCAACTCTGTTCATCTTTCAGCAAGCACGGAACTCCTCTTCAATGGTACATACTTTCTTGGCCCCTTTAAGTTTACATTTAACAAGAGTTTACTATGCATTGAGATCGAAGAAGGATAAAAATAGTTCTATATACTACTACCGTATTAATCATTATAAACACAAAATACGCTAGTCTGATGTTTACCTGAAAACTCTACACGTCTCAGGCAGCCAACTTTTTTTTTACATCTAAGAGTTAGAGGCTCGAAAGATTGCTTATTATTCCATTCTCATCCACACCTTCTTGTAGAATATGCATACACATATTTGACACATTCTAGAACACTGTCACTAAATAAATGTCTCATTAGCCAAATTTTGCAGACTGTTTAATTAACTGGAAGTTTCTATGTAGATGATGTCAACATTGAGTTGAAGCCATCTAATGCTCAGCAAGTCTGTTTACTCAAACGAATGCAGACTGAATGCCTCATCGATAACCAAAACACCACCAAAAATGCTCATTCCCAAAATTAGTAAAGGGATACACCCTGACATATCACATTTCAGTCCTCCAGTGCTTGAGCACTCGGAAGCTGAACAATGATGTGTGAAATGCAAGAGCATCTCTCTGAGGATTTAAGAACAGTTACTTGAACACTTAAGAGATTCTCAGGATTCCAGCTAATTTGAAACGTTTGAATACTGATTGCCTTCAGTCACACAACCGAAGTATCTGTGCTGAAGTTCATATTACTTGAAGAGTTTGCAGGTGGCCACAGGAACAGCAAAATTTGTCCTCGGTCAGTAATGTGAAATTGGCCGATATATAACTAGAGCCATCTCAAATCTCACACTTTGAAAACTGGAAACACTCATTATTGAAGCATGGTCTATTGCAAAGCAACTGAACTGTAGTTACCTTGTTGCAGCATCTGTGCTTTGCTGACCTTTGAGTCTGGGTTTTGGCTCAGAGAGGGCAGCAGATGCCGCAGGGATTCAAAGCCATTCTGGAACGAGCATCGTATACTTGAAGCCCACACCATGAAATCATGAATGCACCATTTTTTTATGTGCCATGTGCATTGCTTTGTTTCGTTGAAGTCAAATTATCAGAGAGCTTTGAGATTTACGAGTCAGGCCCCATGTTCATCTAATTTGCATAAACGTGTCATAGATGTTTTAGAATAGTGTTTGTCTTCGGTGAACTGAAATACAAGTGAATAACTTGCATCTTCACGAGATCAATGCAAAGCATACTTCCACATGTAACACCTTTGAAGGATGGTTTCACACGTGACAGTCTACTCATACAATTAACGTAATTCACTCAAAATACAGATATTCTAGATTTTGTGAATCTTACCTTGATATTGAAGCGTCGCTTCTGCTCCGCATTGATGTGGCACACCCTTCGGTGCTCCTTGTACTGAAAGCGTTCCTCGTCTGACTTCGGCCTAAATGGCTTTGCTGGACTTGAAGAAACTGAGCCTGCCTGTGTGCAAATGTAGAATTGTTGAAAATTAAAGTTTAAAACCAGCTTTAAAAAGCTCCTTCATACACCAGCGTACTTGCAGCATTAGGAGTTCTATAGTAATCTAAAACATGCAATTTTTCCAAGCACTGCCTCAGCTGTAGGGACTTATAAGGTCAGCATGCCACCGACATATAGGCTTTCAGAGAACTCTGTCTATATTCAGCACTTACACATTGAAGCACTTGTGCAATGAATGCCATTTTACCACCTCACGAATAGTCACAAGTTAGCTGAACAGTTATATGCCTTCATGCTAAGAGCTCAAGATGGAAGCAACAAGCACTCATAACACTTTTGTGACACCTTTAAGATTAATTACAATAAAATTGACCCAATTTCCTTAGTTATGCAAAGTTCTACCTGTTATATTTAGGTGCATAAGAATTCAAAGGTGATCATAAAACATTTTTTAGAATATGTTTTACAAAGGACTTACAGGGACATCTGTAGCCTTGGCTTGTTGACCGACTACAGGAGCAGCTGGAATGCCAAAAGATAATTTCTCTTAGGCAACTATAAGAATAAAAGAACACAAAAAGCTAACGCACCAAAAAAGGTAGATGATCTGGCCTTGGTTTACTCATGCCAATCGCTTAAGTCACCTTTGCAGCACTATACTGTTTGTTGTCCTTCCGAAAGAAAAGAGTGCTAAGATTGAGAAGGGAGGGGGGGGGGGGGGGGCTACCAACTTTTATGGAACGCAGCTTATTTCATTCTTCAATTACACACAAGTGCATGCACCTCCTAATAATGAGTCCCAGTATCTGAAGACCGTTATCTAAAGACTTTGCTGACAATTATTCAGAGCTGCCTATGACATAGCTGTCGTCCTAAATAGACAGCTCTGAATGATATTTAATCGAGCAAACTATCGATGCTTATCAATGCCTTAATAGCTATCTTCTGCATAGACCCTCACACGTGCAACACTGATAGGTTCACCTATTGCCTGGGGTTGCACAGATAAGTGTTCATGTCTTTTTTTTCTTTCTGCTGTTCGGTGCATTCGAGGTATTAGTGGACACTTCTGGTGTTTTGACTGCCTTTTAGGGGCGAAGCTCCTCACACTCAAAGAGGGCGTTCCTTCTGATTCTGCCAACCGCGAATACTCCACTCATTAACTCCGAACTGCCGCTCCGCGGCACAGTTGCCAATGGTTTCGGCAGCAGCGATAACTTCCCTCTTAAAAGAAGCCGACTACTGCCTGCGCAGTGCTGACATGGCGTAAAATCACAGGAGCAGAACCGTGGCCGTTGTTATGGGCGCCAAGTTGAAGCAAAGGCCACTGATAAGCTACAATCATTTAAATGTTGCTACTTAAAGTTTCAGCCCAACACAATAGGCTGTCAACTTCATTTTTGTATACAAAAACAAGGCACTCGACCTCAAGAAACAACAAAATATGCCGTTAGTTAACTCGTATCTGGTCATTCCCAGCTTACAAAAGTTCTTGGTCCAGCCACAATCAGAAAATAAATTCTCCTTGAGCACGGTGATGTACAAGCACACAACATGTAATGTCCTTTTAATAAGACGAGCACTTTGTGCCACTTCAGGTCTTGTCTGCAAGACACACCTGCATAAGCATGCCTTTAATGTTCCTAACTGTGGCAATTTAAAATACAGAACACAATTATTAGCCCATCTTCAATCCATTCTCCCTCTTTAGGCTGGCCTGCTTGATATTCATGAGTGATGACTACAAGCTTGGCACTGGGCACGCCCAGCTTAATATGTAGTTTCAGCAGTGACTGTAATGACAAATGCATGTAGGTAGCCATGACATACTCTGCAGGTTGTTAAAAACAGAAAAAAACTTCTACTGTTCAGCCTCCTCATGTTGACCCGAGCCAAGTACCAGCTTGCTGGTCCCCTCAAGCCCTTCACTTCCCCTTTCAGCTACTTTCTTTGCCATACGTCACTATAACTGCACTCTAGAGTGTCTTGCAGCAGAACAGCAGAAGTTCCCGCTGCCTTCAAGGACCCAGACTCCACCTCCTGTATTTTCTTAACATTTCAAGCAAGAATACGCAGCGAGTTCAGAACTTCAGAATGTCATTATAACTGGCAGTACTAAACGTGGCAGCGCTACGAGCTATAGGAGGGCCACAAATTTCAATCTTTTACTTTTCTCCGAACCTTTCTGCTTATCCAGCGTTGGTCATGACATCCCCACGTGCATGTCATGTCAGCCACAAGAACAACCAGATCATCTACGCCTTGGTTTGAACGCTTTCTGCCCTCCCTTCTCTCACGGCCGGCAGGGGCATTCGCCCAGCAGAAGAGGTGAACCAACAAATGTAGCATAGTAAAGAAAAGAGTAAAACTAACAAGAGGCACTTTTGGATAATCAAATGCTCGCAGGACCATAATTATTGTGGCAGCATTTGAAAAAATTCTCGTGGCGATCTGTTCTTGCGGGCAACTGTAACCCCACAATTAAAATTCAGCTACTAGGTGGTTTCAGGCCCATTAAGATTTATGCTCTTGAAAAGTTGCAACCGGCTTTTCAAAAGGACATGCAATAACTCTACAGCAACCATGAATATTGTAATTGTGACTGCACAGTGGCTTGTTGGACCATTGTGTCACTATTCGATGACCATATAAAAAAATTCACCTGAGAGAGTGTGACAGGAGAGATGACGAAGGCCTGTGGCTGTGCAACTGTTGCAGGTAGGGATGGTGCCACAGAGTTAATGATGGTAACTGTGGGAGGACTTGGGGCTCCCCCTGTGCTGTTTGGTGTGTTACTCCCACCTGCTGCCTGAGCTTCCCATGAAAAGCCATTTCCTGTGCATAAAAGAGCAACGGAGGACAACTTCCATAGTGGCTTGGACCACTTTCTTGTCCTGGGAATTCATAACTGCTGTCACAGAGTTTCCTACTCTTACATTTAGGTAAGACTGGCACTGCAACATGTTGTATGCACGGCAGTGCTGGTACAGTAAAACCTCGTTAATTCGAAGTCACTGGGACTATGAAAAATCTTTGAATTATGTGAGTTTTTGAATTAACAAAACATACAAAAAGTGTGATGCAAGGAACTTGAAATTCCTCAAAGCATAATTACGGCTGGTTGTTTGCTGTGCTGGACGAATCAGAATCAAGAATTGGTACACTGCACCCAAAGTTTTCTAATTAACTGGACTCCATTAAAGTTTGTTGTGTGTTCTTTCCTTTCACTGTTAGCATATACTCTACAGGTGAGCAAAATTTTGTTCTGAAAAGTAAAATGGCTTAATTGGATGTGTTTATGAAGCCTTCGTTTTAGAAAACCTCTATTTGCACATTCGTAACTGCTTTTTAGCTGAAGTCTCACCCAACGACAACCAAGCCTTGAAGACACATATACCGTCATTCCCAACATGGCAAAGCACCCCTTAGGAAGTTCACACAGATGGTGGCACCAGATTTCTCTCTAGGTATTATTGTGAGAAACCGACTCCTACACAAAAAAATGCCAAGCTTAAAATGTACCGTATAATCGCTACACCGGCTTTAGTTGACCTTCTTTAGCACAGTTATAAAAGGCCCCCTCAACATGGTTATGATTGATAACGAACTAAGGACCCACAAAGAACACTACAAAAGTCAAGACAGAATGCTAGTCTAAATTCCCTCTATAAGGTAATAATTACTTAAGAATTTTATGGCAGTGAAAAGGCTGGGAGTGAAGCACTGGTCACCTTTAACTTGAGAAAGATAAGCCCCGATTCTTTGACCGTGATTCCCGAGAGTGATTCTTCGACCGTGATTGAATTCTTTACGCAAGTTGCATAAGTGAAGGCATATTGAGCGCATATTGAGCGCATAAGTGAAGGCATATTGAGCGAACAGACAGAGACGACAACACAATGCTCTTTTATGTCCCTATCTGTTAGTGCACAATACGTCTTCGAGTTCTGTTTAGCAACAAGCCCGAAAAATGGCAATGCAGAAGTGAGCCAATATGTGCGGACAAATTTTATCGTGATTGGGCTTCATTGGGAGCAGCAGCGCGCTGTGTGACCTCTGTATAGAAGTCTGACCTGCCACACTCCCTTATACTGAAATTTTGTGCTACGTATCGATACTGACCTATGTAGGCAAAGAAAAAATTTGAGTGAATATTTTATGCTTTGCCTAAGACACCCAGTAGCAGTGAGAGGATTACCTGATGCTAACAGCTGAGTGAGAACAGCACTTTGTTGCAAAGGTGGAGATACTGAGTTGGATGGCATGGATCCTGGCAATGAAGACACTGACACCGAGAGCTTGGGTGTCAAGACCTGTGGTGGCGAGTTGACTTGGGGTAGCTGATTTAGAGATAAAGCCTGCTTTGCAACTGGGGCAGTAGCCAACGCCGTGGACATTTTCGAGTTGCTCTGCGGTGTAGACATGCTGCGAGACCTGGTCCGGCTCTTTGGCTGCTAGATGAGAGAGAGAAAAAAACACCACGCTTAGACTTTGAACGAATTGTTCTGTAATGACAATAATGCCTTCAACAAATATTTTCAGCTTGTCAATAAGGAGAATAACAATCTAGAAGCATTATTCTTGTATCGCAATCAATTCTAATGAACTTCAACCAGGTAACTGAAGCCAAGTATTACTTCAAACAAATAAAATCCACAATGTAACACAGATGATATTCCTTACAACAGACAGTAATAGTCAGCACAAAAAGCCTGTTGGTTACAGTCTTAGTAAAATAGATGAGTACAGCCTCAGTAAAATAAATTGAGTAATTGCACCATGCACTTCTGCAAAGGACCGTTATCAATGATCATGATCAATGCCACAAATGGATGGCTTCGCTTAATAGGCTATTGAATGTGTGCATTAAAGAGACAATGAGAACAATGTTCATGCAAATTATACTGTATTAAATATTATAAACCTTGCCTCCCTACAAATATTTCCTTTTGACAATTTACAAATTTCCTACAGACAACTATCTTGCTCTCGAGCATATATCACAGCATCATAAAACGTACAGGCACAAGGAGAAAAACATAGGCAGCCCAACTAACACTACCAACAGCCGTCATATTGATCTCAAGGTAGCAGGGATGCTGCGGAGCTGATGATAGATAGCGAAATGTGTGGCAAAGACCACATGGTGTAAACTTTTGCGTGCCAGAAACAAAATCGAAGAAAAAAGAAATGGACAACACAAGCATTTGTGTTGTTCTGTTTCTTTCCTTCTCCAATTTTCTTTCATTGTAGCACACGAAAGTTTACACTACTGTACAACCAACTGGCCCTTACCTTTGCTCTTAAAGAACACATGCTTGAGCATTTTTCTCTGTGAGTACCATGAATAACAGTAAAAATGCATGAATCCTAACCCTTCCAGCGTTTAGATCTTCAATAATGTGTTGCTGTAAAATTTTTCTCACACAATTCGATAGTCCCCATAATACCCACCGTAGCAACCTTTGGCATGGCGAAGTTCATGTTCTTGCCCGTAGCAGGGACCGCATTCTCAGCTGGCATGAAACCACCTGCCAATGGACGCATCAGGTTGCTGCTGCTGCTGTACTGGCCTTCAACAGTCTCCATCGTTTCTTGCGATGCAGGATACAATGGCCGCTTGGCTGTGGCACCCCCCTGCACAACCTTTTCACCTGCGTGGTGCTCAGCTGCCAGCCTGGCACTTTTGCCGCAGGCCATTTACGCTAGCCTGTGGCACAACAGATACTGGCGCTCGTGCAAATGCTTGCAGCTCAGTTGCAGATGGCTGAAATGTACTGCTCTGGGGGACGTGGCATAAGCTTCGGTTGAGGTCGTATCGACTGTTTGGGCACGTACTGGGGTACTTCGGCTCCAAAAGGTACAGTTGCTAACGATGGTCTGGGAGCGATTGCCAGGGGAAGCTGGAAAGAGCAGGAGGAAAAAGGTTTAAGTATCACTGAAAAGCATGAAGCAATAACAGGAATAAATAGTTCAGTACTATGCACAGCAATACTCATAAAGGTCATTGTTCAGAGGAGCAAGAGTTCCGCAACATGTCTAAAGCTAGTGTAAATAATCTGTGCCTTATTTGGCATTTGTCCAAAATGAGGCTTAGACACAGCAAAAAGACCCAGTGAAAAATGGAAGCGCACTCTGAGAAGCTGGCAAGAGGAAAGCAGAGGGTTGCAAGAGAGTACCCGAGCTTATTCCCATCGCTGCCAAAGGACACGCCAAATGAAAACGCACATACAGCTGCAGTTGAGTTTCGTATTAGGGAGTACCGTAATCGTCGGTAACTTTTTGCTCTCTTTCTCCGCATTAACTGTTTAATGAGTCATCACAAACAAGACCCGGTTCTTGCCTGTGCCGTCTGTTGGGCTGCAAATCCTGGGGGGACTACTTGCGAATGTTGTGGTGGTGGCGGTGCTGCAGCAGCTGCCTGTTCCACACTTAGAATCATAGGGGCTGCCGGTGCTTGCCTCAGGAATTCGTAATCACCCAACCCAGCGGCTGGTGGCGAAGGCTGCTGCGGCTGCTGCTGCTGTGCAGCCGACGCTAGGAGTCCCTCGATGCTGTTCACTACTGCTGCTGCTGCTGACTGCTGAGGTGACAGTGTGGGAGCAAAGGGAGAAGCCTGGCCCTGCAGCGGCTGCATCTGCGGCGAACTGCTGTGGTGCCTGCGGTTGTACAGTTGCGGGTGTAGGCGGCGGCTGCAGTTGATGATTCGCTACACCTGCCTGCTGCCGGGAGGAAGCACCGAACACAGAGGCCGGCCGCTGCTGCTGCTGTATTCCGAATGGCTGTAAATGAAAACAATAAAAACAAATTAAATTTTACTGCTTTGTTATTGGGTTTAGTTCTTGTAGGACACGTTTAAAGAATAAAAGAAAAAAAAAACTAATCTAGTATCAGAAAACTTGAAAAAAAAGAAACACTCCAGTTTTTTAGTTTCAGGAAATTAGAGAACAGTGTAGTACAGCGTAATATATGATACATTACATTACATTTTTAATCAACGAAAATATCTTAAATGAAATCACTCTTTAAATGGAAGAACTGCCCCTTATGTGATTGGTTTTTTTTTTTGGGAGGGGGGGGGGGGGGCGTGTATTCTGCACTCTTCTTTATCTCAGTAAACAGTACACCTGTTAAACGGAACATATTTTTGTGGCCTCTTTAGGTTTCACTTAACAAGGGTCTGCTGTACTATAGTATGGTATAGTATAGTACAGTATGGTATGGTATAGTATAGTACCTTGGCCAGACGCTGCCTGGCTAAAAATTTATGTATGCTGAATTTATGAAGAGCAAATGTTGAAGCACACTATGTAATAGCAAACCTACCAATTGTATACATTGACTTTCAGTGAAAGAAAGTAGTGCAACGCCGCAACTTTATATTGACTCCACTGACACGAAGCATGTGTTTGAATTAGTGGCGTATAAATGCTCTCATGACAACTGTATTGGTGGGCCTGAAATTGAAAGAGAATTGCAAGTTGAGCAACAGTTACAGGAACAGCTCACATACACTGGTTTGCTGGGTATGCGAGAGCACCATGAAGACATCTAGGTAAATTAACCGGAACATAAAATAAGATTGACAACATAGCTGAGAACTTTTTAATAAACACAGGAATTTTTGGAAAAAGATGTGCGGGAGAAAGACCTTGGCTTGTTCAGCATGTCTGGCGCATTCCTATGGCATTCTAAATTGTAGTGCACTTAATTTAGAGAAGACACCTGTGCTAGTGTAAAAGCTGACCTCATAACAAAATCACAACAAACGAGACCGCATATAGTGTGTTGCAACTACAGTATTCTTCCAAATCAGATAGAAACCCATGTATCTAAATTTCGCTTTAGATGATGCTCACAGCATGCAGACTTGTGAGTATGCAGACTTGTGAAAGTAACCTATAAAGAACAAGTACAGGGAAAGAGCTACAAAGAATAGATGGGAGGATTTGAAACTAAGCAGCCCTGATCTGATGCAAGTACAATGTAGCCTGATTTGAGCAAAATATAAGAAAAAAAATGAAGAGGGAGGAGGGGAGCTCTAACCTGAACAGTAGTTGCTTCAGCACTGAGTGAGCCTTCTTCCGGCAATGTTGGAAGCTTTGAGTTGAAGTAATCTGCAAGTTAAGACATACACATGCTTGTGAAAGTAAATAATAGGTTATAATTAAAGTTTAAAAGGCAACTTTGCAATGTCAATATCTAGATTTTTCCATGAATAATTTTTCATGATCTTAAAATATGGCTGGTTTGAAAAACAGTATTAGGTCACAAAAGTTGGCCAGTTTAAACGTTTCAGAAAAATAATTTAGAAAATAATTTACTCGGAATAATAACCTTACAAGTTGATTCCATAGTTATTATTTCAAGCGAGTTATTCTGGACCTTAAGAATGAGAAGCTTGAAAGAACTTGTCAACGAATACGTTTTAGCAGCAATTATTCTTCGTTGGACACAAAGAGTCACACAAGACAGTGGACACTGGCAGTTATGATGATGAATTATCAGTTTACACCAGAGCAAGTGAAATGAAAAAACGACAATTCCTTTCTCACAAAATGGTAGCTTTAAATAAAATGGAAGGGGGAGGAGGGCAGTGAGGCAAGAGATGAACAAAGGGAAGGAAAGGGCAATGTGGGCATAAGTGAGCAAAATGCTTCAAAAAGATGAGTCCAGTCAATCACCTGATAGAGGTTCTAGTGTGTCCATGAAATCCTCAAATGCTGGCTGCAGCTGAATAAGGCCTGGCTGAATGAAGTCTGCTATGCCAGCCCTCGTAGCTGTGAGAGAAACATGCAGAAATGCACACAATTAGCACTCAAAATAACAATCTATGCTGTAACACCACAAAAAAAGTGCACGCACATGTACACACACACACGCACGCACACAAACACAGACACGCACACACACACACACACACATAGCAGGAAAGAGCGAGAAGACTCTCGGTCAATGAAATTTCTTAAAAAGAACTGCTGCTTATATATGTATAACAAATGCCTTTAACATGATTAGTATTGTACTTGGGCTCTGCACACATGTTGTTATCTCAGTAAAAGAAACTCCTGTTAGATGGAACAAATTTTCTTGTTCCCACCATGTTCTGTTTCATGATAGTCTACTGTACATACATACATACTGTAGAGAAGCTCCCGAACCCTGAAATGGGTCGAACTCTCAAGTGCTTTCTAGTGGGTCTACCCAAAAAGGACGCCGCTCGCGCTGAGAGACCATGCTCGGCCGTTACTGTCGCCATTGTGTATGCTCGCTGTGTGCCGGCTAATAAACGCCATAACAAATTGGTGGAGGTGCTGGGTACATGAGCACAGTTCCAAGGGCATCGAAGGGGATCATTACACTCTCCATGTAAGCTGTCGCGAGCTTGCCAAGACTTTTACAACGCATGAGCAAGAGCGACAGAAGAGTATTCGCGATGGCTCCGCCACTTCTGAGCCCACATTCCTTCCCGGTTCCCTTGTATGGCTCTCAATCCCGACCTCTGTAGCTGGCCTTTATTCCAAACTACTCCCGAAATATGAAGGTTCCTACCGTGTGATCGAGTGCACATCTCCAGTCAACTATCTTATCGAGCCAATTGAACAATCTTCGGATATGCGCCGTCGCGGGCGCGACATAGTCAACGTGGAGCGCCTGAAGGCTTACTATGACCCGCTCGTAGTGACAAGCTGATAGGTCGCCAGGTGGCTCCCTGTTCAACCCCGGGGTAATTGTAGAGAAGCCGCCGAACACTAAAATGGGTCGAACTCTCAAGTGCTTTCTAGTGGGTCTACCCAAAAAGGACGCCGCTCGCACCGACAGTCCGTGCTTGGCGGTTACTGTCGCCATTGTGTATGCTCGCTGTGTGCCGGCTAATAAACGCCATAACAAAATGCAACCAATTACAAGGGTACAATGTGATCCAACATCGTGTGAATTCCGACAAATCATGAAACAGTGGCGTTTTACTTTCATTTTATTGTGTTAAAGCTTTGTTAACTCTGGATAGCAGTACCTGGAGTCCGCAGTGACTCTCCAGCTGTTTTGTAGGATAAGAACACGATTCAGCGATATTTCATTGCCGTCTTACTTAAACTACTCGTACTGTTTCCCTTGATATCTAAATAAGATACCAAATTTGTGCCTAATGCTCAGAAACTTATTGATAGCCCTGGATGGAGTTTGCATATTGAAGACCTGATCGATATATATGTTCTTGATAAATTATTATAGTTTCCCAACTTTCATGGCAACTAACAAAGTAACCAGCTGATATGCCGGCACACTAAAACTAACGTGGACTAAGAATGTCAAGAACATCAGAAAATATCGAGTCGCCACACGAGTAACAAATATTTTTTTTTCAAAAACATTAAAATGGGGTAAAACACAATGTGAACCTAACACTTCTTGAAAGACCGCACCATCACAATTCGAAGTATACATGAGCTAGTAGGGCCTTCATACTTCCCACACAAAATTGTAAGAAATCAGTCAGTGCAAGACCGCCGTTGCATCTTCATGTATTGAAACAATGGGCATTTAAGTAATCTGCAGCGCTTCTATGCCCAACACGCATTTCAGACAGCTACATGCAATGGTTTGACGTAAGCAAATAGTGAATAATAGAGCAGGAGGCAATATAAGCTCCAATGTCTCCACCACATTGTCATGTGGAGAAGACCAATTACACAAAGCAACACAGGCTTACCGATTTCCCTTGGATTTGGAAAGTCAAAAGGCTGGTTCAGGCTGCTGAAGAGGCTTTCTGAGAGGTCCATGAAAAAGTCCTCATCTATCAAACCTCCATGAGAGAGCCAGCGGAGGTCCAAGTCTACAGGATTCTACAATCACCCACAAGGCCAAATTAGTAAGTAAAGAAAATGCACACCAACAGTCCGTTTAGATGGCAGAGCTATGAACCAGAAGTGTGTAGCAGTATGGTTGTGATATAAGCCCTGTGAATGAACTTGTTGGCAAATTCACTTACAGCCTTATATTGTAAGACAATGACAGCAACTACGAGATTGTTATACTTTTGAACCAAATATTCAATGAAAAATAAATGCATTTGCCCTTGGTTTTCTCTTTTGTTATTTGCTTAAAAACAATAAAATACTACACCAGTGCTTACACTGTCATAAACCCTAAGGAAGAATTATGCTCTTTTTTCCACATGAAACATTTTTTGTGTGCATAAAAAAAAATAATTGATTAAGATACTGCCTATATGAAATGGCTCTAATGGACATCAGTGGCTCAATGGAAATATGTCCCTGAGGAAATTTTATGAAACTGGTGTTTCAGAGTGAACAGCATGATAAAAACTCAATAAACAGAAACACATCAACAATATTTTCCTGAAACGAATGTACACAACATAATCTGACATGACTCACAGTGCTGGAGTCATCTCCCAGTCCTAAACCGCGAGTTCTTTTTGCAGAAGAACATTCTCCACTTCTTGTACTCGGCGGTGATATTGTCGAAGTTGCGCTTCCAGTACTTGCCCTCCATGACAATGGCCTGCAGCAGAAGCAGGTCAAAGAAGAGCATAAGAGTTTGGAAACATGTTGAAATTTGATAGCTTTCTTTGGCTCATCATAGAATATATTAAGCTGTAGCAGATCCTGCCTAAGACAAACGTTCAGTGTGCATAAGATCGCAAACTTATCTTCAAATGGTATCTGGCTGTCAATAGCCACCTATATATAGATCATTAAATCAGTGCCATGGAACACAAGCCAGAATTCATATCTCGAAGGCCTCCACCAAATGCCTGAGAGGCCGCCTTAAAAAATTATGTATGTGACTGTGCAAATGAAAATTTTAACAGTCAAAATATACACCCAAAATCTTTTATGCATGTAATCTCTCAGAACCCCAGAGCACACATGTGGATTCATTAGTAAAGGTTCGCCATAACACTGCAATAAAAGGAGCTGCTGTTTTACAACATTAGAAAATGAGCGCAACGTTGTCATCAAAATATATGCCTCAAGAGGTTAGGATCAGTAACAACAACCTTAGCCATCCATTAGTGGATCTGTAAAACATTGTCATGCGGAAACACTCAGCCCAATGATATATGCTCAACTATGGTGTGGTCGCCCCAAACTGACCATTTTTACCGTGCCAGCCCATTTATTTGTTTGCTCATGAAAATAAAAGTTATGCGAAACCATTGCTTGCAGACAGAACACACTCGAACACCGGTTGCATACATTTCCAGATTGGCGCGCTTGCGAATTACATGTGCAGCAATATTCCGTGATCGTGGCGTGAGGGTGTCGCAAAGAACCAGGCCAAGATGGGTCAGCCAAACACACAAATCGGGATGTCGAGTCAAGGAGTTGTTTGCGGAAGCATTTACCATACGTAGGAGCAGATTGAAAACATCGCATTCGAGTAGAGCCCAGAAGGAAACAGCGCCAAGGAGTTATCAGAAAAAAAAAATGCATAAGAGGGCTAGGAAGGCAAGATAAGTCTGGGTACACGATTGAACGACACAAGTGTCCCCTGCTATCAGAATGGGCAACACGAGGGTTGACGGCCAACCATCACGAGGGCCATAAACTTGGAACGGGAATGCAGCCGGAATAAACCAAACAAATGGCATAGTGACAATGAAAGAGAAAAATGTGAACACTAGGCTCTTGCTCAGACGACAACTGTTTGCGAAAAATAGGGCGAAATGGTTATAGGTGCATTGAAAGTGAACACACGGTGGCATGCCTTACAAAAAACAATAAATACATACATACATGTGCTACACTTATTAATATAAAATCACTGCACTTATTGTTGTGAAATCACTATGGCAAACTTTCGAGCAAAGACACCATTGGAAAGATGAGATCATTTCTCAAAAATTGACTGCTAAATCAGTAGGTGCATTACATAGAGTCGAGCGAAAAACAGGGTGAGAAAAAAGCTACAAACTCTGAGGGTATGTGTGATCATTCAAGGGTGTAGTGAGCAGTATGCATCTACATGTGCACATAAAGATTGCTGTTGAAATCTGCTCTTTAAAGGCCAACAGCAATGAAGTTTTACTTTGGCGGAAATGGCCATAAATACGTAGTATATATACGGTAAGTTACGATAACGACAGTGAAAAATCTTGCAGTCGCGTATTCAATTTATAATTGCTGCTCTAATTGCAAGCAGACGAAGTGGAGCTCTAGCGGTATGCCCAGGTAAATCGGACAGAACCGATATAATGATTACTACAGAACGTCTCCGCGTCGCTCCTTGTGAGCAATCCTCTTTGCCGTTGAATCGCTCTTTCCTGTGTTGAAACCGTTTTCAATGCAGCGCGTTTGAAGTGCGCCTGTGCGTTTGTGCTGCCTTGGCACTGACTAAAAGCTACGCGTTCGAAATGCGTTCGTGCTGCATTGAAGTCGATAGCAAGTCAAGTTCCAAGTCAAGCAGCGTTTCTGAATACTGGGGTCAGACACTGCAAAGCCACCTGTGTGAAGCCCGGACCAGCATTCGATAAGAGGCATGTTCACGCAGCTTTCCTAACATGTAAAAAAACACACACTAAGGGGTGCGTACGCGACATACGTGCTCAAGGAGCAAGGAGCAGACGATTTTTCTGTCGTTCACATCACTTACAGTCAGCCGAAATGCAGTCGTTTTTTCTAGTATCCATCTCAAAAACACCGTGGTTTGCAAGCTTTTTTTCTAAGGTAAGCGCTTGTATTACGAAGGCGACACTAGGCAGGCAGCACTACCTCTAGCTAGACTACCTATGTATTGACTTTTTGCAAAGTGCCAAATTTAGTTGCAGTTGGCCTTTAATGATGCAACAATTTTAAACACATCAAGTGTTAGACGGGTGAAGGAAACTATACAGGCTAGTCAAATAGTACTTGCATGTGAGCATGTTTGTCCGGCAAGTGCACAAGTTTTTCATCAGCTGTGCTGAAGAATGAAGAGCTCTACCATCTTGCTAGGCATCAGCATGATTAAAGCTTTCGCATATCTTTACTAAAGACATTTGCGTCTATGCATGACACCTCCTCGGCATCCTAGGAAAACATTTATTTAAATGTCGATTGCAAGTGAGTGTCTTTCCTGTCTCCATCATTCCTTTTCCCTCTCTGCTTGCTGCTAAATGACTCCATGCAGTCAGTCATATTTGCATAATGCATGTTTAATATTTAATAAATTATTACAACAAAAATTACATTGTGTTGCAAACAATACATAAAAAAGCAAAATTATTTGGGCACAGTTGTAAAGTCCATGTTCTACACGCTTAATTGAGCCAGATACCTGCTTACACATATTCGAACATGGCGAATTATATTCACTTATGACTATCAGAAATACAAGGTAAGTATGCCCACTAAAAACAAAATATGCAGCAGAAATCCCTCAATAAGATTCAAACTTGCTGCTTAGGTTTCAACTGCTTACTATAGCACAAAAGCAGTAGCCATAGTAGTGATGTACAAGTGCTCACTCAATTCCAGCAAACATACATTTATGCAGAGAAAACACACTTGCCTCAGGTTTGTTGTGAGTGTCTCCTTCAAGTGGCGATGCAAACTGGCACACATAGGGACTTCTTCTAGCCACAACTGGATAATGAAGATGGAATAAAACAGAGGTGCAGCACTCTATGATGAGAAATGTCTCTATGATGAGAAATATAACATTAACAATGCAACCTTGGATTTGACAGCTTTTGATGAAAAATGTATGACTATACATTTAAATCACCAATCATTAATACTTCATGAATATAAAACATCAATTAAAGCTGGACATGAATCCATGTGTTAAAACAAGTGTTTAGCTTTTCCATTATATTAATTTTGAGATACACGAGGTACAGCATATGTGTAAGACAAACAGTCTGCATTTTAGGGTGCTTGTGACATGTATTGATCTTCCAAGATAACAATATGCTAAGACTTCTACATAGCAACATTATTTTTAAGAGAGGAACAGAGAGAAACAGCTTCATTTACAGAAAGGCAGAGAGTTATGCCTGAATGACAGCATGCTCGAGCCTGCTACTCTACGCAGGGGGAGGGGGAAAGGGAAGAAAAAAGTACTGAATAAGGATGGGGATGTAGACACGTGAGAGTATGCAGTCCAGTTGCTTTTAAAAATGCTGCGACTACTCTTATGACCACAGTTGCACTGTTGGTGTCATAGAGTTTCCTAAAATTAACTAGAGGAGACTCTGGCGCTGCGATCGTTCAGTGACCATGGGAATGATGGGTAGTACACAAATTTGCCTAGTCTTCGTACTTGAGGGTGGCGGATCGTACTTGCGGCTTCGTTTATTGCTGTGTGTCGGTTTTGTTTTGAAGGAAAGAACGAACCCTTTTGAACTTCGGCCCGATTTGAAAAGGTAAGCCCAAAAAAAATGAGGTGGTGAAGCACAACCGCTGAACATTTGCTGATTTTTGTTTCGCCAGAAAACAGCTCCAAGCTACACGAACACACACGGAGCCAGAAGCAGGCCAGAAATACGGAGATTAGACAGTGTACTACCCATCATTCTCATGCTCGCTGAAGCGCCATGCGTTGCAGCTCCCACAGACATTAGCGCCAGAGTCCCCTCTAGTGTATATTAGGAAACTCTATGGTTGGTGCCAGGCCAAGCGCCCAGCACAGTCTCATCAGTCAATTACATATTGCAAGATCGTTCAGTAAAAAAAAATCAATGCTTGTCATTCATGTATGTGTGCACCGGCAGCCAAAAAATATGTGCTCAAGTGTTTCTGACATGTGACAGTGTTCACAACTGGGACCGGTGTCACTGCGGCCGACGATATGCGTGTAATGTCTTGTATAGGCCACACCATGACGAAAGCGGTGGGTCATACTTGTGATGTGTTGCTTCAATTTAGGGAGCATGCAGATCCTCATTGCCGAATCGAATGTGGCCTGACTTCAAAGATGCACACGACATACCATCCAACTTTTTGCTTCTGCTTGTAACTGATGAACAAAACAATACACAACTTCAGCTGCCTGTAATCAGTGGTGTCGTTAGGAGGTTCTTTGTTGCAGAAGAAGTCTTATGGTCAAACATCATGGGTTTTGTTATTCTATATTCCACCAGCTTTGTTTCTTTTGAAGCAGCTTGGACTATGCTAGCTAAGACACACAGTATACAGACATCTTTTTTTTTTTTTTAATTTCTTAGCAAGTGTCAGTGCATTTTTTGCAAACAGTCTTTGTATTTGGATACCTATTTCTTGGATACCTAATTCTTGATTGGTACCCTTTATAGTTAACCTGATTTGTTCACTAAGCCTATGGACTTATACAACAGCCTCGGTATAAGACTGATTCTCTTTGCACTGGTAATACTAAAAATGGTAAATGTCTCTTTTGGAGTTTACAAGAAATCTCGTTTGACAGATATATATAGCTTGTCCTTTTGATCAAATGCATCTTTTGCTTAGCAGTGAGTGTGAATTTTTGTCTCGCAAACTAAACCATTTATTGAATGAATCTAGTTTTATGGCACAACTACTGTAAAATCTGTAAAATCCTGAGCAAGCTCCCCTCCTGTCTTTTTTTTTTTTTCCCAAGCTTATCTGCACTGCAGAATCCCGCATCAGCAAATTGTGGGTACGGACTACTTGGCATTCCATTTCGTAGAATGATTGCAGCGCAAGGAAAGACACGAGACAAGACGAACGAAAAATGATTTGCAGCAGTAGTTCCCAGGAACCCAAGTTATGAGGGTCTTTAGGCATGTCGATAATTTCTTAGTACTTTCTCAGTAAGGTGCCTTGACATTGCATTCTGAGTTGTCACAAATTGTTGGAACATTCGTAGAACAACTTTCCCCATTTGTCATAGCACATCAAATCCCACACGAGGATTCCTTCTGGTTCAGTAAAAACGGTAAATTCATGCATATTCAATAAAGCATTTCATTTGAAGCACACTTTTCTCCGAGAGCCCTTTGCCACCATCTTGAATCTCTGACCGAGCAAGGGCTTTCGCCGAATCTTGTCCAATCATCTTCCACTGCAGGGCGAAGGAGAGGGGAGGCTTGCACGAGATTTTGCTACCCCCATGTAGATTTTGCTCTTTCCAGCTGTGCATGCTACAAATCATGTGAAATTGCCCACTCCATAATTTTTTGATATTGTGTAGTCCACTCGGTACCTTATCGTTCACATGATTTTGTGTGTGGAGGAATTTTTGAGCGGTTGGACTGTCAAGCAATATCATAGTGTTTAGAGAATTAAAAAAAGTATAATATTTTTATCTATATCAATGCACTATATCCCTACTACCAAGTCATGTAACTAAACAGATGAATGTATTTCATACTTCCCCCTCAAACATGTTGGTAAATTTCAATGCTGCAGCCATCTGGTACAGGCTACCAGCAGCTTAGTTGAGTTTGCTTTTACATGGCACACACACACAAAAAAAAAACCATAGAGGAAGAATCTTGCAAGTAATGAGTCTTTCATCTTAGTGAAGAAAACCGCTCACACTGCATGTGCCAAGCTCGCCAGATGATGTTGTTCAGACGAATCTTGTCCTTCAGGCGCAGCTTCAGTCCCTTGAATGTTTTCCACTTAGGTGATGTCAGCTTGCCACTAAGAAGAAAAAAAGTCATATTACAAGCGCTCCTTCAACGGCCTAATTGACACTTCAATTTTTGTAACATATTACACATGCCAAAAATAAAAAAAAAACATGAGAATAAATGCCTTTCAGTTATCATGATACTGGTGATAATAATAGACAATGATGCAACACAAGGTATAGAATATTAGAAATTATAATGTAAATGTGAAGAAAGAAAAGTGGATGAAAAGATAACTTGTTGCGAGGGTCTCGTTCTGGCAGACTTGAGGCCTTTAGGTAAAATACCAGAGAAAATTGGTCAGCTGCCAGTTTGTAATAAGGTCACATGCTACGTGATTCCAACAGACAGAAAAAGAGTGTTCCGCACTCGACGTCATGGCTACTGGCGACACTGACTAACACTCCCAGGTTAACATCCCCTACACTTTCCTTGGCATCATTGTATGTTAGTTCTCATTATTACTGTGTCTAACCCCCCCCCCCCCCCCCCCAAGAGCCCTTAAATTCCCACTTTTTTTTTTTTCAGTTATCACGGGAACATGTAGTTAGAGGTCATTTATATATTTGGAGAACAAAATCAGATTGATTTACTCACGAAAAACGGTATATTTTATTTTGTATTACCTATGCATAGGTAATAGACTGTAGGTAATTTAATAAAATTACCCTCGTAAAACAAATTATAAGTTTCCCAAATGGCTTCTTAAGAAAAATCATTATCTAGAACCATTCTTCATATGTACTAGCACTTTCAGAAAAATTATAGTGAGTAAGATTATGATCATTTTTTATTTACGAAATTAACCAATCGTTACCATCAAAAAGTGGCAGCATGTACAACTAGGGCAATCTGCAACGATTTTTTAGCATGTTCAACTTCATGCTTTATACAAAATCTCGATGGTGTGATGCTGCAAAATGGTTCTAGCAGGAGTTTAAGAGAGAGCAAAAAGGTCACCGTATAAACACAGCTGTTAAATATGACGAGTAAGGAATTCAGGTTCACTGTCCTCGCATTAAACTTTTAACACAATCCTAGATCAATCACTATTGTTCCACACATCCCTGGCCTACAATCTCAATTAGCACGTTTGTTTTTTTTTACACGCATGAGCTTTCGACCTGCAGTTTCAAAGACGTTTTTTAAGAAGACTTTTGCTAAGAATTTTAGCGGTTCTTCGTCACCATTTGAAATGTCGAAATCGCACGACCTGAAATTCTATTTGCACAGCAAGTTCTGTTCTGCAGTGATGCCTCTATGAATAAAAATCCACCATTGCCCACTACCATTAAAGATAGTTAAGATCCGAAGAAGGCGGTACACTACAAATGGACCTTAAATAAATACTGACATGAAAATTTTCACTTTTGTTTTTGCCTCAAATGAAAGGTCAAGCTTGCAGGAGCCTAGAATATGTACTGCTAAGCCTGATTGCACACTAAAAAAGTAACCATAGAATGTTTTTTAAGGCTAGTTTAAAGGCCAACTCCGGCGATTTTTCGAGGTCAATGAATCTCAATGAAGTTCGCTGCGTATGTCCTTTGCACATTTTCGCCCTTTGTGTCAAATCACAGGTTTCAGTGATGCACTGATCGTTTATAAATGAATTTTAAAGATTGCCTTCGAAAAGCTCACTTCCCTTGCCAGAATTATTGGCAACACTGTCTATGTGACGTCATGTTTGGCATGTCAACGGAAGTGAAGCAGCTGATGGCATCGTTACTTTGGCCGCTACAGCGTTTATTGTGCCTTCCACAAGTCGACGGCGGCGGTGTTTGGCACGGGCATAGCACGAGAATGCTTTCTTCCTTCTTCTGTGGTGTTTGGCCGGTGCTTCACTGAACTGGCTTTCACAGTTTTCATACTCCGCGCCGGCGGAACCAGTATTTGGCCTCCGGCTATACCAAATAGTATGTCATAAGCAGACAGGGCGCTCGGTTGGGTTTCGGTTTCGGTATTGCGCATTTTTGCTTATTAACAATTATTTTCAAACTTCCTGAGCATTTCAGCTATTGGGCTTGTGACAAGAGTGTCTCAGGAACATAGAAACACCATAACCTAGACGTGGTCAGAAAATCGTCGGAGTTGGCCTTTAAGTTCCTACTAAACTCTGACGTCACAACACAGCTTGAGCTTTTAATCATTTTTTAAAGGAGCACTGACATCAAATTTCAAGATAGAGATGTGCCTATCATTCGGTCGCTTGGTATGCATAGGTCTTCTTGGCCAAGTTTGAACGGCATCCGTCGCATAGAAGTTATTTTAATTCGATGTCAAACAGCGTACAAGCTAAGGAGAAAAAACGGAAAAATGACTGCCCTGCGACATCGACACTAGTGCTACGTTGTGGAGGTGCTGACACCCCCTGTAAAGTGTTTGCCCTACGTAGCGCACAGTGTCTCGCACAGAAACCGTATTTCGGTGGTGATAACCGCCGGACGATAGATGACGTTGTGTTCACGTTGAGTACCACTGTTGGTAGAGTGGTAGCACCGGCGGTGACCCCTGGCGGAAGCCAGGCCTTGGCGGCGGGCGAGAGTTGAGCGAGTCTCTTCTGCGCGTGGCGGCTGCTGCGACCGGTTGTCCATAGCGTGGGTCCTCGGCACATGGCACCACGGGCCTGCGCGCCGGGGGGCCCACGTGGTAAGTCAAGCGCTGGCGACGCCGCCTTGGGTGTGTCAGTGTGTTTATCATGTTATTGTGTTTGTTTGTCGTGTTATTGCTGTAAGGATGTCCTAGCGTGTTAATAACGATTGATGTAACGATTCGGCAGACGATATTGTCGTTCTGAAATTAGGTAAATAAATGTATGTTGTTGTTTGGTTTGGTACCGACCGTGTCTACTATGTCCATTCACTCTAAGAGCGTGGCGTGCTGCTCGCTCGCCATATCGAGACCCCACAACGTGTTCGGTGAGATGCATTCCACCAATACCATCCTGAGTGACGATGCCCCAGTAGCAATGACGTGTACGATCCAAGTGTTCTTATCGTGGCACCGACTGGCGCCGAAGCGCAGAAATGCACTCGCTCGTGGCGTCTGATCTCCGTCGCACCGGTTTGAATGATTTAGTGAAATTATCAAGATGTATACCACCTTTAAAAGAACGGCGAAAAAAAAAGAGCATGATCGAATGGGTGCTTCTGGGTCAGCATGTAGGGGAATCGTGAGTTGCAGTCGTCTAGTTCGAAGCACGGAAAAAGCGCAATGAGGGTGTCTTTTCATATCATGTATGTGTTACACATCAACATGACCACAAGCTATCAAAAGTGGAACAGTGTATAGTCGGATATCAACACTAACAAGTAACACGCAGGTATCATTGAATTTTAGTTCATTTGTAGACTTTCCCTAGTCTACAGTTCATCTGTAGATTTTGCGTCCACATAAAAGTTGTAATACTATGTTAACCACGAGAGGCTGGATAGGTGGGGCCATCTGGAGGCTCAAAAAAGAACCTGGCAAACAGGAAATGTATTCTATTTTTCGGCTGATGCTCATTCGCGATAGCCATATTGAATTGACCCCTTTGCATGTACCTTAATGCTTTGCACGCCAAAACACACCAATATAGCTAACTGAGACACACGAGCGAACATGGCTGAAGCGTGCATCCTCTGGCACCTCTGCAGTGCTGCTTGGAATCGCATCCATTTCGGAATTACTGTTCTACAAAAGGTCAATCGAAGCAAAAATAATTCGCGACGTCGCGAATGGCGGAAATTCCAAGCTCCAGGCTATCGTATTGAACCCGAGTCGACAATTTGTACGGCGACGACAACAATGCAGGTGACAAGCCATGACTGAATGTGTCCGCCTAGCAGACGAAATGTTTGCGGAGCAGCTGAGACGGACGTCACTCTTTTCTGTGGAGAAGTGGTCAGCTGTGGCGTGATTTGGAGGTGACCGCGAGGTAGCACCACTGCTGGTGCTCCCAGCGCTAAAAGTGGCGGGATTGCCGGCCGCTTTGAATAGTGCTGGATACCAGTGATACAAATCAATGAAAGTAATAGTTATTCATCCCTCAGTTGTGTTTTAGGTCGTTAATCGCTGCTACGGGGTCTATACCTACTCGCTGACGCAAAAATCTTGACATGAGTAAATTTGATGTCAGTGCTCCTTTAAGCTCGCCAAGATATTGTGACGTCTCCACGGCTGTTCCGCACCATGCCTCTGTTGACACATAAACGGCCATATTCTAATTCTTGGTGCCTGATGCCATCACAACTAGCCAGAATTCTGCGTGAAGTCACCAGAATTAGCACTGTAGCCTGACGTCAAGCTGGTGTTGGTGTGGGTAGGTGTGCCATGAGAAAATAGACTTTGATATCAAAATAAAATATCAGCATTTGCTGAGCTTTGCACTTGCCCAGGGCTGTCTTTGTAGATAGGAGATTTGTATGACAGAGAAAACTTACCTTTGAAAAATAATGTCACGACCTCTTTATGCTATTGAAATTTTTTAGAAACCTTCAGCAAGATTATCACTGAAAAGCAAGTTGCTACCTTCTCGCTCTCTCTCATTCTATAGTTAGAACCATGGGCACCACCATTGACTGTGAACAACCCTGCTGAATTCCAAATCGTTGTTTGTCACGGTTGACTATCATTACAAACAATGTGCACTGATTATTAGTGCACAGAGGACATGAGACTGATTTCTTGAGTTAGCCAAACTCTAACTCTTTTCTTTCATTACAGAATATCTGAATTTTGTCAATTGCTTTTTAAATGACAATCCTGGCATGGGGACTTTTTCTAAATTCACCTCGGAATGCTCGACACACCCTCAGATTATGACAGTTTGGTAAATACACCCACAGATTTACATAGCTCACTAGTGCCATATTGTCTTTCAATGCACTTGAATTCTTTGAAGAGACTGACAAGCAATTTATACGATAACTATTTTCTTTAGCGCAATGAAAAGCTTATTGGTCAGAATGTCTAGTCATGAACTGGTAATCTGGACAATGCCGTGAAACATTTGTAAGCAATATTCCTATC